TTTAGCTTCAATTAGCATCGAACATTGTTGTGTACTGTTTCGAGTAAGAATAAAAATGTCAACTTTTTTTTGATAATTATTGATATTCAGTGTCCAGAGAACATTTGAGAGCTGGTTTGGTTTAGATTGAGTGTAAAACCTAGGACTAGTTCGCAAAAGTAGGTTTCGGACAAATCGCGATGTAGCGGGAAAACGGTGCGTCGTAGAGCAAAAATTGTTGGTATACACTTTTGTTCAGGTTAACCCAAGGATTCAAAAAATGTAAAGTTTTTGAGTCTACGACAAACGGTGAACGTATAGCGGGCAAAAATGTCCAAAAAGTGTTTTTTTGGCGCCATAGCGCCACCTATGGTCTGATTTGGCTGATCTTTGGCCAGAACGTAGTGTACCGGGGTACTACCATCTGGCCAAGTTTCAGCTCTCTCGGCCTTACGGTTTGGTCTGGGCAATAGTGACTTCGGCAGAATAATAATAATAATAATAATAATAATAATAATAATAATAATAAATATAGCTGCAAGCAGCAATTAACGGGGGTCAAGCAGTTTAGCAGGGTAAGGTCATATAGCAGTTAGGACGCCTGTAAGTAGTTTATTCGACAACGAAATATACGATTAGAGTGTTAAAGTTTATAGATTGAGCTAACAAATGTTTGATTAAACACTCCAGAGAAGCAACTTCGATTTTTACATATTGACAAATTTTTAATGAACATTTCGAGTGACCGCTTTTATGTCAAAGTGACCAGTATAAGCAGCCCTATGATATAATGTGTAGATCGAGTCATGGCACCTTAGACAAAGACACGACACGTCAAATTTTAAGTTAATCAGATAAATGGTTACTCAGATACAGTGATTTTACAATGTATAGCGCCATCATGTGGCCATTGTCTACGAGTTTTATGCTATGACCTTAGACTGACCTCTTGCATATGTGTAACAAGTTTGGTAAAGATATTTTAATTCCTTCATGAGTTATGGCTATTTTAGCTCTTCTTAATAAAAATGACAAAAGAGCAGTGAATAAGCTATTAATGATCTCCTACTGCCATCTAGTGGCCACGGTGTAATTTATTTATGTGATTACAGCCTTTTAGGTGTGCATAAACATATCCCTTCTATTATTGAGCATGTTCTAACTATATAAAATGAAAAATTTGTATTTTATTAAAATAATTATAAATCTACAGAGTAAAAAGTGTGAAAAGCTTTAACTAAATTTAATCTTAAATGCATTAACTGTGTTCATGTCGTGTCAGTTTGGGATTCAGAATGCATTACATAACATTACATTACATTCTTTGCTAAAGAGCAGTAAAATAAACAATAAGTGGTCTGTTACTGCCATCTAGAAGCCACAGTTGTGATCTTCTTCACATGTATTAAAACAATGTTGTTAATCATAGAACCAGTTTTACCTATTAGAATTATTATGAAGAGGTTAACTGGGACCAAATTATATGTTTAATGCATAACAGTGTTTACATCAGGTCAAAATATGATTCAGAATGATCCTAAATGCAATTTCCCTGACTTTAAACTCAAAAAATGTAAAACAACAATGGTATGCAAATGTTTTGAACAATAAATAAGTGGTCTTGTTGTGACATCTAGTGGTTAGAAATGGTAGGTGACAGTTGAAAGTCTGTGTTATATTGGCTAAAATGATAGAATATTGAAAATATGTGTTTTTGAGACCTTTAAACATCCAAGATGGACAGAAAAAATAACTTATAAATCATTTCAGTGATAAGTGTGTAAATGAAGCACATTTACTTCATTTTTAAGCCATTTTAGCATGTTTTTAGAACCATTTCCACTATTATAGCGCCACCTATTGCCCAATCTCCACAAAATTTTGCATGTTTATTCACATTGATATGCCACATCTGCTCACCAATTTCTGTGATGTTTTGGGTTTTTCCTTATTGGTTTACAGGCATGTAGGTTCGTGTAGACACGCCCCTTTTATAAATGAGCCAGTTACAGCTATCTAAAATGGAAAGTTCAACTTTCTTTTGATAATTATTGATCTACTCAGTCCAGAGGTTCATACAACACTAGTTTCGTTGCGATTGAGTTAAAAACCAGGGACTAGTTCGCAAAAGTAGGTTTTGTTTATATTGATGGTTATTTAATGAACAGTTTGAGTAACAGCAGTGGTTTTAGTCTCAAACTGTTCAGTATGAGCAGACCTATCATATGATATGTAGATTAAGTGTATTTGTGAAATAGTGTTTAAATGAAGCACATTTACTTTATTTTTAAGGCAATTGGCATGTTTTTAAGACTATTTTTGCTATTATAGCGCCACCTATGGTTTGATCTTCACAAAATTTTGCAAGTTTCATCTCGTTGATATGGCACATGTGCTCACCAATTTCTGTGTTGTTTTGGGCTTTCCTTATTGGTTTACAGGCATGTAGGTTCGTGTGGACACGCCCCTTTTGTAAATTAGCCTGTTACAGCTAGCCAAAGTAAAAAGTTCCACTTTTTTTTGATAATTATTGATCTACACAGTCCAGAGATTCTAACAACACTGGTTTCGTCGCGATTGAACTAAAAACCAGGGACTAGTTCGCAAAAGTAGGTTTTTCCTATATTGATGAATATTTAAGAAACGGTGTGAGTGAGAGCAGTGGTTTGAGTGTCAAACTGTTAAGTATGAGCAGGCCTATCATATGATATGTATTTTGTGTGGTTGCGCAAAAGGTTGTGTGATACACAACCCATTACACACTAAAAATACGTAAAATCGCCCCCTAGCGGCCGATTTCTTTCAAAATTCTTACAGACCTCTAGGACCATGAGTCGAACATGCCCAGCGAGTTTCGTTTCGATCACTCATCGTTAACCTTGTTAAATGGCTGCTCAATTTTAATTGGCCAATGGCGGCCATGTTTTTTGAGATATCCCAATGTCCTTATAGTATGTTATGACAACTTGGTCAAAGACACTGCATGCCAAATTTCAAGCTGATTGGACTAACGGCTGTAAGGTTAAAGTAATTTTTATGTTTTTTTAGCTTTATAGCGCCACCATGTGGCCAAAGTCTGCGGGTTTTGCAGTGTCACCTCAAATTGAGCTTATGCATGTGTGTGCCAAGTTTGGTGATGATATCTCATTTCGTTCAAAAGTTATAGCTCCAATTAGCATTTAGCTTCAATTAGCATCGAACATTGTTGTGTACTGTTTCGAGTGAGAATAAAAATGTCAACTTTTTTTTGATAATTATTGATATTCAGTGTCCAGAGAACATTTGAGAGCTGGTTTGGTTTAGATTGAGTGAAAAACCTAGGACTAGTTCGCAAAAGTAGGTTTCGGACAAATCGCGATGTAGCGCGAAAACGGTGCGTCGTAGAGCAAAAAGTTCAGCTGTGCACTTTTGTTGGGGCTAACCCAAGGATTGGAAAAATGTAAAGTTTTTGAGTCTACGACAAACGGTGAACGTATAGCAGGCAAAAATGTCCAAAAAGTGGGTTTTTGGCGCCATAGCGCCACCTATGGTCCGATTTGGCTGATCTTTTGTGAGAATGTAGTGTACCGGGGTACTACGATCTGGCCAAGTTTCAGCTCTCTCGGCCTTACGGTTTGGTCTGGGCAATAGTGACTTCGGCAGAATAATAATAATAATAATAATAATAATAATAATAATAAAAATTTTAACAAAAACAATAGGGTTTCAGCGCTTCGCGCTTGACCCCCTAATAATAATAAAAATCTTAACAAAAACAATAGGGTTTCAGCGCTTCGCGCTTGACCCCCTAATAAAAATCTTAACAAAAACAATAGGGTTTCAGCGCTTCGCGCTTGACCCCCTAATAATTAGGCCATATCCTGAGCTGCTGCTGCGCTGATGGTCATGGGGAGTGGAGAACATGAGTCTGATTCCAGCGACGCTCCAGGGACAGACGAGTCTTCGCTGAGGCCATCTTCCAGCCTCCACCGCGGTGACTGCAGCTCAGCACAAGACTTTTGGCCAGCGGAGAAATTAAAATGGTCATGCCGAACTAAGTCTGGTTCTCTCAAGGTTTTTTTTTTTCTTCACTCCTATCAGGTGAAGTTTTTTTTCCCCTCTCCGCTGTCACCACTGGCTCGCATGGTTCAGGATTGGTGGAGCTACGCATCGATGAATTTGCTCTTCAGTGTTTGAACTCTCAGTAATGATTTTATATCACACTGAACTGAGCTAAACTGAACTGAACTGAACTGAACTTAAACACTAAAAACTGAACTACACTGTTCCAGTTACTATGACCATTTATGTGAAGCTGCTTTGACACAATCTACATTGTAAAAGGGCTATATAAATAAAACTAAATTGAATTTAATTGAATTAATAATAATAATAATAATAATAATAATAATAATGTCAGTCTTCATTTGTAGACAACCAGACTTTTTTCCCCATTATTTGGACCTGTTTAAGTCACTGAATCCACTGAGCCACTTTTCCTTCCATCCAATGTACTACTTGTTTGCAACCAGTAATAATAGTTTGCCTTAGTGCAAATCTTGTTTCTCTATTAAACATTTCTTTGAACAGTGCTCCCAGTAAGAACACAACTGGATCTAGGGGTATTTCTACATTTAATATCCCATCTATTTCTTTTTTAACATTTTTCCAAAATTCTTGAATTAAGAACACTTTTGTGCTGAAAAAAGGAGTATAAGCATTTTGTACGCCAATGTCTTCATCAGATACATGTTTACTATGGGCAGTATGACTTATTTTCCATTTGAGTTGGCAGTGCAACATGCAAGTGACGAATTGCCCATAGTACACACACCCTAATCTAACATGGAAAATATAGGCTTTAACAAATGTCAGTAGTGACTATTGTAACCTAAATAGCAAACTCAGAAATGAATCACAAAATTCTGTTTCTAAAATGCACACAATTCTACAATTTAAATGATTAATATTATTATCATGTTTATAGTAAGATGCTTATTGTGCAAAAGGTGGTCATGGTTACAGTGACGTCAACATGCAAACCTGAAAACCAGGAAGACAAGAAATATGTGTTGTCGTTTTTTTTTTTTAGTACTCTATGTATGCAGTTTGCCATGTCAGCTTATTGCTAAAGGAGTGCACATTACCAGAAACGAAACACAAGAAGAAACCTGAATCATTTGCTTTAACAATGAAAGTGCAGCGTATTTTAACAGCTCTATTGCTTGTGAGTAATATAACTTCATCTTCATGTTTTCTGGAAGCCTTCACAGATGCCTTGAAGCATTCTGCAGTTTACAAATTTTTTGAAAGGGACGATTTGCTGGTTTTTGACCCTAAACGTGAGTAAAATTGCTGAGAGGCATTTGTTTTCAATAGCTAAATTTTAGTATTGTTAGCTTTCTGTTGTCACAATAACTTCCCAAAAAAGCACATATTTACTTGTTTAAGTGTTTAGTAGAAGGGGAAAGGTTTCTGTTAAAAAAAAAAAAAAAATGTCATGCTATTTAAATAAGGTTTAATTTTTTTGACATGACAATTTTTTTCTCAAACCATGTCCAACTTGGTACCACATATACATGGTCAAATAATTTTTACATGCGTTTACAATTGTTTACATACAAAAACAGCATTAATTATAAAAAGTGACTGAATGAGACTCCAGTGTTGTTTCTCACAATTTTAATTTATAGTTCTTCTATTATCCTCTATATCTTTGACTTGTATATTTCTACATTTTTCAGGTTTGGAGAAAGATTTGAATGACTTTCTTTTTGGCCAGCACATCGCATCTAATGTTATATTAAAATCGGTATCATCATTTATGACTGACAGCAAACCAAACAAACCGCTGGTCCTCTCTCTTCATGGCACTACAGGAACCGGGAAAAATCACGTCACTAAAATTCTTGCAAGAAACATTTACAAAAAAGGGGAAGAGAGCAAGCATGTTCAGATTTATGTTTCAGAATATAATTTCCCAGATAGAGGAAAGGTTGACTTATACACAGTGAGTATTGCAATATCAAAATATGTTTCTAAAACATTAAATGGCCCACAGTATTCTTTATTGGCCCTCAGTATTTTTATTTTTACAATAATGAAGCTCTGTGTCATTTCTGTTAAACTTTCACTGAAAGCATTTTTCACTTGTAAATATATTCATTCATTCATTCATTCATTTTCTTGCGGCTTAGTCCCTTTATTAATCCGGGGTCGCCACAGCGGAATGAACCACCAACTTATCCAGCAAGTTTTTACATTTACATTACATTTACATTTAGTCATTTAGCAGACGCTTTTATCCAAAGCGACTTACAAATGAGCAAATGACTTACAAATTTTTACGCAGTGGATGCCCTTCCAGCCGCAACCCATCTCTGGGAAACATTCACACAAACACTCATACTTTATGGAAAATTTAGCCTACCCAATTCACCTGTACCGCATGTCTTTGGACTGTGGGGGAAACCGGAGCACCCGGAGGAAACCCACGCGAAGGCAGGGAGAACATGCAAACTCCACACGGAAACGGCAACTGAGCCGAGGTTCGAACCAGCGACCTTCTTACTGTGAGGCGACAGCACTACCTACTGCGCCACTGCCTCGCCCTTGTAAATATATATAAATAGATATATATATTTCTAAATATAACAGTTTTAATATCTAATTTTTAATTTTCTTTTATCATTACCATGATGACAGTACATAATATTTTACTAACCAGTGGCGGTTCTAGTTTGAATGGCACCCTGGGCGAACCCCCCATATTCACCCCCTAGACACCATGTCGGAACACATGTACTTGACTCAAATAATTCAGATCGCATACAAACTGAAATTGTACTATTTCACTACATCTGAACCTATGCTGCTTTTTTTGCTGCAAAGTCATCAATTATATCATCATAGTTAATTAAAATAACCCAAAGCCAGGGCGTTGCTTGAATATTGCATATATATATATATATATATATATATATATATATATATATATATATATATATATATATATATATATATATATATATATATATATTTATTTATTTATTTTTTTTTTTTCAATAAAAATAGCAATTTATTTATATTTATCAATTTTTTTTATTATTATTATTGTTATTATTATTAACTGGAAAACTATGTAAAGAAACAATGCTAAGATCAATTAAGAAATCTTTTGCATGAATTATAATTAGGACAATTCTATAGAATATGGAAAAATGTTTTATGGAATTATCTGTTGTCTTAGACCCAACACATGGCCGAGAATTTGTTATCAAGTCTTACCTGCCTAAAATAAGATCATCATCACTATCACATCATCACTCATAATTTAAACTTTAGATTTGTCGACTTTCAAAACTTGCTACATGCCGACACCTCTACATAAAAGACTGGTACTCCAGTTTCACGGCATATGAGCTGTGCATATTTTTTCATCATGCATGTAAACGACTGGGATTCACACCGGGAGCAGGAGAAGCGTATATAAGGCGTATGGGAATGGTTTTCTGCGCTTATGCGTCAGTTTGTTTTCACCAGCGTTGTTTCGGTTGCACATAGAGAATAACAAACTTGCGCTTGCAAAAGTGGAACACAAAACGTTACAAATGTGAATGGCCCTCAACATTTTTGTTGTGGGATTACCACTCTAAATTAATACACTTGCATAAAGTAAATTGTATTTCAAAGCTTTTACTGGGGCAGGTTTGTTCTGTAGACAATCGAAACAAAACATTGCTTAAGGGGGCTAATGTTATTGACTTTAAATTAAAAACTGCTTTTATTGTAGCCAAAATAAAACAAATAAGACTTTCTCCAGAAGAAAAAATATGATTCTGTGAAAATTTCTTTGCTCTGTTTAACATCATTTGGGAAATATTTGAAAAAGAAAAGAAAATTCACACGGGGGAGAAGAATTCTGACTTCAGCTATATATTCATGCTATGGAACCAATGTTTTATTTTTTATAGCAAATATTTATTTGAACAAATTTGCAAATTATTAATATACGGTAACAAATATTTTTATTGTCAACAATCATTGTTCATGTCCAACCTGGTATCACGTTCACCGTCGCATAATTTTTACCACAAAGATCTTCTTTTAGCTAAGTGTTTACAAAGTAAAAAAAAACTTACTCATTATTTAATTTAAAGAAAGTAAGATGGATACAGATTATATACAGTATATGGCATATTTTGGGAATAATTCTGTCTATTCAGGCTCAGCTAAGGCAGTGGATTTATGGAAATGTATCCAGCTTTCCCCGGTCCATGTTCATATTTGATGAAATGGACAAGATGCAACCACAGCTGATTGATGTCTTAAAACCTTTTCTGGACTACTCTCTGGTGAATGGAGTATCATTTCACAATGCAATCTTCATTTTTCTCAGGTGATGCAGTAAAATCATTGATTTCCACAACTGTTGCTGCATGTAACAGAATAGCCATACAAAGATTCAAGAATGATGTAATGGTAATTAAATAGCTTACCTCTTCTCTCCCATAAGACTGTCACTAATGATGATCTGTGTTTATTTGTAGCAATGCTGGTGGGAAAGTGATTGCTGACTTGGCTCTAGATTTTTGGAGAGAAGGGAAAAATCGGGAAGATCTGTGGATGAACAGCAGGGAGCTGGAGATTAAAATCTCTACAAATGTCTACAATGATAAGAACTGTGTGTATTAGTGATTAGTTGTAAAATAATTGAATAGTTAAATTATTTTGCACGGATATGCAGGGTGGCTGTAAACTAATAGGCAATAGTTAAAGAGAAACATCAGCTAAAAATGAAAATCAACGAAGTATTTACTCGCACTCAAGTGGTTCCAAACTTATGAGATTCTTTTATCTGTTGAACACAAAAAGAAGACATTTTTTGAATAACCGGTAACGATTGACACTCTATAGTAGGAACAACAAATATACAAGTTAATGGTTACCAGTTTCCTACTTTCTTCAAAACATCTCAGTAAATGATGACAGATTTTGCATTTTTAAGTGAACTATCCCTTTAATGGCTATAGAATGTACATTTAAAGTATTGTATGGTTTGGCACCTCAATATTTCCTAGAACTTTTAACAGTTTACTCTCCTGATCTCTGTTTCCAGTCTTTTAAAAGTTCCCTTAACTTGTCTGCATTCTATGGGAACTCACTTTCCTTTAATTTAAGGCATGCAAAATCTTTTAATGCTCATGTACTGTTCAAATTTACTACCCTTTCGTTGTTTATGGCTTTTTGCCTCATTGATTTTTTCAATTAAAATTAAAAATATATATAAATATAGTAAAAATTAAGAAACTGTACTTCTGCCCAACAGGGAAAACCACAAAAAATTAAGAATGCATGACTATGCATATGGTGTCATGGCTTTGCATGTAATATAGACACAAATATAAAAGAAGTCAATAGTGCCGAAACAGCCACAAACATCTTAAAAGAGTTGTAAATTTGCACAGAGTGTGTTGAGTTTTTAAAGCATTTTCACAAAATATGTGTCAAAATAACATTTGTCACCAAAAATCATTACATTTGCTGAAACAGAGAAAGTTGTGGCCAAATTAAGAGTCAAAAATCGCCCCAGAGTGGATGAAAACATCCCCAACAACACACAAAGGATGAGATGCACTTTTTAGACTCGCCTACCTCTGAGGTGTGCGTTATTAGTGTGTTTTAGTTTTTTATTTAATTTAGACATGTTACACAAAGCAATGCTGTTTTATCCCTCTATATTTTAAGTGTAAAATGCTTTGAGAATTAAGTTTAAAAGGCACTAAATAACGCATATTTTATTATTATTATTATAGAACTTATGTCACTAGAGTCATGATGAAAACTAAATACTAATAAACTAACTACTGTCTCTAAACAGACATTAGTAAACAGGATTTCTTATTTGTGGATATAGACATAAACTATTAAAGGCAGTATTAGCTAGACCAGTGGTTCTCAAACGTTTTTAACTAAGTACCACCTCAAAAAAAAAAAAAAAAAAAGTCCAAGTACCACCAAAATGACCAGTATTTAAATAAAGTAGCATAGTTGGCCAAATTAAGCAGCTGCAGCAATGCACAGTTCGAAAACAAGGCATATCCATATTTATATAATTTGACAACTTGACCATGTGACTTGCGGAGCGGCATTCTGAAAAGATGTTTTTAACTGGGCACGCCTGGAATACGCAAGATCGTCATGCTGCAGTTCCTACTCATTTTGCTAGCCTGTTGGTTAAATGTTGATGCTTAAGTGACTAAGATTTAACAAGAGAACACGGTCATTTTTCAAACTAAATAAAACTTCAAAATAAATGATCGTTCGGTACTAATTGATCTATAGACCGGTGCCAGTCTGTGGCCCAAGGGTTGGGGAACACTGCTCTTGTATCTGCTCTGCAAGCACCACACACCTCTTTCTCTAGTTCTGCCTTATATGGATTGATATTTAGCAGCTGATGATAGCCCCTTTCACACATACAGATCTTTCCGGAAAATTGCCGGCAATTTTCCGGAAAGGTTGTATGTGTGAACAGGTCCTTTTTGAAAATACCGGTAAATTCGTTCTGGCTATTTTCCGGAAAGAGAAGTTGTAACATTACTGGTAATTTGTGAATGCAGAAGGAAGATTGCCGTAATCTAGAACGTGCTGACGTGAGACGTCTGCTTTAGCCAATCGCAACAGTCAGACGCATTTACGTCCGCGCGGTTTAAGAGAATAAAAGCCTTTGAATATTTTTCCAGACACATTTAGCTGCTAGAAGTTAGTCAGATCACGTTTATATGTTCTTCTTAATGCCAACTGTGTAAATAATCATCGATGAGATGCTTATGATAAGCCGTTGTTTGTTTACCTTCAAGCTTTGCGTGTGCCTGTGAAACAGCCTGTGAGCGCCTGCACACGCACATATTATGAACATCTCGACATGCGAAAGTGATCCTGCGAAAGTTATTCACAATATTGATCATCCACAGAGTCTGTAATTTAGTCAAATGTTTACAAATACAAGCGCAGCCGTTTAAAGTTTAATTGTGGTGAATGATGTCAGAAATTACCGGTATTTTGGAATGCATGTGTGAATGCTCTTTTCCGGATAATTTCCGTAACGTCCTCGCCTGTGTGAACAGCGCTTTTTTGAATATACCGGTAAAGTCGTTCCGGAAATTTTCCAGATATTTACCGGTATCACTGTGTGAAAGGGGCTGATGACTCGATGCACTAAAGTAAACATTCTAAGCACAGTGCTTTTGATCATTGTCTTTAGGAGAACAGCCAATTTTGATCACATCCGTGTTATCGTATGCATCAAATGATTAAAATTGTATTCATTTTTTCTTTAATTACTTAGTGATTCCTCCGCGTACCACTAGTGGTACATGTACCACAGTTTGAGAACCACTGACCTAGACTGAGGTCTGCTTTTCACCCACTCTGCATTTTTTAAACATTTTGTCACCTTGGATTTATAAGGTTATATCTACATTCTGAATAAGTTTGAGATATTGAGCTTCAAAGTTTTTGCATTCCATATAGCAAACAGTATGTGTGTAACATTTGTTTTCTTAATAAAAAAAAAGTCTTAAAATGTAAACAATTTATAAAAAAAACATCCCACAATGTAAATAAGTTGTTATTTTATAAGAATATATCAATAACTCAATTTTGATAAAAATGTCAGATAGAATCTTATAAGTTTAAGGTGACGATATTTCAAAAGCCAATGTGTTTTGAACTCAACAAACCATTTAATCTTATGTTTATAGTATTCTTTTCTGAATTTGTGGTTGCAGGTGGATTTCTGCACACTAGTATTATAGACGAGCATCTGATTGATCACTTTATTCCTTTCCTACCTCTGGAGCTGAAGCATGTTCGCCAGTGTGTTTTGGCTGAGATGAAGCATCTGAACATCACAAAAGATGATGAACTGGCTGATGAAGTGGCCAGAGACATGCCTTACTTCCCTGAAGAAGAGAGAATATTTGCTGTTAAAGGCTGCAAGTCAGTCAGACAGAAGTTGGTGCTGCATGTTGATGAATAGACTTCTCACAGCTGTTTGCTTTATAAATTATTTGTAGAACCAGAACTTGTGCATATTTATTCCTGCACCTCCACCTGCTGGTCATCATGTGACATTGTCAGAGCTTGAACGTCAGTGAATGTCGCTTACAAAGAAAGATCCCAACAAACACATTTACGTTGTAGCGATGTCCGCACAACGTTGTATTTTTTTAAAGGCAACGTTGCCGCTTACGTGCTCGCTACATTGTCACAACGTAGAAATGTAAGACGTGAGAAGGCTGTAGCAACGTTGTCGTGCGACATTCAGCAACCGCGAGGCGGCGTTCTTACTACTTGTATTAATATTTTTTTGTGGCAGTTTATCAATACTGCCTAGAATACAGGATAAGCAGCAATTCTTTTCCAGTATTGCTTAATATGAAATATTATTCATTTATTTTTCGCATTTAATTTAATAACTGCATGTGTAAACTTTAAAGTGTAAAAATGCCACAAAAATTAATAATCAAACTTTTTATTATATATTTCACAACATTTAATACATACAGTACACATACAGTATCTAATTATAAGCAAACAGTATAAAATAAAGTTTAGATTTTATATATATATATATATATATATATATATATATATATATATATATATATATATATATATATATATATAATTAAACTAAAGGGTAAACAAACAAGAAAAGTAAACAAGAAATCATTAAAATGTAAATAAATATATAAATTAAAATTCAAACACTGGGCAGTGAAGCTCTGGACTGGAGAATACAGCAGACCGGGGAGCGCAGCTGAAGACCAGTCGTAGTTGTTGGTATGGAGAAAGCAGTCAGAGGAAGAAACAAATTCAACTGATAATCCAGCTTCAGAGATCCACAGCAGACACAAGTCAAAATAGGCAGTGAACAAGAGAGGACAGATCAGAGCTTGACACAACAGCACTACACAGGAAATGACTATAACTAGCAAGTTATTGAAGTTTAAGACATTTATTGTAATTTCATTACATATAAAATATCCAGAGTAATTATGAAGCCTACTTTATTTTAATGTTTTAATAATATATCATATACCAAAATTACATACAATTAAATAAATTTAGAGATACAGGGAAAACAGGTTTGAGTTAACAGAAGTCAGAGTTAGTCTCCGAATACTTACTTAAATTATGAGAAGAGAAAGAACAGGCCCTGTAGTTGTGGCGTTGCTCGCTGTAAATGGAATGTTAAACTTAGTGTCATTTCAATAACAGCTGTACAAAATAATAAAGTAATTTTTCATAAGCATGATCTATTTTCCACATTATGGACATGCTGTTTTAGGTAACATAACTACATTTAATAGTAAATAAAATAGTATACTTCTTACCTCATCCAATTCTTCTTTCCATAGATCAGGAATTACAGCAACACTGATCTGAGGTGAATTCAACAGCTGAAAACATTTTGAAAGACAAGTTACATGAGTAATTTGAAAACAACAGTGAGTGATTAAACAATAGAGTTTTATGCAACTTACGCATAATTAAAATCCAGAAATTATCAATAGAAGATTACCTCCATGTAAAAATAGCCTGTTGAGCAAAGAAAAGAGTGGGTTTTAAATAAAACATCAAAAGACCAATCAAAATAGAAATTTAGACTAGCAGACCTTTTAATTACTATCTATATTAATTAGGCATATGAACATTAATTTATATACTTTAACTTATAGGGATAGCTCACCCAAAACTGACAATTCTGCCATTTTAGCCTCATCCTTTATTTGTTGCAAACTTATATAGCTTTTTTCTGCTAAACAATAAAGAAGATATATTAAATAAAGCTGGAAACTGTAACTATTTAATTCCATAGTGTTTTCCTACTATGAAAGCAAATTTAAGTGTTCAACAGAATAAAGAAACTTAAAGGTTTGGAATCACTTACTATTTACAGGGCAAATAATTCGTGAGTACATATCATTTTTGAGTGAACTGTTACTTTAACGGGACGCAATCTGCACAGAGGTGTTTTGTTTTTAAAAGTTATTTTGTGTGTTTTGTAAATAGTGGGTCGGCTCGTGTGATAAAGTATCATACTGACTGATCACGATGGATATGGAGAAAACTGAACTTCAAAAACATTATTGTCCATTTGACTAAAGACAAGGCGTAGGTAAATAATCAGGAAATGTTTTATCGACAGATTTAACATAATGATTTTAATGTTGTTGCCGTCCGTGAACAGATTGCCGAAATGTTACTCGCTCGTAATAATTACGGCTTTTGTGTGTGTGTAATGTTGGAACAGATTGTTGTCGAAATCGTAGGTTTGTTTGAATATTCACGATTTACGTATCTTATTTAGCATGAAGAAATAAAGCAATACTCACGTCTCCTCGGTCGTTGATGAATGAGACGACGGCTTGTTGAAATTTAAACTGATTCAGCTGTGACCAGTAAATGTTGTACAGTGGTCGTCCACGCCACCTAAGCACAACCTAAAGCATGCGACCCTCATGATGTTTAAATGGCAACCTTATGACATCGTTGTGACAACGTTTAGCAACAACGTAGAATCCTCAACCTTTTTACAATGTTGGTACAACGTTGTAGGAAGGTCGCTACGTTGAGGCAACGTTGTGTGTTTGTTGGGATGTGTCTTTACTTGATATTTATGTGGGGATTTTGTGTATATGAGTTTATTTTCTGTCATATGCCTAGGGTTTTATTCTGAAGTAATAAGCTACGTAAACTCACATGAAGTTTAGCCTACATAGGATATGCTGCTTATAGTTCTCTAAAATATTAATAACATAAATAATAATAAAAAGTCATGAATTGCCAGTGTGTGGTCATTTAAACGTGTTCTTGATGCTTTCGTTCGTGTAAAGAAATGAATAAATGGTTTCGAAAGAGATTTCAATGTTAGCTGAAGGTGTAGCCTAACGTTACTTCCCAATGTCTCTTGCGACTTGACAAAACGAAAGCGATACTGCAAGTTTTAACAATGAGAGCTCGGCATTGTATGATAGTTTTATTGTTGGGATGTAATATAACTTTCTCTTTAGGTTTTCTTGACGTTGTAGTGGCTGTGGCATCTCATGTGTTTGACAAACTGTTTAAAACTGACGGTTTGCTGCCTTTTAACCGTACACGTGAGTACATCCACAACGTTTGTTATGTTTATTGGGATTCAAACAAAAAACTTTAATAATCCAAAAACTTTAATCTTTTACAACTCAATAACTACCGCAAAGTAGCATGTTCCTGTGTTATAAGTAAGCTATAGCAAGTTTAAAATGTTCACCTAACAAGGGATGTCCAAAATCGGTCCTGGAGTCTTGCTAGTTTTACTCTAACTTGCTCCAACACACCTGCCAAGAAGTTTCTAGATTTAGTAAAACCTTGATTAGCTGTTTCAGGTGTGTTTGATTATTTGGAGCTAAACTCTCAAGGACATCTGCCCTACAGGACCGAGTTTGGACACCCCTGACACTCAAAAAATGATGTTTGCTGTTTGTTCATACTTATTTAAAATTAGCAACACCAATGTTAAAGTTTTATTGGGACAACTTGATTGTTTTATGTTCAATCTACTGTTAAAACTAATGAGATAATTGCATTTTCTCATGTTGCTCCAACACTAATCAATTGTGTGGAACCCAGCATTTATTTATTTTTTTTATTTTTTACAGTGTAGTAGTTCATCTTTAAAGTATTAACCCTGTAAGACCCGACATATCAAAAAATCTAATTTTCTGGAACTGAGATGTTTATTAAACCATATGGCAAAAAAAATAAATAAATTGCCAAATACATTATTTTATGATATTTATTGTGTATCACATTCGACACATTAGGCATTTGTGCAACTTTTTCCCACAACAATGTTATTTTAAATTACAAAAAAATATTTTGGGCTATGCGGTGGTGCAGTAGGTAGTGCTGTCGCCTCACAACAAGAAGGTCGCTGGTTCCAGCCTTGGCTGGGTCAGTTGGTATTTCTGTGTGGAGTTTGCATGTTCTCCCTGCGTTCACGTGGGTTTCCTCCGGGTGCTCCAGTACAGGTGAATTGGGTAGGCTAAATTGTCTGTAGTGAATGAGTGTATGGATGTTTCTCAGAGATGGGTTGCAGCTGGAAGGGCATCCGCTGCGTAAAACATATGCTGGATAAGTTGGAAGTTCATTCCGCTGTGGCGACCCCAGATTAGTAAAGGGACTAAGCCGAAAAGAAAATTATGAATGAATGAAAATAATTTTGCCCTTAACATTTTGACAACAGAGAACATTTCAGGCAGTTTTCTCTTAGTTTTTTTTTACGTAAAAATCTTGACAGTCTATTATTTCACTTTGTGGTCGGCGTAATAGCAGTTTCAGTCTTTGTTCAGGCAAAGCATTTTTCTACTTACACAGTACACAGAAGTGAGAAATGATAGCTGGAGCAGTGCTTTTATCTATGTCAGGTTTCTCCATGCTGGAAAATGATCAGGGCCATGAATTCTTACATTAAAAGTCACACCACAACTTGACCTTTTGTCGGGTGCATGTTCATGTACATCCCTAAGACAATCTCTTTGGCATCTGTGTTTACCGTTTATTTGTTCTCCAGTGTCCTGTACCATTTAATCAGTGGCAAACTATTTCAATACTCTACACCAGAGTCACCAAACTTGTTCCTGGAGATCCAGTGTCCAGCAGATTTTAGCTCCAACCCTAATCAAACACACCTGAAGCTAATCAAGGTTATACCAGGTATACTTGAAACACCCAGGCAGGTGTGTTGAGGCCAGGTTGAGCTTAACCCTGCAGGGCACCAGACCTACAGGAACGAGATTGGTGACCCCTGCTCTACATTTAAAGAGTCCATCATATTAATTCATTTTCTTTTTCGGCTTAGTCCTTTTATTAATCTGGAGTTGCGACAGCGGAATAAACCGCCAACTTATCCAGCATACGTTTTTAAAAATTAGGTGTTTGGGTAAAGGTTTTTTCTGTTGTATATTTTGTTGTATCCTGGTATATTCTTTTTTCTATAATTTGTAATGTAATATTATGATTTGTTTCTGTAGTCTCACTTGGAATATTTAATTTGTATAATTTATAAATGTATATATTTAAAAAAAATAAAAAATTCTTGTTGTGAGATAATAGAATATCATGTGATCCGGAAGTATACAAAAAGGAGCACCTGATTGTGATGAACACTGTCTGATGAAGAGCCGTGCATTACACGCTTTGTGTCAGCTTTTTAATTTAAGAAATTAGCATTTTTGAATATATATTTTGCACTTTTTGCATTTTTTGGCTGAGCACACAGTTTAGAGTGATACATTTTTTTAAATGCAATATTTTTATAATTGAAAATTAAATATAAAGGTGTCTGGCATAAGCAACAGTTTCTTATTCTACTCTCATTTATTTAATTGTTTTTTTATTGTTTATTACAATCTCCATGTCCGTTGAAGAATCTGTAACAAAAATCAAAACGGTTTATTTTATTTATTTATTTGTTGTTTTTTTTGTGCTTGATGGATTATTCAGTTGCACTATAGCTTATAATTTACATTATAAGTTGTAGTATACTATCATGATGTTACATTATACTTTAATAGCACACATTTGCCATATCATAAACACTATTTCTGATTTCACATCTTACAGGTTTACAGGCAGATTTTGACAAATCTCTCTACGGACAGCACATCGTCTCTGATGTTGTGCCAAAATCTGTATCATTCTTCATGACTGACAAAAACCCAAACAAACCTCTGGTCCTTTCTTTCCATGGGACTGCGGGAACTGGAAAAAACCACGTTGCTAAAATCATCGCAAGAAATGTATATAAAAAAGGAGAGAAAAGCAAGCACGTTCACACATTTATATCTCAGTTTCATTTCCCACATCAAGAAAATGTGCACATGTACAGTGTAAGTCAATATATTCAGTATTTGTAGCATTAAACTATAATTGTATAAGTATAAACTCGGGTTTTCTTTTTCTTCATATTCAGGCTCAGCTAAAGCAGTGGATTCATGGAAATGTATCCAGCTTTCCCCGCTCCATGTTTATATTTGATGAAATGGACAAAATGCATCCAGAGCTGATCGACATCATAAAACCTTTTCTAGACTACAATTACAATGTGGATGGAGTATCATTTCACACTGCGATCTTCATTTTTCTAAGGTAATGCACTAAAATGTTACTGTCAGATCCAAATGGAGTCCAGACTCCATAAGACTGAAACTAATGAGGATCTGTGTTTATTTGTAGTAATGCAGGTGGCAATGTGATTGTTGACTTGGCTCTGGACTTCTGGAGAAAAGGGAAAAGTCGGGAAGAACTAAGGATGAACAGCAGCAAGCTGGAGACTAAAATCTCTAAAGACATCTTTAATGGAAACAGTGTGTATTAACGATGCACTAACATAAATATATAGATTTTTATATCAATAGGGCATCACGGTGGCGCAGTGGGTAGCACGATCGCCTTACAGCAAGAAGGTTGCTGGTTCAAGCCTCGGCTGGGTCAGTTGGCGTTTCTGTGTGTTCTCCCTGTGTTCATATGGGTTACCTCTGGGTGCTCCGGTTTCCCCTACAAGTCCAAAGACATGTGGTATTGGTGAATTGGGTTGGCTAAATTGTCAGTAGTGTATGTGTGTGAATGAGTGTGAATGGATGTTTCCCAGTGATGGGTTGCAGCTGGAAGGGCATCCACTGCGTAAAACACATGCTGGATAACTTGGCGGTTCATTCCGCTGTGGCGATCCCAGATTTAAGCCGAAAAGAAAATGAATGAATGTTTTTGACTAATGACTCATTGTAATTGAAACTGAAAGCAAAACAAATATTGTTGCTGCATTCCAGTCAAATTTTTTTATGCCCTCCTCTTGCTAACTTCTCTCCGTTTCATTCATTCATTCGGATGTACATCAGTGACTATGTTTACATCAGTAACTAAGGACTAAGGTGGCTAAGGATTTTACATGAGTTGCATTTTGAATGGTTCTCATTTTACATGTTCGATTAACGTCATTATGTCAACTATCGACCACATTCTTTACGTACGTCCGGGCGCAGACATTGAAATCTTTTTGGCTTGAGACTTCCAGTCTCATTGACTCCATTATTTTTAGATGTTAAAAACGGTTTGGTATGCTGCTTGATGTTGCAAACTGATATTTTCTTATTCTGCTTTGTCTGTATAGTCATGCACACACACGTTTGACCGTTTTCTGCCGTTTATTATTCCTAGTCATTTCTCCCATAGGCAAGTTCTAAACGAATGCACTTCCGCATTGAAGAATAAGGTCAATAGGCTACTTTTGCTATTCTAATAACTTTGGTTAGAGGCTAGAAACAAAACATAAAAAGTGCCACTCTTAAAGTCCTGCCCAGTTAAAGTTGTAAAACTGACTCTGGTCCATGAATAAATAATGCACAAAGTGTAATATGGTGCATCACCACCTAGGATGTGGAATATTCATTAATAATTGAATGGTGGCACGGTGGCTTAATAATAATAATAATTCCTTACATTTATATAGTGCTTTTCTGGACTCTCAAAGCGCTTTACACATTGGGGGGAATCTACTCATCCACCACCAGTATGTCAGTGGGAAGATTTGGCCAGGATGCCAGGGTTAAACCCCTACTCTTTTTCGAAGGACATCCTGGGATTTTTAACGACCACAGAGAGTCGGGGGCTCGGTTTAACGTCTCATCCGAAAGACGGCGCTGAGCAGTATATAATCACCTTCACTATACTGGGGCATTAGGACCCACACAGACCACAGGTTGGGTTTCCTCTGTTGGTCTCACTAACACCACTTCCCGCAGCAACCTAGCTTTCCCATGTGGTCTCTAATCCAGGTACTGACCAGGCGCAGCCCTGCTAAGCTTTAGTGGGCGACCATGTGAGAGTTGCAGAGAGCTAGCTGCCGGCTTAGTGGTTAGCACTCCTTGCAACTATATTTCCTCATAGCTTTATACATGTTTAATTTACACACATTTATGTCTGTATTTAATTTACATTTTAGCATTCAAAGGCTTAAACTAAAAGCAATGTGTACCTGTCCAACAGGTGGATTTCTGCACTCTAGTCTCATAGATCATCATCTGATTGATCACTTTGTTCCCTTCCTACCTCTGGAGTTGAAGCATGTGCGCCAGTGTGTCTTGGCTGAGATGGAGCATCTAGAGATCCCAAAAAATGATGATCTGGCAGATAAAGTGGCCCAAGACATGCCTTACTTCCCTGATGAAGAGCGAATCTTTGCTGTTAAAGGCTGCAAGTCAGTCAGACAGAAGTTGGTGATGCATGCTGATGAATAGAAGACACACTTTTTCGCCTTATTTTTGACCTTGGACTCTCCACCATTTTATGTTGCATGGGTATATTATTGCAATTGGAAACGCCAAATGTACATTGTACAGTAGCTCCTATAATAACTATGGGTCAGAATTATAGCTTCTTCCTTTATACCCAAATCATTATGTAAAGATTATGTTCCATCAAGATATTTAGTAAATTTCCTACTGTAAATATATCAAAACTGGTAATATGCATTGTTAAAAACTTAATTTGCACAACTTAAATAGTGATTTTTCTCAATGTTTATATTTTTTAAACACTTTTTTTTATACACTGTTGTGTTGTCCAGGGTCAGATTTGTGATCACTGTTTTAACCCCTAATGCACATAGATGAACAGCAATAGTGCTGCGGTAGTTTTTCTGAAGTGAATAAAATGCCTAAAACATCTAGTCTGTTTAGTTTCAGAGTCCACATTCTTTTACCCTACCAGAGATTTTAAACCATTTTACCATTTCAGCTGAAACTAAATCTTGCCTTCTAACCCTGGCATAATACAATTAGGGCCTACTCACTCTATGCCATCCATACCGTGCCCAGGCCCGTTTCCTGGATAGTTTGAGAAGTGTGAGTGCGCTGAATCTGGCTCAAGCACAGTTCACTTGGCCGGCCCTGGCCCGGTTGGAAGAGGTGTGCCTGAGCGCGGTTCACTTGGGCTTTGGCGCGGTATGCTTGTGTGTGAGTGCAAAACGTGCCAAAGCCCGAAACTGAAAGCGAGACGTGACTTTTAAGGGGCTGTTTTTATATGGATTTATTAATCATTCTTAGTGTTCAGTGAACGAAACTGCTGTAGTTTATTAAAGACGAGAACTCCTCACAGCACGACAGCTGCACGGCTTCATCAGACCTCCTCATTCCTGCAGCACGAGAGCTTTATGATTGTTTATGAGCGCCAAAAGTGGCGGATCTGTTCGGCGAAATATCTGACTGTGTCACCGCATCCCTAAGGACTGTTTGGCGAAATATTTGTGACTGCATGTCACTGAATATCAAACGACTGAAACGATATAACTAGAGAAATCTCCACTGTGCTGCTGAGTGAGAGAGTGCTTCGCACTGAACAGCGCAGCAGCGATGACGTAATATCGGGGGAGACAGGAGGGGGGACAAGTGTGCTTTGGCCTGGTTCGAGGCAACTGTACCTAGTGTGAGTACGGCCTTAATGAGTGCAATCAAAGAATAAATGCTTCTTTTTGTGATTGTTGGCTTTCCTTATCCACTTGGGCCACAAATTAAAAGATATACAGTGCTCGAAATTGCGACCGTTTTGGTCGCATATGTGCCCGAAAATTAATCTATGCGACCTCATATTATATTTTGGCGCATTAGTGCGACTGCAGATAATGGTTGTAGTGCGACCTGTTTTGATTTTTTGTAAAAAAAAAAATGTGCTGAATCGCTTTTCCCTGCCGCTATATTGGTTCATATTAGCTGTCAATCACTCAAGGTATTCCGCTGTCAGATGACAGGGAAGGAGCTTTTATGACCACGGGAAATGCAAATGGCTGAAAACTTAAAGCACACAGGTTTGCAAACCCCACCTAAAGTTGAGGCGCAGATGAGAGCGATCATGACACGTCACGTGGTGAATAATGATCCACCAGCTGATATCAATTGAGTACGCGCTTCTTGGAGAAGGCGCCCGAATCTCTATGCGTTGCATTCACTGCATGTTTAGCGCAAATGTCCGCTAAAAGTCAAATCTAATACTGTACATATCATCGCCAAAGAAGCTCGCCTTTACTAAGTTTACACTAAAACTGCGGCTCATAACAAAGAGCGGTATTGCGCCGGTTCTCATTGCAAGAATCCTGCTCTGCCTGCTCATAAATTGGGTCGGCTGACTCGCCAGCTTTTCCACTAACACAGAAAAATGAAGAACATCTCAGACGGAACCTTTAAATTGACACAAACTGAAACCAAAACTTTTAAATAGTGATAGAAGTGAGACATTACTTACTTTCTCTTGTCTATTCTTTTTTGAGGTGTATATTATTTATTTATTTACTGATGACTGCTTTTCAGCTTTCATAATTGAATTGAATGATTTATTATAATCTTTTGTTTTGTAGCAGAAATATTATTTATTAAATTGACATGCATATAAAAACAGCAGTACAAAATAAATATTTCTTACTGCAATGCTTTATTTTTGTTTGATGCAAACGATACAATTATTTTTCATAAAGTAACAGACTTTTTATAGCAGATAACCTACATTCATGCACATTTAAGGCAGTATCATAATGAGAAATGTATTCATTGTTCCTATTATTGTCATTTTTCATCATCATTAATATTATAGCCTAATTATTAGACATTCATTTTGGAATTTTTGCACACAAATAACAATGTCTTCGCAGCATTAGTTAGATAGTTTTTTTCTGGTTTTTGTCAGTCCTATTGATGTTGTTTTAAAATACAATAAAACCCATAAAAAACAATTTGCAGCGGTGCTCATTCATTTTTGGTGGGTGCTCCTAAATTTTTTCTGGTGATCCTAAATTTTTTTTGGTGCTCCTAAATATTTAAAGTTGGGAGCACCGGTGCTACCAAGTAAAAAAGTAAAATTTGAGCCCTGATATATGCTGAACTTGTTTAATATGTGATCAATTACACACAAATTAAGATAACAAGATAATGCCTCATCTAATGTGTATCTAGGTTTAGAAAAATAAAATAAAAAATTGCAAAACTTTTAAAACATACCTACAAATATATGAGCAATTCATTGCAGTTCGCAACTGAAATAAACATTAGATGGTGTATAACAGTGGTTCTCAAACGTTTTTCACCAAGTACCAACTCAAAAAAAAAAAAATAAATAAAATAGTCTCTCCAAGTACCACCAAAATGACCAGTATTTAAATAAAGTAGCATAGTTGGCCAAATTAAGCAGCTGCCTACAGCAATGCACAGTTCAAAAACAAGGCATATCCATATTTATATAATTTGACAACTTGACCACGTGACTTGCGGAGCGGCATTCTAAAAAACAAAACAATTAGTTCGCAACTGAAATAAACATTAGATGCCATATAATAACACAGACATGTATTCATTTGAAAGCAAATTATGATTACAGGGCAAAATTTAATTCAAAGAGGACAACATTCACTGTGAAATAAAACAGCGTAAGAAGCAATCCATGCAATGAAATCCAAAAAATTTTCAAAGCAAGTGTAAGCTAAACTAATCATATTCTATTTTTGTTAGGTGCGCCAGGTTCCTCAGTTTGCCATTTTAGCTGTCATTAGTGTCTCTGCCTTTTCTGCTGCTGTATCTCATCTGCTTCATTGTTTTATGTGTTGTTTGTTTTAATATTCTGATGCAGACCTCAGTTTTAGAGAGTTGTTATTTTACTGTTGTTTTTATATCAGATACCATCTGTTTATTCTCCTCAAACCTCTGGCATCCACAATGTATCTTCACTTACTGGATACATAGAATCAGTGTCGGTAAAGCTTTGTAAAAGAGAAATAAATATATATATATATCTGATATATAATTTATAATGGCGGAGTGGGTAGAACGATCACCTCACAGCAAGAAGGTCGCTGGTTCGAGCCTCGGCTGTTGGCGTAGGTTTCCTCTGAGTGCTCCAGTTTCCCCCACAAGCTCAACGACATGTGTGAATAAATGTTTCCTAGTGATGGGTTGCAGCTAGTAGGGCGTTGTGTAAAACATATGCTGGATAAGTTGGTGGTTCATCACGCTGTGGCGAGCCCAGATTAATAAAGGGAAAAAAGCCGAAAAGAAAATGAATGAATGAATGAAACTAAAGCTAAACTGTTAAACTATAATCTTATCTCAAGTTACATTGTGTTACATTGTAGTTACCTCATGTAACATTAATGATAGGTTAAGTAACCTCTAAAGATACATATTTAAATATGCTGTAAAACTTTTCCACCTCTTCAGAGTCTTCATTTGTAGACATACAGTCATTTTTTTCCATTACATAGACCTGTTTAAGTCTCTGAATAAACTGAGCCACCTTTGAAGGATCTTCTTCCACTTTATGTACTGTTATCATTTTTTTGGCAACCAGTAATAATATCCTTAGTACAAATCTTGTTTCTACATTAAACATTTCTTGTTTCCAGTAAGCACACAACTGGATGGAGAGGTATTTCTTTATTTAATATCTTATCTATTTCTGCTTTAACATTTTTTCAAAATTCCTAAATCAAGAACACTTTTGTGCGGAAAAAGGGAGTACAAGCAATTTGTACACCAATGTCTTCATCAGATCAGATGCATGTTTACTATGGGCAGTATGCAGTGTTGGGTAGTAGCGTCGCTACAAGTAGTGACGCTACTAGCTTAGCTACATTTCTCAGTAGCGTCGCTACTTTCTAAATCAAATAGCTTTTCAGTAGCGAAGCTATTTTATTAGTCAAGTAGCGCAGTAGCGTCCACAAAGCTTCATTTACCAATCGCGGATCAATAAGCGACGGCACCGACATCCACAGAGCTGTGAGGCCGGTGTTTGGCTAATGAAAGTAAATCTATATGACAGCGAGCGTGATGATTTCTTCTTCTTCCTGTTTTACGGTGGTTGACAACAAACTTTTTGGTGCGTTACTGCCACCTCTGGTTGGTGAATTCGTCTGCCCAACCAAATAAGGCTAACACGACAACTTGCTTGATGGAAAGATGACTGAGGGAGAGTTATTTCTGAACTGAAGTAGGATTTTTCGTGACCATACCTCGAAGTACATGTTAAGATGCAATAGCTTAATTTCTGATGCTGTGCTCAAAAAATCCTTTAGTAATTTATAGTAGCCTAGATACTTAAAAAAAATACTGCATTATGTAGTGTAATTTATTAATGAAGAATTGTATATATATATATATATATATATATATATATATATATATATATATATATATATATATATATATATATATAATGCTCATGTCAAAATATTTCCCTTTTCTATAAATGACTATAGTACTTTAAATGTGTAACAACTGCTTTAGTTTGTGCAGCTATATATTATAATTAGTGTCTGTTTAGTACAGCATACTATTTACAGTAAATAATTGAACTCAACTATTCTGCCTCATATGTTCATTGACAGTTTTATTGATCACTAAGATATGGTTGACTTGGATTTAAGTTGCTTCGATTTAAAAATAAAAATAGCAAAAATAGCTTAGATGTAGCTAAGCTACTTTTGCCTTGTAGCTTTTAGCTTAGCTTGCTACATTTCCCAGGTTGTAGCTTTAGTGTAGTTAAGCTACATTTTAAGTAGAGTAGCTAATAGCTTAGCTAACTACATTTTTCAAGTAGCTTGCCCAACACTGGCAGAATGACATAATTACCATTTGATTTGGCAGTGCATCATGCAAGTGATGAATTGCCCATAGTAAACACACACCCTGATCTGACATGGAAAACATAGGCTTGAACAAATGTCAGTAGTGACCATTGTGACCTAAATAGCAAACTCAAAGAAATGAATCACAAAATTCTGTTTCTAAAATGGACACAATTGTGTAATTTAAAGGTTTAATTGTACAATCTTTACACTAAAATGCTTATTGTGCAAAAGGTGGTCATGGTTACAGTGACGTCAATATGCAAAACTGAAAAGCAGGAAGACAAGAAATTCATGTTTTTCTTGTACTCAATGTATGCAGTTTGCCATGTCAGCTTATCAAAACACTAGGAGAAACCTGGATGATTTGCTTTAACAATGAAAGCGCAGCGTATTTTAACAGCTCTATTGCTTGTGTGTAATATAACATCATCCTTATGTTTTTTGGAAGTGTTCACGGATGCGGCATCTGCAGTTTACACATTTTTTGAACAGGACGATTTGCTGGTTTTTGATCCTAAACGTAAGTAAAATTGCAATTTTGTGTTTTCAACAGTTAAATTTTAGTATTGCTCAATTTCAGTTGTCACAATAACTTCACAACAAGCACACATTTGTTTAGTGGATGGGCAACGGCTTTTGCTATTTTTTCATGCTATGCTGTATGCCCGCAACACATGGCCCCCCGGCGTGTACTGGAAGCATTCGTCAGAAAATCGACATGCCATGTTCCAGAGGCACAGAGGCCTGTTTTAAACGCAGGGTCCATCAGGAGGCTGAGGGCGAGGCGACACAGTGAAGTGACAGTCACCTATTGTGTGCCCATGTGTCATGTGCATTTGATTGTGAAGCCAATGCTGAAGCAATTTCATATGGAGCAATCCGAGCGGCGTGACAGCGGCTGGGGATGTCATACGCCCCATGAGTCTCTGAAATAATATCAGTGGGACCACAGTTTTCCTGTCGAACTCCCTCAGACAGGTGGGCATCAGCTCGGTGCACTCTCGGGCAAGGCGCACACAGTCCCTAGGCATAGCCAATTTATCCTGCGAGAGAACTATAGTAAGCCAGTCATAGAGATAATAGAGTATGCAGATGCCCGCGAGCTGAAGGGGTGTTTGGGCATCCTCTGTGAGCTTAGTGAAAACCTGCGGAGACTGGGAGAACCTGGAAGGGAGGACTTTGTAATTCCATCATCAACCCTTGCATACAAAATGCAGAAACTGCTGGTAGCTTGGGAAATTGGAGACATGAACATACATGTTCTTCAGGTTTATCGCTCCAGACCAATCCTGAAGACAGCTTCTCTCACTGGAAGCTTGGATGGAGTGCGCTGAGGAATGGGAGGTGTGCAAGCCCGAGGGCTGCAGATTGACCCTTTTGTAGGAGCGAGCTGCAATCTTGGCTGAGCAACAGACATGCCATCACATTGATGGCATTCGCTGCCCGCGAGCACAACATTGACATGCTGAATCCTCAGACATGAAACACAGGGTTCATGCCCATCAACGTGGACAGGGAACCACTGCATCCAGAAACGCACAATCGAAACGACATCTTTAAAGAGACATGCTGGACGATCGGGTTGCTCTTTTAGGAAACTTGCTCAGTTACTCATCGATCTAGGAGAACCGGAGCAGAGAACACCCAGGAACTGGAGAATGCTCAGCTCGACCGTCTGCCACTTCATTATCACACACTCTGAGATCGGGAGAAAACAGCCTGTCGATCACCGGCAGCTTCTTTCTCTCTCTCTTTCTTTCTCCTCAAAGGATGGAGATGGAGGAACCAAAGACTCTCTCAGCAACATGAGGTTCTGAAAGCGTAAAGGTACTTAGCGTTGCGTGGCTGACATCTTTCACAGCTGATTGTGATTGCTGCTAGCTGCGTACGCTGACGCTGCCAATTCATTGGCCCATTTTTTATTACTCTTTCAGATGATTAAATTAGCATCAGGTGAAGTTTTTTTTCCCTCTCCGCTGTCGCCACTGCCTCACATGGTTCAGGATTGGTAGAGCTACGCATCGATGAATTTGCTCTTCAGTGTTTGAACTCTCAGTAATGATTAAATCACACTGAACTGAGCTAAACTGAACTGAACTGAACTTAAACACTAAAACCTGAACCACACTGTTCCAGTTACTGTGACCATTTATGTGAAGCTGCTTTGACACAATCTACATTGTAAAAGCGCTATACAAAAAAGCTGAATTGAATTGAATTGATTGGCTTTCTGGCGAACACCCCATAGTGGAAGTTTTTCCACATAGCATTGAAGTTCCCCTCCCACTGGGGAACTCCAGTGTTGTTTATCACAATTTTAATTTATAGTTCTTCTATTATCCTCTATATCTTTGACTTGCATATTTCTACATTTTTCAGGTTTGGAGGAAGATTTGAATGACTTTCTCTTCGGGCAGCACATCGCATCTAATGTTGTATTAAAATCTGTATCATCATTTATGACTGACAGCAAACCAAACAAACCGCTGGTCCTCTCTTTTCATGGCACTACAGGAACCGGGAAAAATCACGTCACTAAAATTCTTGCAAGAAACATTTACAAAAAAGGGGAAGAGAGCAAGCATGTTCAAATTTATGATTTAGAACATCATTTCCCACAGAGAAGCAAGATAGACTTATACTCAGTAAGTATTGCAATATTAAAAGTTGGTCTAAAGCGCAGGTGTCAAACTCAGTTCCTGGAGGGCCATGGCTCTGCACAGTTTAGTTCCAACCCTGATTAAACACACCTGATCAAACTAGTGCTTTAGGCTTGTTTGAAACCTACAGATAGGAGTGTTAAAGCAGGGCTGGAACTAAACTCTGCAGGACCATTCAGGAAAAAAAGGCTTAACTAGGTTAATTTAGCAAGTTAGGGTATTTAGGCAAATCCTTGTATAACAGTGGTTTGTTCTGTAGACAGTTGAACCTGAATAAGGGGACTAATAATATTGACCTTAAAATTGTTTCGAAATTCCTTTAACTGATTTTATTCGAGCCTATTTAAAGAAATAAGACTTTTTCCAGAAGCAAAAATATTTAAAGAAATACTGTCAAGTTTTCCTTGCTCTGTTAAACCAGATATTTGAAATATTTGAAAAAGAAAATTAATTATTCTGATTTCAACTCTATATTCATGATATGTAAACCAGGTTTTACTTTTCAATAGCAAATATTTAGTTAACCTGTCACTGTCGAATCATTTTTACCACATACTACATCTTTCAGCTAAGTTTACAAACAAGAAAACATATTAATTATTTAATATAAAGAAAGTGAGAGGGATACAGATTATATATATTCCACATTTTATGATAATTCTGTCTATTCAGGCTCAGCTAAAGCAGTGGATTCATGGAAACGTATCCAGCTTTCCCCGCTCCATGTTCATTTTTGATGAAATGGAGGAGATGCAACCAGAGCTGATTGATGTCTTAAAACCTTTTCTGGACTACTCTCTTCTATAGAAGTTGTTTTACTTAAAATAGAAGTCAATGAATACTGGTTTTCAACATTTTTCAAATTATCTTTAAATTATGTTAAAGAATTAACATTTTTGTGTGAACTAACCATCTAATGGCTATAGAAGGCTTATAAGGCCTTGTATGGTTTGGCACCTTAATATCTCTCAGAACTTTTTATGGGGTATTCTCCTGATCTCTGTTCCTCCGATTCTGGTGTTTTAACAATTCCCTTAATTTGTCTGCATTCTATGGGAACTTACTCCCTTATATTTTGAGGCATCCAGAATCTTTTAACCCTTGTGTGCTGTTCAAATGTACTACCCTTTTGTTATGTTTGCCCCATTGACTTCCATAATAATTAAATATATAAAAAATATATAGTTAAAATTAATTAAATATAGTAAAAATTAAAAACTGTACTTCTTACCAACAGGGAAAATCACCTAAAATCAAAAATGCATGATGGCTTTGCAATAAAACAGTCAATTTTAATTTTCAAAGCAATTTTTTTTCAAAATGTGTCAAAATATGATGTCACCAAAAATACTTACATTTGCAGAAACACAGAGAAAGTCGTGGTTAAATTAAGACTGAAAAGCCGCCCAGAATGAATGAAAACAACATTATTACCAATATTTAATGTCTACATTTTACCCACTCTGTATGTTTTGTTAACATATTTTAAATGCCAATGTTGATTGTAAAATATATTTACATACTGTTTTATTTTATGCTTATTGCTTTCTGAATTTGTGGTTGCAGGTGGATTTCTGCATTCTGGTATCATAGACAAGCATCTGATTGACCACTTTATTCCTTTCCTACCTCTCGAGCTGAAGCATGTGCGCCAGTGTGTTTTGGCTGAGATGAAGCATTTAAACATCAAAACAAATGATGATCTGGCAGATAAAGTGGTCAAAGACATGCCTTTCTTCCCTGATGAAGAGAGGATCTTTGCTGTTAAAGGCTGCAAGTCAGCCAGACAGAAGTTGGTGCTGCTTGCTGATGAATAGACTTCTCACTGCTGTTTGCTTTATAAATGATTTGCAGGATCAGAACATGTCAGATTCTAAATCAATATGAAATGCATATTTTTTCCTACACCTCTGCCTGCTGGTCATCATGTGACATTGTAAGAGTTTACATAGCCTAAAAGTGAGTGTCCCTATTGATGTTTATGTTGGAGATTTTGTCTATATAGACGAAATCCCCACATAAATATCAATAAAAGACACATATGAGTTGAGTTTATGCCATGTACGACTTTACTCACAAAAACTCAAAAAAAGTTTGCATTATTGCTATTGGAAAAGCCAAAAATACATTGTAGCTCCTATAATACCTATATACATTTTTCTTTTATACTAAAAATCATGCGGATATTATGTAAGGATCATGTTTCAACAAGATATTTTGTAAATTTACTACTTTAAATATATCGATGCAAATATATGCATTGCCAAGAACTTAATTTGGACAATTTTAAAGGTGATTTAAAAACCTTTATTTAAAAACCTTTATTTTCAACCTGTCTCAATATTTATATTTTTTGAACTCTCAGATTTCACATTGAATTGTGAATTGTGTTCGTACTCCACCCATGGGAGCTGCTGACTCCAAGAGGAGGGATTCTGAGAAACCAAACAACATAACATGCGCTCGAGATCTTGGTTGGCCCTCTCTGTTTGTCCGTTACTCTGAGGATGGAAACCAGAAGAAAGACTTACAGTCGCTCCCAATAAATGACAAATGATGACCCCCTGTCAGAAACCACGTCTGTCGAGAGGCCATGAATGCGAAAGACGTGATTAATGACAGCATCTGCTGTTTCTCTGGCAGAGGGTAATTTTGGCAGAGGAATAAAATGAGTAGCCTTCGAGAACCGGTCCACAACGGTCAAAACAGCTGTATTGTCACCAGATGGCGGGACACCGGTGACATAATATAGCGAAATGTACGACCAGGGTCTCGAAGGCACTGACAGCGGCTGAAGGAGTCCAGCAAGAAGGCGATTAGAAGTCTTAGAAACAGCACAAACAGAACAGGCCAAAACAAACTCACGTATGTCCCGAGCCATAGCTGGCCACCAGAATCACTGTTTAACCAAAAATAAGGTACGACTCACCCCTGGATGACAAGCCACTTTGGAGGAATGTCCCCATCGAATGACGTCAGACCGAATCCCCTCCGGCACAAACAATCGACTGGGTGGGCATCCGACGGGGGCGTTACCCCGTCCAGGGCTGTGCGAACCCTGCTCTCGATCTCCCATGTCACTGCAGAAATACAAATCCTCTGGGGAATGATGGGCTCAAGAGACGTATTGCGCTCGGAAGAATAAAAAAGATGGGATAACGCGTCGGGTTTGATGTTTTTAGAACCCGGCCGACAAGAGATGGTAAAGTCGAAACGTCCGAAAAATAATGCCCACCCAGCCTGCCTGGAGCTGAGTCGTTTGGCGGACCTGATGTATTCGAGGTTCTTATGATCAGTCCAAACGATAAAGGGAACCCCCGAACCCTCCAACCAATGACGCCACTCCTCCAAAGCGAGTTTGACAGCCAACAACTCCCTATTACCAATGTCGTAATTATGCTCTGCGGGAGATAATCGGTGTGAGAAAAACGCGCATGGATAAATTCTGTCATCCGAGGCAGCGAGCTGGGACAGGATAGCACTCGCCTGACATGCTGCACTTGTTCCTGGAGAGAACGAGAAAAAATCAGAATGTCATCCAGGTAAACATAAATAAACTGATCTATCATATCTCGCAACACATCATTTACAAGTGATTGGAAAACTGCAGGAGCATTAGAAAGCCCAAAAGGAAGAACACAATATTCAAAATGCCCCCAGGTGGTAAGGAACGCGGTTTTCCACTCATGGCCCTGCTTCATGCGAACCAAATGATATGCGTTGCGGAGATCTAATTTCCTTAAAAACGAAGCCCCTTGCAGACGCTCGAACGCCGAAGACATCAACGGCAAAGGATACGTATTCTTCACCGTGATACTGTTCAGCCCTCAATAGTCTATGCAAGGTCTAAGAGACTCATCCTTCTTTTTCACGAAAAAGAAACCCGCCTCCGCCGGAGAAGAAGAGGGCCGTATGATCTTAGCCGCTAGAGAATCAGAAATATATTTCTCCATGGCCTCCCTCTCAGGAATAGAAAGAGAGTATAACTTGCCTTTAGGCGGAGACGTACCTGGCAATAAGTCTATTGCACAGTCATAGGGACGATGAGGAGGCAGAGAAGCAGCTCGAGACTTACTGAACACTCTCTTCAGGTTGAGGTACTCACTGGGCACGTTTGACAGGTCCATGCGCTCCTCCTGAAACACAGAACAAGAAACAGCAGAACGAGCAGACGAAAGAAAGGACTCATGACAGTTCTCACTCCACGAAAATATCGTATTAAGACCCCAGTTAATATGAGGCTTATGGAGAATCAACCAAGGATGACCTAAAACCACTGGTGTGTTAGAACAGTCTGTTTAAAAAAAAGAAATGTGTTCAACATGATTTCCAGACGTGATAAGTTTTATGGGTTTGGTGGAGTGAGTAATAGTGGGAAGGGAAAGTCAGCTGAGGGCGCGTACTGCAATGGGTTGTGACAGTGCTATAACCGCAAGTTTAAAACTGAAAGCAAAACTGGAGTCTATGAAATTTCCCTCCGCCCCGGAATCGACAAGGGCGTGGGTGTTCTGGCTTCCGGAACCCCATGTTATGGTGACTGGCAGTAATGTGGCCGTCGCAGAGGATTTGTCCAAACTGATTTCACCCATCAGTAACCTCTTACTTACTGATGGGTGTTGTCTTTTACGGGACAGGAAGCCACCCGATGCCCTGCCCTACCGCAGTAAAGGCAGAGTCCCTCAGTTCTCCGACGGCACTTCTGTACGGACAGGTGGGATCTGCCCACCTGCATAGGTTCCGGGTCAGCATTTCCAACTTCCGGCGCCACCGCCAAGACCGGAAGGTCAGGAACAGGATCTGGAAACCTGCCTTGCCTCATGTGACTCTCACGGCGGAGCAGTCTGGAATCCACCCAGATTGCCAAATCCACTAACTCGTCAAGAGTCTTAGGAAGATCTAAGGAGTAGATCTCGTTCTGGAGACGATCCGAAAGACCATGTAAGAACATGTCCCATTGAGCCTCCGCCTTCCAGCCGCTTTCAGCAGCTAAGGTGCGGAACTCAATAGAATAGTCCGCCATGCTCGGATTCCCCTGGCGGAGCTCAGCGAGGACTCAGGCGGCCTCTCTCCCAGAAGCGGCCCGATCAAAGACCTTTTTGAGTTCCTTAGAGAACAGGTCGAACGATGAACAGCATGGTAGTTTTTTCTCCCATGCTGTGGTTCCCCATTGAGCCGCTTTTCCTGAAAGGAGGGTGATTACAAACGCCACCTTGGACTGCTCTGAAGAAAACAAGGACGGCTGCAGGGTGATATACAGGGAGCATTTGGACAAGCTTTTTTAAAAATTTTTTGTTCTGTTCTACACAAAAGATATTTTGAAGATAAAAAAACAGGAAACCTGCAATTATTGACTTCAATATAGGCTTGTATTTAGTACTGTATGTGTACGGCGTTATTTGGAAGTAACCTACATATAGGCCTACTTTTGAAAATAATCACTGCACACTACAATGTAATGCTTTTACCGAAATGAAAAGTAACATCATAATATTATGATAAATATTATAAGAATTGTAAGACAGAAATATTGTGTTTTATTTATTTCTTATATTTCTTATTTGTTGCATATTATATTACTGTATGATGTAAATATACTCCATGGTACATACATAATTAAAATGCCTTGGCAATACTGAATGAAGATATTGAACTTGAATTTGCCAAAGAGAGAGAGATAATCTATTTTAATTTTTATTCATTTTAATTTTTATTTTAATTAATTATCATTATTATTATACTATATCTTATAATACTATACTACTATTTACTGTTATTTTTAATGTAAACTTTATAAATGCTTTGACAATTTATAACATTTGTCATGCCAATAAAGCAATTATCATCTTTTAGTTTAAAATAAACCATTTGCTATTACTCAGAATCTTCACATAAATGTAAAGAATTTATTTTCAACTTTTTTATCTTGTTTGGAAATTTTTTTATACATAAGCAAAAATGCATGGCTTCAGTTCCTACTTTTCGACATTTTCTGATTGAAGTTGACTCTTTGCTCAAATCTTTCTGTATATGTAAAAACAAAAAATGTGTCAGATTCCTGGTTCTATATGAAGAACTTTTGTCTACAGACTCTGATTTGAGGTAGAAAGCTTTCCCAATGCTCTTAATTTAATTTAATTTAATTTAATTCATACACTTTTATACAATTATAATTTATTTACCCCTTCCTTTGTTTTGTTAATCTTTTTTTTTTTTTCTTTTTCTGCAGCTAATTTGTATTTTTTTCCTTTGTATGTCTCTTATATCGATCTCCTGATTGTGGTTGTATATTTGCATTCTTTAATAAAAAATAAATAAATAAATAAATAAATAAATAAATAAATAAACAATAATAAAGCAATTATCGAATTGAATTGAATTAAGAGAGAGAGAGAGAGAGAGAGAGAGAGAGAGAGAGAGAGAGAGAGAGAGAGAGAGAGAGAGAGAGAGAGAGAGAGAGAGAGAGAGAGAATGTGTTTGTGCGGCTGTGGATTTGTGAGCCTCCTAATATATAAACGCGCATGTCTCGTGGCTTTTGAACGCGTCACTCGGATGGATGGATGAACTCCAGTCAGCATTAGTAGCGGTATAAATCCATAATCCATTCATGTTTTAATAGTCTCCTCTCGTTCTGATGTCACATTCGCGATAAACAGATAAGCTAAGCTGGCTAGCAGGCTAGCTGAGGATGTTTAACATTAGCCAGATGTTGTTTTTAATGCATGCCCTGCTTTATTAGTGCTTTATAAATGGCTATTTACTCCATGTCCTTGATTTCGCTTTATGTGGCGTTTCTGTCAGCGCGTACGCGACTAGCATGTGTCAGTGACATTGGCTAGAAACTTCAATATTTTGCACGACAGCTTTCAATGACATTTTAACGGTTTCTAAATGCATGACCTTTCAGGATTATATTTTAATGTTGTTTGGTGTTATTGTGCATGTTGCAGACGCAGTGCTCTCAATTATTTCCATAGCTGTTTAATTAACAAAGACATATTATATATTTATAAATTCTGTACATTATATATTTTTCTGATATGTATAATAAATTATTATTAATAAACAAGTAACAATGTAAAAAATTAAATATCAATAGGAACAAATGAGTGAAAAAACAATTAAAATGCATGTATATATGGGCTAATATATATATATATATATATATATATATATATATATATATATATATATATATATATATATATATATATATATACATACATACATACATACATACATACATGCATACAATTGAAATCAGAATTATTAGCCCTTAGATTTTTTTTAATATATCCCAAATTGTTTAAAAGAGCAAGGAAATTTTCACAGTATGTCTGATCATATTTTTTATATATAATTATATATATATATATATATATATATATATATATATATATATATATATATATATATATATATATATATATATATATATATAATAAAGAAAGAATAAAGAAAGTCTTATTTGTTTTATATCAGCTAGAATAAATGGAGTTTTTATTTTTTTAAAAACTATTTTAAGGTCAAAAATTTTAGCCCCTTTAAGCTATTTTTTTCAATAGTCTACAGAACAAACCATCATTATACAATAACTTGCCTAATTACCCTAACCTGCCTAGTTAGCCTAATTAACCTAGTTAAGCCTTTAAATGTCACTGAGCTGTATAGAAGTGTCTGGAAAAATATCTAGTCAAATATTATTAACTGTCATCTTGGCAAAGATAAAATAAATCAGTTATTAGAAATGAGTTATTAAAACTTTTATGTTTAAAAATGTGTTTAAAAAAATCTCCGTTAAACAGAAATTGGGGGGAAAAATAAACAGGTGGGCTAATAATTCACATAACTAAATGTTGCAAACTTCAAGTAAAATTAAATATAATAAACTAAACTATAATAAACTAAACTTAAACTGTTAAACTATAATCTTATCTCAGTAAGATTATAATAACACTGATTTGCAAATCTATTAGATTTAGTTGTATTTATTTTAATTTGTTTAAAAATATTTATTATATTCACATTGATACTTTTGCATATTATTTTTTGGTGGGTAGAACTTATTAATGAAAATGCATGTATTTTTGCTTTTTATGTTGGCTTCAATTGGTCTTTTTCTTTATTTTACAGTATTTAATAATAATTTCCTATTTATTTATTTTGGATTATTTCTTACTCTAGTTTTCCCTTTATAATAATATTACTCTGATAGTCTCGGGGCTGCAGAACACACGGTCACGATGCGGACGGTGGTGGGGTTGCTCTCTGTGATTATGCTGTATGTGCTCCTGAATGATGCTACGGTGGAAAGCACTGCAGAATTTGATCCATATAAGGTTTTAGGAGTCACCAGAAGTGCAAGCCAAGCAGAAATCAAGAAAGTCTACAAACGCCTGGCCAAAGAATGGTAAGAATGCTCATCTTTTGTGTACACATTTAAATCAAACCCAAATTGTATACTGTACCATCTTTCATTTTTCCTGCCAGGCATCCTGATAAAAACAAAAATCCTGAAGCAGAAGACATGTTCATCAAGATTACAAAGTCTTATGAGGTATTGCAGCTTATATGTGGCATTTTTACACTGTGTGGTATGGCACAGAACCCCAGAATAGGGTGTTTTTCACTGCATAGGGTAAATTTACATAGTACATTTTCAGTACCACCTCAGCTGTGGTCCCAAGTGAACTGTACCATTACAAAAAAGATACTGATTTGCTAGAGAGAATGATGACTCATGACTACCTTTGTGGGTCATTTTCTATTTATTTGTAGTAGTACAGTAAATTGCTGATTATTGTATATCTGATATAATAAATCTATAGAGATCAATGGTAATTGGGCTCCTATGCCCTAAATACCCGTAGTGAATTGTGCTGTAGTGGCACATTTCCAGGCTGTGTCCAAAATCTACTACTCGAGGATGTACTACATTTGAATTTACTACATTTAGTGCTACAAAAGTATGGTCTATATCAGGGATGGGCAAACTTGATCCCCGAGGACCGGTGTCCTTGCAGAGTTTTGTTCCAACACTAGTCAAACACACCTGAACAAACTAATCAGTGTCTTCAAGATCACTAGAAATCTATAAGCAGGTGTGTTTGATTAGGGTTGGAGCTAAACTGCAGGACACCAGCCCTCCAGGACCGAGTTTGCCCACCCATGGTCTATATGGTATGTTGGGAGAAGTATTAATGGAATTGGACAGTACTACTGTACATCCGCCATTAGTCATTATGACGTGACCTCCCCATGTCAGTTGCATCACTTCAGTCCCATAAATGAATTCTCTCATACGGCATCATGGGATAGCGTAGCGTCTATTGGATGTGCACTTTAGAATCTCGTCGGAAGTAGTAGGTCATCTAGGTAATTTTTGACCACTGTTTTGTTTTCGAATATTATGAATTCAAATACAGTATTTAATACTACTCGGCTTGCATACTGTTTTTAACATACTATATAGTCTGGAAGTATGCGATTTGGGACACAGTTCCACAGTAGGTTTTAGTAGTTTTTTATTTATTTTTTGAAAAGTCTTCTTTTACAGTTTGAAATATGCAAACCACTGCAGAAATGTTCAAACCAACCGGCCCATGTCATTTACTGTACATATACATTTCTTAATAATAACAATTAAAACCATTAACATATTCTAGGCCTATATTTTTATTTTCACAAGCTTTGGAGATGTAACGTAAATCAGCTTTTAAATAATAGTCACCTAAAGCTTATGTCATGAGCCACGGCTGTTTTCAAAATGATCAACGTGCACTACGAAAGGAGCGCAATTGTCAACACGAAGATCGCTAAAACTGAACTGTAAAAATACTTTGAAAGCAAATTACACCCAAGACTTTAATGTTTTTTTCTTAAATCATTCCAAGTTTAAATGTTGGAACATTCTAAATGAATAGGGCATAGGGGAGATAACGGGGAATAGAACACAGCCAGGAACTATGTTTCTAACTACAGCTCTAGAGATGTAGTTTTAAGCTTACAAGGTGTTTACAAGGAAACAGCAAATCAACAAACTATCTTTGTAACGGCGGAACTTGCAACCTTAGTTAGCTAACGATGATAGTGGAAAAGTGCCTTAAGTTTGTTACAGAAGCAGAGGAAGTGTAGCTTAAAACTTGTCTATAATCCCACCCATTTTATATTGGTACTAAACTACATTGGAAAAGCAAACTCAACCTATGCAGTTGTGATGAACAGCAATGAGTTGTGTTAGCTGGGGTCATACCAAGCAGTGGAAAAGCCAATAGATGCTTAACTGATGCACATAGAGAAATAAGTAGTGAAAACGTCACCATTTTTCTCAGAAAACTTTTTTCTAAAGGTGCTGTTGACTTGAAATTTTTACTAGATGTTGGTAACAACCAAAGAAATAAATATATGCAAAGCTAATTAGTTTACAAATTCAGTTTTGTGTAATAAAATCAAATGAGGCAGAGAAAAAGAACACATGAAGAAAGGGAGGTGTAGAAAGGCAGTGAAAGCCCAGACAGAAACTGAAATCTCTCAGTCAGTAGTTCTTCAGCAACCCTATGCCCTTCATCATTGTTAATTAATATCAGCAAAATTGTTAATTTTTCAGCAAAGACTCTATTTTAGGGAAGAAAGTCATTGGCCACTTTAACTGCCAGATTATAGTCTTGTTTCGGGAGCTAGGTAAGAACTAAACCCAGAGCACAGGTGTAGTTAAAAGATCTTTTTATTTGCTTTATTATTTATAGGATTATTGTTTTTTAACATTCTTTGTGATTTGATGTTTTTATATTCTTTGTAACACATGACAAAAACCATTTTCCCACCCCCTAAAAAGGTAAACAAGTAAATACAGTGGGGGTAAATAAGTCGAAATTTTCCCTGGATGTTGGTAACAACCAAAGATGCAAAGAAAACAAATGGAGTTATGTGTAATAAAATGAAATGACATAGGGAAAAAGTATTGAACACATGAAGAAAGGGAGATGTAGAAAGGCAGTGAAAGCCCAGACAGCAGCTGAAATCTCTCAGAAGTTCTTCAGCAACCCTCTACCCTTCACCATTGTAATTGAATATTAGCTGCTTCAGTTCAACATATACATTATCAGGATGATGAAGATGAAACTAGGGTGAACATTTCAGCAAGACAATGAAAAAAACATAGCCAAGGAAACTCTTAAATGCTTTTAGAGAAAGTAAATAAAGCTGTGGATTGGCCTGGCCAATTACCTGACTTGAATCCTATAGAAAACACACAAAAAACTCAGATTTGATAGACGGGAATCATCAAGATTTTTACACTGTTGAAGTCTGTAAAAAACTCACACCTGAGCAATGCATGTGACTTAATGCATATAGGCCTGAAATAGATTTCAGTAGTTTCTCCTTGTGCCACTTCATTGTTGTTACAAAAAATTTTCAGATGTTCTTTGATTTGTTTTATTTTTATACTTGTATTGTTTGGGTTTTTACCAAATCTAGTGCAATACCATGTCAACAGCTCCTTTAGAAATATTATTCCCAAGAAAAATTCATGACGTGTTCAATACTTATTTCCCCCTCATGAGCACTCCTGATAATAGTTTGTCATCACTCCATAGATCTTAACAAATGAGGAGAAGAGAGCCAGTTACGATCGCTATGGACAAACAGATGATACTCAACCGTATGGCCACCGTCATCACGGATTCCGGCACTTTCATGACAACTTCTACTTCGACGAGTCTTTCTTCCACTTTCCCTTCAACAATAAGGGAGGCCGGGACTTCGCTGACAGCAAGTACACGTTGCACTTCAACCAGTATGTCAACGAAGTCGTTCCCGACAGCTTCAAGAGGCCTTACTTGATCAAGATAACCTCAGATTGGTGCTTCAGCTGCATACATATCGAGCCAGTCTGGAAAGAAACAGTGCAGGAGTTGGAAACTCTGGGTGAGAAATTTGAGTTGTAATTACAGTTGAAGTCAGAATTATTAGCCCTCCTGAGTTATTATGTATATTCCCCAATTTCTGTTTAACGGAAAGAAGATTTTACAACACATTTCTAATCATAATAGCTTTAATAACTAATTTCTAATTAATTATTTCTTTTATCTTTGCGATGATGACAGTACATAATATTTTACTGGATATTTTTCAAGGTACTAGTATTGTGTCTAGGATACTAGGATAGGAAACTGTGATACTAGGATAGTGTCGAAGATATGCTCACCGTTGTGAGTGATGCGCAGACGAGCTGGTTAGATCATGCCAAATCGTATTCCCTTCTTTCTTGTACAGCTTTGACTTAACTTAGTTGAAAGCAGCGTGTTTCCTTGCAATTCCTGCACTAAAGTCCTTGTAAAGCTTAATGGGGTGACCTTGATAGGAGATATCTTTGTGTTTCTAGGCCCATCGCAGTACGGTATCTTTGTCTAGAAATCTGTGAATCTGACAATGAATGGCCACGGTCTATTACTGTCACAATCACCAGCAATCTAATCCTTCAGAACGCTGGTAAACTCACAGATCTCATAGAACTACCGGCATATGGACTACAATATCCAGTCATGCAACACACACACACACCTACTCCAAGTCTCCAGTGATTAGACTTACACAGCTGAAGCTGCTCATGTACTGATTACATGGACTATAAAGTCAGCACCAAAACACACACATGTTGCTGAGTCTTGTTGAACTGTATAGTAAACATCACGATGCGTTTTCTTTGTCTTCCGAGTTTTTGAACCTTGCTTTTTTTTTGTTTGTTCATGTTGCCTGCTGCCTGCCTGTAATGACTATCTGCGTGTTTTTTCGACCACGACTCTGGATTGCCCATTTATATCTGTTTGCCCCTGTGTTGACCATTGCTGAACTGATCTCTGTATAATAAACCCTGCGTTTGGATCCGCACTCCCTATTGTCAGCATCAACTTCACATTACAAATACCTTGATGGCGCTTGGGTGCCAAACTCCAATAAGCGTGATCAATTTCAGGTTGGGCTGACAGGACATCTTTCATAGTTTTAAAGAAAATATCCATCATGAATTTCTAATCTGAATCCCCACTAAAACAGACTACTTGAAGATTCCGTTGCTTCAAACGAGAGACCAAATCATCGACAGCAGACCCTAATGTAGCATTTAAATCCGACACTGTTGTTAATTCGCCTTTTAACGAAGGAACTTCTTTCTCCAACTAAGTAATCCTGCCGATGTGACCCATCTCCATCTCTGATATGGTGGCAGCATGAGAAGCCAAAGTACCACGAATGCCATCTAAAGCTGTTTGAAAAGTGTACAAGGAAAAGTTCAGCAAAGCATTATATTCCTCTGTTAAACTTCACCTTGACTTCTTAAGCTCTGACATGAGCACCTCTGCCGTTAAAGGAACAGGCACTGCCGCCATATATCCATACATATGTTTAAAAGTCTCGGCCTGGAGTTTCGTTGTCTGTGGCACTGCCAGGTTTTTTATTCCTGCCCATCCCTGCATTTCTTTTGATTTGTTTTTCGTTTTAAATATTGTCGAATATAAGAAATGACTGCTGCAGTTGACACAAACTATGGAAAAAGTTGGAGCAAGCACAACGTGCGACCTCAGGCTACATTGTGAAACCGGAAGTCCAGCCTTAATTAGGTTAATTAAGCAAGTTAGTCCCACAGTCCAAAATACATGTGGTACAGGTGAATTGGGTAGGCTAAATTGTCCGTAGTGTATGAGTGTGTGTGTGTGTGTGTGTATGTGAATGTGTGTGTGGATGTTTCCCAGAGATGGGTTGCAGCTGGAAAGGCATCCGCTGCGCAAAAACTTCCTGGATAAGTTGGCGGTTCATTCCGCTGTGGCGACCCCGGATTAATAAAGGGACTAAGCCGACAAGAAAATGAATGAATGAAGCAAGTTAGTGTGTTTGCAAATGATTGAATAATGCATAACATTGTTTGTTTTTGTATACAATCGAAAAAAAGACATTACTTAAGGGGGCTTATAATATTGACCTTAAAATGGTTTACAAAAAAAAAACTGCTTTAATTCTAGCTGAAATAAAACAAGTAAGACTTTCTCCAGAGGAAAAAATATTATAGGAAATACTGTAAAAAAATCCTTGCTCCGCTAAACATCATTTGGGAAACATTTAAAAAAGATTAAAAAAATAAATAAAATCACAGGAGGGCAAATAATTTTGACTGTATGATCGAGTTATGAGCTAAAATGAGTTTGTGAAGTTGAAATTACAAACGGATTTTTCCCACCTACAGGAATTGGGATTGGTGTGGTTGATGTCGGATACGAGCGACGTTTAGCAAATCACTTGGGCGCACATCAGACTCCATCCATCCTTGGTGTCGTCAATGGAAAAGTCTCTTTCTTTCATTACGCTGTCGTCAAAGAACACTTGATACAGTTTGTAGATGACTTGCTGCCACAAAGACTAATTGAAAAGGTTAGTGATCATCATCATGCACTCCTAATAGTGTACTATAAAAACATAATATGTATCACTGAGCAATATAGAGTCCCCATCAATATACTGAGGTGTTAGGACCAACACAGACCACAGATTGAGCGCTCCCTGCTGGCCTCACTAACATCTTTTTCGAACAGCAACCTAGCTTTCCCATGTGTTCTCCCATCATGGTACTCATGGTGCAGCTCTGCTTAGATTCAGTGGGTGACCATGTAAGAGTTGCTGAGAGCTAGCTGTCGGCAAAATGTTAAGTTATTTCACTTTACAGCCATTGAAAATACCCTCAAACATACCTACAAGAAGAAAAAGTTTATATAGCATTTAGAGGTTATTGCATCTGAACTCTTCAAATGCAAATTAAAGGGTGAAGGTCATACAGAACAATTACATTGAGTGTTGAGATATCCCTACTATAAATTTTCTCTTCTGGACTCAAATTTCTGATTTGTGGGTTTGTAGGTTACAGATAAGAACAACCACGAGTTTCTGAAGAGCTGGCATGAGCTGAACAAGCCACATGTACTCCTGTTTGACCAAGTGCCTTCTGTTCCTCTGCTTTATAAGGTAGAGTTGGTCAGCAGCCTCCACAATTGTTGTTCTTTTGCCAATACACTATTAAATAATGTTTCGTTCTTTCTTTATTTCCAATAGCTTACAGCGTTTGCCTTCAAGGATTATGTGCAGTTTGGATATGTAGATCAAGGTCTTTCTGAGACTGCTGAGCTGCTCAGAAAGTTCAATATAAACACTTATGCGCCGACCATGCTGGTTTTCAAAGAGGACGTGGAGAAGCCTGCCGACATAATACAGGTATCAAGTTTTTAAAGAGCCATATTATGCATTAAAAAAGGTCATATTTTGGGGTTGGGGGTCTCCAACAACAGGCTGATATGCATGCAAGGTCAAAAAACACTTTTATTGTATTATAATATGCATTAATCTTACCAAATTATCCCATTGACTCCCATATGATTCATTCAGCAATTGGTTTGTTCCCAAAACCCTCCTTTGCATGAGGCTAATCTGCTGTGATTGGTCTGATGACCTAGTCTGTTGCGAGTGGTCATCTGCGTTCAGCGTGAGACAGAGAGAAATGCTCAGCACGGCTTATCAACATTGTTGAAGGAGTCAGAGTGCTGAGTGTATGTGTGAACCCAATGCAGGAGTGCATTAAAGCAATGCAGTTTAACACTAGCATATTGCTCTATTCTTCACCATAAGTAAAAGCAGTGACACACAATCAGTATTAATCAGTGGCAAAAGCTGAACTATTCTGAAACTTGACTACCATGTGTAAGAACAGCTGACGATGGCCATGGCAATGACAAACGGCAGTGGCTCGTAAGATCACTAACGCATTTAAATTTGTAAACAAATCAGCACGCTGCGCGTTTACAGCATAGTTTTAGATGCAATATGTAAATATAGAGTTAACCAGATACAGTACAAGTGGTTACAATTAACAAAACACAATTAATTGCATATTTTGCAAGCTAGCGAAAACAAGGAGGCAATCATTTTAATCGCACTTGCTTACACTTGTAAAATGGAGGAAGAAACTGATCCATGAACTGTGTACTGTAGAGTTCCTGTCAAGCTCTGACAAAGTCCTATACATCACTAGTCTTTTCTGATCCTTCCTTTAACAAACTGTCGACGAATCCACTGTTGTAGGGTATATTGTTGCATTAATCACCAAAACGTTCACTCATCTTCAGTCATGATCAGTCCATAGAGGCGACAGAATAGAGAGGGTGGCGTCCGCGACACCTCCCTCACCACCCGCGTCCTCTGATATATGTCTGTGCCTAGGGAGGCAGAATAGAGAAGGTGGCGTCCACAACACCACCTTCCTCACCACCCGCGTCCGCTGATATATTTCTGTGCCTAGGGTGGCAGAATAGAGAGGGTGGCGTCCACGACACCACCTCCCTCACCACTCGCGTCCTGTGATATATTTCCGTGCCTAGGGCGGTAGAATAGAGAGGGTGGCGTCCATGACACCACTTCCCTCACCACTCGCGTCCTGTGACATATTTCCGTGCCTAAGGCAGCAGAATCTAGAGGGTGGCGTCCGCGACCTGATATATTTCCATGCCTAGGGCGGTAGAATAGAGAGGGTGGCGTCCATGACACCACCTCCCTCACCACTCGCGTCTTGTGACATATTTCTGTGCCTAAGGCGGCAGAATCTAGAGGGTGACGTCCGCGACACCTCGCTCACCACCCGCGTCCTCTGATATATTTCCGTGCCTAGGGCGATAGAATAGAGAGGGTGGCGCCCATGACACCACTTCCCTCACCACTCGCGTCCTGTGACATATTTCCGTGCCTAAGGCGGCAGAATATAGAGGGTGGCCTCCACGACACCACCTCGCTCACCACCTGCGTCCTCTGATATATTTCCGTGCCTAGGGCGGCAGAATAGAGAGGGTGGTGTTTGCGACACCTCCCTCACCACCTGTGTCCTTTGATATATTTCCGTGCCTAGGGCGGCAGAATAGAGAGGGTGGAGTCCACGACACCTCCCTCACCACCCGCGTCCTGTGAGATATCTCCGTGCCTAGGGCAGCAGAATACAGGGTGGCGTCCACGACACCTCCCTTACCTTCTGCGTCCTGTGAAATATTTCCGTGCCTAGGGCGGCAGAATATAGACCCCCCCCTCTCTCCCCAGTCTACACTTTAATAATGGGTCACTTTCGTTTTCACTTTAGGGTTGAGGGCGGCGTGATCGTCCTCTGCCTAGAGCGGCAGTTCAGCTTGCTCCGGCCCTGGTCCCACACACACTTGCAGTCTGCTAGTGTCTGAAGGGAAAGGCGTGTTCATGTTTTACCTGATCTGGCACTTCATATTCGGTATTGTTTCGTGTCAAGGTCAATACGAACTGGCAAAAGATACGAACAAATGATGAAAAGAGGTTTTGTGCAAGCAAACATTATTTACAACATTACTACCATTAATCCACATAATCAGCAAACAGTCTTGAGCACTTTTTGGAACTCCATGATGCAGGAATATTTGTTTTGGAAATCCTGGTTATATGACATGTTTGACAAGAGATTATTTTTGTGTGCACCTCTTTGAATTAACAATTCTTCTAGGCTAAAGGGATGAAGAAGCAGATAATAGACGAGTTCATCTCCAACAACAAGTTCCTCCTGGCTCCTCGTCTGGTTAATCAAAAGCTATTCGACGAGCTTTGTCCTGTCAAACAGTTCCATCGACGCAGGAAGTAAGATGTCTTTGTATTGCATAAAAATGAGGAGATGATCAGATGCAACTCTCCATATTCCAAATATCTACAATGTTATTTTTATACAGATATTGCATTCTACTCATCACTGGTGAAGACGAGTCCTACATCCCTGGAAATGAAGCCTTCCTCTTGCTAGCCTCTGCTAATGCTAATGACGTACTGCGGTTTGCATACGTTTACCATCGACGTCAACAGCCTCTATGTGACATTCTGCTAAAGGACAAAGATGACACAGCACCACAGGTAGACCTTCTCTCCTATGGCCAGTTTAGTTTATGTTGAACAATATGTTGTTTTTTTCACCTATAAATTCGTTTTTGATGGTTTTTGTGTAGAAATGTTCATTACTTAACTTTCTATGAGCATGTTTTGATTATAACTGCAGATCAATGATCTTGATCTTCAGCAGCACATGTAACCTCCTGTTACAGTAATTCGGTATAATACAAAGTATACAAAGTATAATCGCAATATCGGCAAAATCTCATTATAATCGCATTAAGATGGTCCAAGTATACGTACTCACTGACCCCACTGCACACTTTATAGTGCCATCTGTTGGTCAAACGTGATAAATCATCAATCATAGTTGACTAAGATGACTTTAAAATGTCTTTAATTTCCTACTATACCTTTTTAAATGATGTCTATTAAAAATTATCGTGTTAACATGAGGCAAAGTATAATCGTAATATTGTCAAAATCCTATAATAATCGCATTAAGACAGCCCGTGTAAACGTGCTCATTGACCACACTGCATACTTCAGTTTACAGCGCCACCTGTTGGTCAAAAGTGATAAATCATCAATATTCTTTGACTAAAATGACTTTAAAATGTCTTTAATTTCTTATTGTAATTTTGAAAAATGGTGACTATTGAGAATTATTGTGTTTACATGAGGCAAAGTACAATCGTAATATTGCCAAAATCCTATAATAATTGCACTAATATGGTCCATGTACACATACTCATTGACCACACTGCATACTTTACAGTTTACATCGCAATCTGTTGTTTGAAAGTGATACATCATCAATCATAGTTGACTAAGATGACTTTAAAATGTCTTTAATTTCCTACTGTGCCTTTTTAAATGATGTCTATTAAGAATTATTGTGTTAACATGAGGCAAAGTATAATCGCAATATTGTCAAAATTCTATAATAATTAAGACGGTCCATGTAAATGTGCTTATTGACCACACTGCATACTTTACAGGTTACAACGCAATCTGTTGGACAAATGTGATAAATCATCAATCATTTTTTTAATAAAATGACCTTAAAATGTTTTTAATTTCATATGGTAATAAAAAAATAATTATTGTGTTTACATGAGGCAAAGAACAATCGAAATATTGCCAAAATCTTATAATTATCGCAGTAAGGTGGTCCATGTAAACATACTCATTGACCACACTGCATACGTAACATTTTACATGATAAATCATCAATCCTTTTTTTAATACAATGACCTTAAAATGTAGTTAATTTTCCTATTTTATCACTATTTTACATGTCAGTTTTATACAAGTCATCAGCTCAGATGTCTTTGTTTTGAGCAGGTGGTGATTTTAGAGAGGCGCAACGGGGCTGGAAAGATTCTTTATAAGCCGTTATTGGGAGGATGGAACGGCAGTAAGGAGGACAAACACAAACTCCTGGAGGAGCTGCAAAGACTGCAGAAAGATCCCTCCATCCTCAACTACAATGCCATCCTGCCAGAGCTCAACAATGAGTTTGCTTCTGTGAGTCTCTCTGGGATTTCTTTTCATAGAGCGTCTTTAATTGAGAAGTGAGAACCTGACCTACATGCCCATTTCAGTAGCAAATGTGATCCATCTCAAAAGTATTTTGAATTTGCCACATTCTACAGTTTCTTGTATTGTTTATTGTAACTGAGATCAATTCTGCTCGATTTCAGATGTTTTTAGTGAGATGGATTTACACGGCATATGATTACTTGTCTGAAATTATCGACGACCTTCTTCATAATAACTGGTAAGAGAGATGATTGACTGCTATACTCCGCCTCCTTAGTTACTGTTGCTAACGAAACATCCCCTGAGAATGGACTTGAACTGGTTATTTCCTTAAAGTTACTATTGTGTGAGCTGGAATTAATTGAGGCTATGTAAAAATGGTAAATGGAAATGTGCATTTTTTTACTCGATGTTTGACATGATCTAAAACAAAGCGAGGGCGGGACATAAATTAGCCCCTCCCCTTTAAAATAAAAAAGCCAATAGCATTTAGTTTTTATCACAGACAGTGAGAGCAGTTCAGCTCAAGCGCATCAAGCCAATAAGAAGCATCTTGAAGGGGGCGGGGCATGTCAGATACTAGAGAGCATTTGATTGGTCAGAAGATTTGATGAGAAACTGAAGTATGAGGTGATGTAAAAAAAAACTGTAGTTCCATTTAGGCGGAGGTGACAAACTGCAAGCTTTAGATGTTTATAATGTTTTTAAATCTTCTAAACGCAAATTTTGTCACTGTTTTGTAGCACACTGGCTTATAGAGATCCTTAAAACTATCATACTGATAATAACATCTAAAAAACATTGTTTTTTTATCTCACTGGACCTTTAAATTTGCTAGTAACATAATTTAAAAAATTGCAACTGTGAATGTCAGCAGGTGCTAAGGTGAGATTGGTCAGTAGTATTTCTAATATATGAATATTTCAAACATCATAGTTATTTTTGGTTGTTGTTTGTTTGCAGGCGTGAGATGATGCCCCTTCTGTCCTTGATATTCTCTGCACTCTTTATTTTATTTGGCACTGTAGTTATTCAAGCTTTCAGGTGAGATTGGGTGCATTTACAATTTTGATTTGTCTTTTTAAATGGGAAATGCAGAGATATTCAACACTGTTTTTTGCAATTTCAGTGACTCAAGTGAGGAAAAACAGCCCAAAATGAAAGTGAAAGAGACAAAGAGCGAGAACGGTTCGCCAAACACCTCCAACGCATCCAGGTTCTGTATATTACACATCCTATTGTGTGCCATTTTGTTTAGTGATAGTTATTCATAAGTCATTTGTTTATTCTGAAGTGTTAAATTACTCGCTGTTCTTTAGCTAAATTCTTTAGGTCCCACAAATTGAGTTTTTTTTCTGGTGAAAACTTTTAAGCATAATTTTTTATTTAGTGCTGCCCTTCAAAACACAGAAGATACTTTCATGTTTCCCCATAGATATAAAATTCACCTTGATCTTCAAATTTGAAAATGCAATGGTTTTCACCCCTATATTTAAACAATACTCCATGTGAACTTTTTAATGTGATATGTCTTATGTAAATGCCACAGTACTAAAAAAAACATGCATTTTGTGTAATCCGTCTTATTTAGGTAAAATGATTCACAATTTACACATTCAGCAAGCCATATGCAAATTTTTCACCACAACTGTGACTCTTTTTTTTTTAGAATACAAGAACCCTCCATAGGCGTTATGCATTTTAATCTGTAAAAGCTGCTTATTATATGGCCTTTCCATAGTCATAGATAGAGAGTTGCGACAATGGAAGTCCAAAATACTCGGTCATGATGTGATTTGTGTAGACTACTAGTTCCAGAATGTGCTTCAGGGTTAATTCAAATAATGTTAGATAATGTTAAACATACAGATTTTATTTATTTATAACTACCTTTCCAAAGCGCTAAACCAACCATCTTCAGCTGTAACTTGGCTGGGAACTATTGCGAGGCTTCATGAACTGCCATTGCTGTTAAAAAAAGTTCAGACGTTTATTTTTCTTCGGCTTAGTTCCTGATTTATCAGGGGTCATCACAGGAGAATGAAATGTCCTGGTTGCGAACGTAACCCACAGTCCCCGGATAGGGATCGTAGATGTGTGTCTGTTATCAGACACACGTTGTAGTTCCCATGAAGGGGAACACCAACTACTGAAAAAAGTTCAGTTGGAGTCAATGGAGTTGTCACAACTCTTTATCTATGGCTCTGCCTACCACAAACCCCAAAAAGCACAAGAGCCCTTATTTTGCATTAGAAAGGGTGATATTTTGATTTTGGGGGTCTCCAACAACAGGCTGATATGCATGCAAGGTCAAAAAACACTTTCATTGTTTTATTATAAGCATGTATTTTTATCTAATTATCCTAACAACACCCATATGAATCGTTCAGTGATTCATTTGTTCCCAAACCCCTCCTTAGCGCTAAGCTAATCTGCACTGATTGGTCTGATGACCCAGTCTGTTGTGATTGGTCGACTGCATTCAGCGCTCACCACGGCTTATCAACAGTGTTGTAGTCAGAGTGCAGTGTATGTGTGAGCATTCCTGACAACACTTCCGTTTTTTCCAGGAGTCTCTCGTATTTCAGACGCCACTTCCGCTACCCTCCCGTTTTGTTATTTCTCCCGGAAAACTCCACTAATTTCCCCCACATTTTGGTATTAATTCCCTGTTGTAAGCATGTAGACTGCTTAAGCACTAGTCAGAAAATTGACGGAAAACAGCACAAGACTGGGCGATGATGCTGAGGTATTTTTGCAAAAGTAAACCTCAACCACTTCTCTTTACAGTCTCATCTTTGGGTAGGGAAAATAACACTAACTTTCCCCTCACACTTCAGAGCACAGCGTCTTCGCGACATGATTCAACTGGGGTCTGCCACAGTGTTGTTCTTCTTGCTACTCTGTTTGTGGACGGGGCTGGGGTTTGCAATTTTTCCGGCACACCGGCAAGGCTAAAGACTCGTTATCAAGATGATTCATTTAAAGCACTATAAGTTGACTCTTATAAATGAATCAATAGTTTTAAACACTGTGCACTTTCAGATTTAAGCCTTAGCTGGATATTTCACTTCACTTAGAGCTGTGTTACACACTACATGGATGGTTACTTCCAAAAACCCATAATAGGGGCTCTTTAATAGAGTACAACCAGGTTATACCCATGTCATCATACAATTATGTGTCCTTGTAAACCACAAACAGTACATACAGTTGTGCTGAAATGTTAATTCATTCATTAATTCGTAATTATTAAAACAAAAATTGCAATAATTTATACTTTTTGTTTCGCCCATACCTTCTTTACTCAGTTATTTCTATGTTTTTAGCAATTCTGGGGTTAATGTTTGCTCTAACTGAATACACATTATAATTCTCAACTGTTCTACAATAATTTGAATGATTTTTCTTTTATTTTCTCTCTAGCAGTCGGCCACCAAAGAAGAACTTTGTGGAGGTGACAGAGTTGACTGACATCACTTATACCAGTAACCTGGTGAAGCTGAGGCCGGGTCACATTAATGTAGTGCTGGTTCTTACTGATGGCACCAAAAACATCCTGCTCAGCAAGTTTGCCAAGGAGGTTTATTCATTCACCGGGTGAGCCTTCATTATACGCCGTAGAAGTGACATGGAAACAACGCAAGGTCTCGTAGTATATCTTTTGTTATTAACTACATAACTACATAGGAAGAAGCCTTTAGTGGGGTAGAACATGTACTTATTTTGCTCACCTGGCTTTGAAGGGAATTAGCAATTTCTCTCCAACTTTTTTCTTTTTTGACCCGGTTGTGATATTGTTCAGATGACACGTCAAACAGACACGGGTGCTCCTGACAAATTTACACTAGTTTTCCCTCCATTTCTTGGGTCCAAATAAACCGAAAAGAAACCCTTTTAACTTCTCCCCCAACCTACCCATACTAGTGTTTGCTGCTCTCTCACGTGGCTGATGTTTTTGATAAAAAACAATAAAAATTACATAAATAATGAAAAAAAATAATGAAAAAAAATGAAAAAAGTATAGTATATTTATATTATAAACAACATTTTAAATGGCATAGATTACAGTTTCTACAAAAATCTGAAGCAGCCCAATAGTTCTTATCATCGAAAAAACTATTAACAGTGTTTTGAAAAGCAACTGACATTGAAACCTTTAAATGAACTTTAAATTGAAATTTTAACTACATTTATTCATTTTGAGTTTATTTGTATAAGCGCTTTTCACAATAGTTAACCATTTTGTATTAGGAACTACTTTCTTCTGCCATTCATTCACATCTGCAGCTGACGTCAGAACAGCAGAAGCCGTCACTAATTCACCAACGTCGATTTAGAGCTAGAATTTGAATAGTTCTCTATAGCGTAATGTAAAGCAGCGCTTCTGGTGAGTGACCAGATTATAAGGCTGAACAGGACATGAAGTGCCATCCGTCACAGAGATTTCTCAACAAACAGCTGTTGTGTTTGCGATAAGGAGGGACAAGGCTGAATCCAGCTTCTTATTCGCAGCTTCTTATTTACTCTATCTGGTCCACCTTAAAAACCACGAGGCTTTCGTTTTTCAGCTTTTCAATTCGCGCTCAGGAGAACACACTGAGCAAGGGCTTATTATGCTGTTCTGGCGCCTTCTTTTGGATAGACAACGTAAACCCTCTTTGGCCGCCTACAAGCTCTCAGAAATTGTAAATATTTTGAAATAGGCACTATTCTTACAAATAAACTGCATAATTGCAATCTAAAAACTACATTCTCAACTAAAAAAGCCTTAAAAGTATATTTGTTTGTCTAACAGCAGTAATATTTGTTAAACTGTAGTGTCTGCTTGTTGCTGGCTTTATGTCGGTGGAGTAATACACAAAGGGTAAAGAGGCTGTACGAATGCTGATATTACTTAAATAAATCACGGCTATCAGCCAATCAAATTCGAGATCCAGACGGAACTTTATATATATATATATATATATATATGTATGTATGTATATATATATATATATATATATATATATATATATATATATATATATATATATATATATATATATATATATACATATATATGCTGTATAACAGAGGATATATATATAAACAAAGTTATTATGTATAAACATTTAATAACTAAACAGTCACACTGCTAATGCAATGAAATCATATTTGGAGAGAAAAACAGCTGATGAAACAAAGACAGTTATGAAATGGCCTCCACAGAGTCCAGACCTAAATATTATATACAGTATGTATAGGCAATAGTATAGGCATATGAGATTCACCTGGAGAGAAAAATAAATCATGCTTAATCTAAGGAAGAACTTGATAATAAATAGCACAAAATTTCAAAGAAGACTCAATGACACCAAAGTGCTTGGTGCTAAAGCGGTCACGTTGACAAGACGTTTGATCCTAGTATTTTGATTCCAAAAGTAATTTTGTTCTGAATATTGTGTACATATTTCCCTTATTTTCTGTTTGTATATTAAAGGTATAGTTCACCCTGAATAAGGAACCTGCACTTGCTCAAAACCTTTTAGATAGATAGATTTGTGCAAAAGTCTTAGCCTCCCAAAGCTAGTGGTGGTCTTTTGCATGCTACTGTATGCTTCCTCTTCCTCACAGGAGTTTGACGCTCCACTTCTCCTTCCTGAATGTGGATAAACACAAAGAATGGATGGCAGCGGTGCTGGAATTTGCCCAGGACGCCATGCAGATCGACACAGATGAGGATGAAATGGGCACTCGTAAAGTCGACTACACTGGCTATGTCCTAGCGCTCAATGGCCATAAGAAATACCTGTGTCTCTTTAAGCCAGTCTACACGGGAGAAGACTTGGATGGAAAAGCAGAAGAGGAAGGAGGAGTATCGCGATCCAGAAAAAGCACGACACGTTCTCGATCCACATCTCTTCAGATCCACCACAAACTGGACCGACTCGGCCTATGGATGGAGCGGCTGATGGAAGGGACTCTGCCCCGATACTATGTCCCAGCCTGGCCCGGTCTGGATAAGATCACCGTCAATAAATAAAGCCTCGCTGAAGCTAGCTTGCTAATGCTGGAGCTAATACTCAAATTGGTTTAAAAGCACCAAAAGGCCTCGGCGAATGCAGGCTTGTTGCCGCTCGGAGTGCAGATGATGGCGAGTGACTTTCGTTTAGCGTTAGAGGAAAGAAAAGTGGTTAAAAGTGCTTGAGTTCTACATTGAAACCTTACATATTAAAACTAAAATACAGTGGGGCAAATAAATATTTACCACGTCATGTTTTTTTCTGGGAATTATATTTCTAAAGGAGCTGCCGATGAGGAATTGAACCTGGTAAAATTTGGTAAAAACCCAAACTATACAAACATAGAAATAAAACAAAACAAACAAAAAAATGAGTTATGTGTAATAACAATGCAATGACACAAGGAGAAAGTACTGAACTACTGAAATCTATTTAAAGTTTATATAAAAGACTTTTTTGGTGATGACCAAACTTCTGAGAGATTTCAGCTGCTGTCTGGGCTTTCACTGCCTTTTTACACCTCCCCTTCTTCATGTGTTCGATACTTCGTCCCTGCATCATTTCATTTTATTACATTTAACTTTATTTGTAAACTAATTAGATTTGATTTCTTTGCATATATAGATTTTTTTAGCAACATCTGGTGAAAATTTCAAGTCAACAGCAGAGGTGTAAAGAGTACCTGAAAACCTCACTTGAGTAAAAGTACAGATACCTTACTGAAAAAAATACTCCATTACAAGTTACAAGTCACCAATTCCAATAAGACTTGAGTAAAAGTATTAAAGTGTCCAAATTTAAAAGAACTTAAGTATTTTACTCATACTGAATGAAGGCTCAAAGAACACTAAGAAAGGTTTTATTTATTAATATAGAAATTAAATTGAACACCTCAATGTTTCAAAATGGCAGAACAAAATAAATTAAAAAGAAATAGAACAAAAAGTCCCTGTCAAACTCAAATGTTTAAAATGGCACAAACAATTAAAAAAGTAAAAAAAGCTGACTTTCATGTGATTTACCCCACCGTCTCAAAGGGGGGCAATACTTTTATTTTGAGTAGTTTTTCAATTGATTAGGATGTTTTCTCTGTATTAAAATTAAACACAGAGGAGCCGTGATATTTTTCAACCTGGTACATTACATATAAATTCAATAAAAAATACATCACAAACTCATAGCTAAATGCACTTGATGCAAAATGTATAATCTCAGTAAAACATTTATTCACGTTGCACAAAAAAAATGAAGCTAAAACAGTCATGTCATGTCGCAGTGGTTTTTGCTATTTCAGTAACTGTATTAAATTCACTTAATTCACATTAAATTAACATTAAATACACTCTTACTCCACTGTGTTTTCTCAAATTTTACAATAAATTCTTAAAAGCACTTATTCTCGTGGCAAACAAAGTAGACACTGCATCCTGTAAGAGCCATTCTGCATATCAGCAAATGAAAACATTTCTTTCAGATAAGGCCATGGATGGCCATCAGTGCTGGCACTGCTTGATGTGCCGACTTCGGCTTTATCATTTGCTGCAGCCATGTCGCTAATTAAACACCTGGTATTTGGCACGCTGCTAATTCACGTTCACTTGATTTAGCTCATAAATAGTATACAGCACCTTCAGCAGCCTGCAGATGATGATTTTGCCTCGTCCGCCCAACAAATTAGCCGTGGTAGATAGAGATGCCGACTTGTCACGCACAATCACAATGTAACGAGTAACTATAAGCGTCCGTTCAAATGTAGTGGAGTAAAGAGTACATATATTCAATCAAAAATGTAGTCAAGTAGAAAGTAAAAGTTGCTTATATTTTTAATCCTCAGTACAAGTAAAAAGTAGCCAAACAAATACTTAAGTAATGTAACGAAGTCCATTTACTTAAGTACTTTACACCACTGGTCAACAGTGTATTGGGAAATATGTTTTCTGAGAAAAATGGTGACGTGTTCAATACTTATTTCCCCCATTGTATACTTCGGGCTTTGGTTTTTGGAGATATTTACTAATAGAGGACTTACAGTCAGTTTGGGTGTTTACACTGCAAAAAAAAATGCTTTTTAAATTTAGATTTCCTTGTCTTGTTTCTAGCCCAAATATCTTAAATCAAGAAGCATTTTCTAGACACACAAAACATGTCTTGTTTAAAGAAATAATATGCCAAATTTTTTATAAAACATGCTAAATAATCTGCCAATTGGGTAAGTGAAATAATCTTGTTTGATTTTCCTTTTGACATAAGATTATTTAGCTTGCCCCATTGGCAGATTATTTTGCTTGATTTATGGAAAAACTCACTCAATCTTGACGTATTATTTCTTAAAACAAGACAATGCTTTGCTAGTCTAGAAAATGCTTCTTGATTTAGGATGTTTTGGTAACACTTTACAATAAGGTTCATTAGTTAATGCATTTACTAACAAGAACTAATCATGAACAACACATGTACGGCATTTATTAATCATAATTGAACATTTACTAATGCATTATTAACATCCAAGTCCATGCTTGTTAACATTAGTTAATGCACCATAAGTTAACATGAACTAACAATAAACTACTGTATTTTCAATAACTAACGTTAACTAACATGAACAGATCCAGTATTAAATGTATTGTTCATTGTTTGTTTATGTTAGTGAATACATTAATTAACATTAACTAATGACCCTAATGATATTTTTGCAGTGTAGTGCATATTTCAAAAGGCTGTTGGTTGAAAACTAAAAATATTAAGCTAGCGTAGCTTTCAATAGTCTACATTTCCATTCTACAAATGACACTGCAACATGCTGCTAGTTGAAAAACATAATGTAGCCTAACAAACAAAATCACTGTAGAGACTTTTAGTCATAACTGTTTACTCGTGACGATGCTGTGAATTTTTGTTTTATATTTTTTTAAGAGACACTTTTTCTCTTTTATTTGAATCCCAATAATCTACAAAAGTGCCCTATTTTATTTTTTAGGTAAGGTTTTATACATTAACTTTAGTTAATGAGTTGAAATGATTTAATATTAAAACATGATATTGTTTATAGGTAATATATCAGTTTATGGATAATATATCACTTGATTTAATAATTTTTCACAATACAAATACTACATTTTTTTAACATTCAAATGGCTGATGCCTAATGCATTACCTAATTAAAGAATTGCATAAACTATATTTAACATTAGTATTTAACCTCAAAGTGTGCTTTCGCTATTATTACATATTTTTTGCCTATAAATAATATATAGGCAAATTATAATAGTATAATAATAATAATCCAATTTTGGTCTTTAAAATAAAACACAAAATAAATAAAACAAGACTAAAACACTAGAGCTAAATTAAGACTTTTATTACATTTGTAGAATTTGCTTGATACAAACATTTTCTTTGTAAACAATGGTGAAAACAATAACTCTTTTAAACATTTGAATTATATGCTTTTCTGCTCTTCTACTAAACTAATTTCATAAATTATGACTTTAACTTTAAATCTTCTTTGTGCACATTTTGATCAAGTTTCTTAAGCCCTGTCCACACGAACATGGGTATTTTCAAAACCACACTTTTTTTTCAACTCAATTTTTTTCACACATAAACAGAGTATCAGGTGACTGAAACTTTCTAAAAACTCCAGCCAGGGTGAGGATTTTCTAAAACTCATGGTACAGTGGTGTCATGTGGACACTACAACCAGAGTTTTTGCCTCATGACGTCAACGTGAGCCGTTTTCTACTTTCTGATTGGCCAACACGGCCAAGTGTACACCAAATGCGAATGATATAAATGAGGCAAATTCCCCACGTTCGCAGAAAACACTGTTTGCGTAATCAGGGTGCCTGCAGGGTCTTAAAAAGTCTTCAAAAGCAGCATTTAAGGTCTTAAAGTCTTAAATTCACTGAAATAATGTCTTGTAGGACTTACATTTTAATCGGGTCTTAATTTTCCAATGTCCGTGTATTGTAATGTACTGTAATGCGTATTTATATAGAGCATGTATTGTGTATGGCCATACACCCAAAGCACTTCACAATCATGAGGGGGTCTCTCCACACCACCACCAGTGTGCAGCATCCACTTAGATGATGCGACAGCAGCCACAGGACAACAGCACCAGTGCGCTCACCACACACCAGCTATTGGTGGAGTGGAGAGACAGTGATAGAGCCAATTTGGTGGATGGGGATGACTGGGAGGCCATGATGGGTAAGGGCCGATGGATCGAATTTGGTCAGGACACCGTGGTTACTCCCCTACTCATTATGAGAGTTTAACGTCTCAATTTAACGTCTCATCCGAAAGACGGCGCTCACTGACAGTATAGTGTCCCCTTCACTATATTAGGGCATTAGGACCCACACAGAGCACAGTTTGAGCGCCCCCTGCTGGTCTCACTAACACCACTTCCAACAACAACCTAGTTTTCCCATGTGGTTTCCCATCCAGGTACTGACCAGGCTCAGGCCTGCTAACCTTCAGTGAGTAACTGGTGTTGACTTGCAGGGCAATGTGGCTGTAGTCACATGCAAAGCTGCTCAATCAGGTTAATGCTCATCCAAACCCCAATAATCCAGCTCAATAAAACATTTAACAAGGCTCAATTTATAACTAATATCATAATAGCAATTTTTTTTAGCTTTTTAACCAATATACCATACAGTTTGAGTTCACTAGTTTGTGTTATGTATGTGTATATATATATATACATATATATATATACATACACAAAGTTGAAGTCAGAATTATTAGACCCCCTGAATTATTAGCCCCTTGTTTGTTTGTTTTTCCCCCAATTTCTGTTTAACGGAGAGAAGATTTTTCACAACACATTTCTAAACATAATAGTTTTAATAACTCATTTCTAATGACTGATTTATTTTATCTTTGCCATGATGACAGTAAATAATATTTGACTACATATTTTTCAAGACACTTCTATACAGCTTAAAGTGACATTTAAAGGCTTAACTAGGTTGGTTAGGGTAATTTGGCAAGTTACTGTATAACAATGGTTTGTTCTGTAGACTATCAGAAAAAAATATAGCTTAAAGATGCTAATTATTTTGTCCCTGAAAATGGGATTCAAAAATTGAATCCCAACAAAACAATTAAGACTTTCCCCAGAAACAAAAATATTATCAGACATACTAAGACAATGTCCTTGCTCTGTTAAGCATTGTTTGGGAAATATTTTAAAAAGAAAAGAAAATTCAAAGGGTGGGGGCAAATAATTATGACTTTAACTGTATTCTGTATATGTTGAAAAAATGACTATGTATACAACTAGGGGTTGTTTGCTTTGACACATTATTTAAAATATGTGGCTAAGTAATAACTAATTTGATTGTTTTTTTGACGGGCAAGTAAAAAATTTTTCCTCTAGACCAGGGGTGTCAAACTCAATTCCTGGAGGGCTGAAGCCCTGCATAGTTTAGTTCCGACCCTGCTCCAACACACTTACCTGTAGGGTTTAAACAAGCCTGAAGGACTCAATTAGTTTGATCAGGTGTGTTTAATTAGGGTTGGAACTAAACTGTACAGAGCTTTTGGAACTGAGTTTGACACCTGTGCTCTAGACCAACCAGGCCATTTGAAATCAAAGAATCCTTAGCGTTTAGCCCTCTGATACTGTGTTCATAATGGTCTTAAAAGGATCTTAAAATGTCTTAAATTTGACTTGGTCAAACCTGCAGAAGCCCTGGTATTCCGTGTCGTTTGCACTGCGGGACAGAGTGGACAGTAATCCACCTCTGTTCTCATGTTTGCATTGACTTGTATGCAATTTACTTGTGAAAATACTTTTTTTCCCCAGCAGTGGACCCAGCATAAAAGTGTCATTATTATACCGCCTTTTGGTTTAGTGTGCCCTTAACTGTGCACTTTGCCATTTTCATGTGGACAGAAATTTATTTATTTATTCTTAAACAAAGAGGGGAAAACTTTTATTAACAAGAATACCCATGTACATGTGCACAGCCTTAGCATTGCTAATTCTTGTGGTGGAAACACTAGCACAACATTACAGCAATACCTGTACAATATGAGCCAAATGCTTCAGTCACAAGCTGTAAATAGTTACATGATTATATTAAATGTATATGTGACAACATCACATTGGTCTGATAAATGTGTAAGTGAAGATCTTCATCAGTCACAGTCACGTTCAGCTTTATAGTGCAGCTACTTTATAAAAGAGCAGGACAAGCCTTAAAGAATGACAAATAGTGCCAGAATTATACATCGTTTGCCGTTGGAGTTTGCATTCAAGATGTGCTGTGTGACATGCAAAACTTAATCGTAAAAAAAAAAAAAATTGATTGGACGCATTTTCTACTATGCATTTGATTTGTTTACCTTGTTCTGTTTTATTTAGTGCATTTATTACATGTGCACGGTGTGGGTGAGTTTAATCCACTCTAGTATCAAGTCTTCCATTATCAATAATACTTATTTATTCCAATGGTGTTCAATGAACATTCATTACACTTGATGCAGTATTGATATTGTACTATATTAGCATTTTTATTTGTTTGTTGATCCTTGAAGATAGTCAGCATTAATAACTCATGCCAGATTTTCATGGCTTGATTATGAACAGTCATTAACTTTATGAACATTCGTTACGCTTGATGCAGTGTTGATATTGTACTATATTAGCATTTTTAGTTTGTTTTAGCAATGGAGAATATCTTAAATTTAAGATAGTCAGATTAATAACTCATGCCAGATTTTCATGGCTTATTTATGAACAGTCATTACACTTGATGCAGTATTGATATTGTACTATATTAGCTTTCTATCATTTGTTTCATTTAGCAATGCACTGGAGAATATCTTAAATATAAGATAGTCAGCATTAATAAATCATGCCAGATTTTCATGGCTTATTTATGATTAAATGTATTTCATGCGTATGTAACATTAACACTGTACCCATGTGTCAATGTAACCGATTTATGAAAATTGTTCTAAAACTAAATGATTGAATAAATGTGATACTTTATTTCCATAATATTGTGCGGTACGTTTTATTTCATTTCCAACCCTATTTTTTGCAACCCTATTTAAAAAGAAACCTTTTATTTAAAGGTACTGGTTTTTAAAAAACGTTAATAGTGATTTGTGACCATGAATCATGTACAGATTATAAATTCCACTGTGTATTTACCTGGAATATTTCATGATCATCTTAGAAAAAATAAAGCAATCAATAGTATTTGACTTTGGGAAGGACGCACATCATCTCAAAGAGGAGGTTGGCACCGAGCAAAGCAGTGTTTCCTATGAAGAAACAAAAAAAGGCTCAAATTTAGACTAAAAATTAAAGGTATAATCAAATATTCTGCTTGCATGTATTATTTTAAGTGAATTTTATTTATAAACTAATTTCGAGAGGATCACGTGCTTATAATTGCTTGCAGCCGGCCCCGCATTATTCAATTTATGATTCAGCAATCAGACGATTCCTATGCCACTATAAATACTCTACGATCCATATAACAGTCATCTTCGTTTTCAAGAATCCCCCCTTCCACCTCTACACCTCCTCCTTTTCTATATAGATGGCACGGTAGCCCAGTGGTAAGCACTGTTGTCATAAACTTTTTTTATCAGAGTGTTTATACTGAGGTCTGAATAACCCTTTAACTGGATTATTTACAGAAGGGAATGCATTACCTGTGGTGTCGTAAGGTGGAGAAACTTCAACTAAATCGCAGCCCACAAGATTAAGACCTCGACAGCCTCGGATGATTTCCAGACCCTGGACGCAGATTTCAAAAGACATTATTCTTTAAACAAAACTTGCAAAAGAGCTGAGATAGCACAAATCAGACACATCTCTAGTTTAAGCATTTTTAAACCAAAGTTAATATTAAACTTTCATTTGCAAAGTCTAAGGGCTGCTCAAACATGAGCCTGAAATCTTGGCTGTTTCCCAATTTTTAAACTTCCTATAGCAGGTGTTTTAACAACAAGCAAGAGAGTGCTTGGGGGTCCGTGAACTAAAAATATATTGTGTATTATTATTACTACTATTATTATTGTTATTATTATTTATTAATGTATATATATATATATATATATATATATATATATATATATATATATATATATATATATATATATATATATATATATAACAATAAATTAAATATAAATTGTTTAATCAAATAAAAGAAACAAACAATACAATTACATTAGTATAAAAATGTACATTAGTAAAAATAATCATACAAATAACTGTATTAATGTAATAGAATAATTATATAAAACTGGTACAAAATAGGTAAAGATAAAAAATTATTACATAAAATTCTAATGAATATTCAAATTGTGACTACAAAAAATCAACTTTATTAAAAAACTTAATAAATAAATGGAAAATGGATTAAAATGAAAAATAAAAGGTTAATATAATAAAACATTTTAAAAATATAAGTTGATGTGAATGAATAATGAACAAATAAACAAACAAGTAAATAATAAATAACAGAACTATAGGTTGAAAATAAAATAAATAATGCAAATTAATTGATCCTGCATTATAATCCTACATTATAACTTGGTTAATCCTACCTGAATGGGTGTGAGACCAGCAATCTCAGGTGTTCCTGTGCCCGGAGCAAACGCAGGGTCCAGACTGTCAATGTCAAAGCTCAGATAGACTGGACCTCTTCCCATCTGAGAGCGAACCTCCTCCATCAGCGGGACCAGAGATTTGTGCCAACACTCCACAGCTTCCACCACACGGAAACCCTGAAAACATCCACAATTATTTAAGAGGTGTGGTGAAAAATCTTTCTTAAAATGCATCGCTATCTTGAAGAGTTTCTAAACTTAGTTTTTAAGCTGACATTTAGATTTTAGCTGTTAAAATTAGCCTAGAGTACCATATGCTGTTAAAAACTAACCTAGAGCATTGTCTGCTCTTAAAAACTAGCCTAGAGCGTCATCTGCTATTAAAAACTAGCCTAGATAGAAAACAAACTTTATTGTTTCTTGTGCCTGAATGCAATAAACTCACCTTACACAGTAACAAATGTTTAAAATGTTTTTCAGCTAATAAACTGTAAAAATAACAGGAAAAATATGTTGTAAAATACCGGCAGCTGTGGTTGCAAGAACTTCACCGTAAAATGTAAGGTTACAATGTGCAGCACAGAATACTTTTTGATAAACCGTAAATTTTATAATTGAAAACTTTGTTTACAGCAAAGTTCTGTTAAATAAAACAGATGTATTGTACAAATGTTTACAGTAATTTACTTTAAGAATAGCTGCTGTGAATGTAAATTCCTTTACAGTAAACTACTGTTTATAATAAATATACTGTGTAAACCTATCTACTAGAGATCTGCGCGGGACTAAATTTTGAATCCCGCTCCCGCCCGCACCCACCAGGTTTTAGCGTGAACCCGACCGCTTACATTCAGCATTTGTTGTCCCGCTGCCTGACCCACCCCGTTTTCTATAGCGTTTAAATAGCGGGCGGGGGGTGGGGGGGGGGAGAACAAAACCGAAAACCAACCAGCTATACAGAGTCCAGACAGCCTATGCCAAGCTGTCTGTATAAACACACACACACATAAGCACCAAGCACACAGACAAAGCTCTCTCTCTCTCTCTCTCTCATTCGCGCGCGCACACTAACGCACACACACAAGCACACACACAGGCAAAGCGCTCTCTGTGCGCGCACACACACACATACACACACTCACAGCAACAAACAAGCTACATACACGTGCTCACTCGGAAGTCGGGAGTGATATTGCTAGACGGCCCGATCCCGTCCCAAATTAAACCCGTTACCGACTGCTCCCGCGCTTTATTCGAAATTTATTCTGAATAAATGCAGACCAATGCAGACCTGTACTATCTACATTCTATTTCTGTAATAAACATAATACAACAGTATGAAATATAACAGTATTTTATAGTAATGTCCAGTTTTACGAAAAATCACCAGCAGCTGTAGTTGCCAGAACTTTATAGTAAAAAACATTACAGCGGTTTGCCACAGATTTTACAACAGTCAAGTTACGGAAATTGCTAAACTAATAAATACAGTCTACAGTAAATCAAGCAAAAACTATCAATATTAATAAAGCACATTGAATTGCCACGGTGTATGAAATGTGCTATATAAATAAACTTGCCTTGCCTAAAAAAAACTTAAGCACTAAACATGACTGACTAGACTCAAAATGTTAAAGGGCACCTATGGTGAAAAATCTACTTTTCAAGCTGTTTGGACATACATGTGTGTAAGTATAGTGTATATACTGTCATATTGGGGTGAAATAAACACACCCAGTCCTTTTTTTTTAATTTAACAACAAAAAAATGGTGGACCAATTGGAGCGGTTTTCAGATCGACCGCAACTTTACGTAGGAGTGCGGTCCCCCCGCCCACCAATATTGATTGACAGCTGCACGCATTAACATGTCTCCGTACTATTGCATAAACTCATATCGACAAGACAGGACGAGCGCAAAGCAACCGGGAACAAAAGGTTTGTTTCAGTTTGCTAGGATCATCAATCATTATCAGACGTGATCAAGAGTGAGTTTTACAAGTTTAACATGTTTTAAAACGTGTGCATGTGTGTAATGAAGTACAGCGATTCACTTCATCAGCACAGCCGCGTGTCTCTCTCACTGTCTCTGTGTGTGTGTGTATCTGCGCTATGTATGTGTGTGTCTGTTTGTCTACGCTATGTATGTGTGTGTGTGTGTGTGTGTGTGTCGCGCTACGTGTCTGTGCTATGTGTTTGTGTGAGTGTGTCTGCCTGTCTATGCTATGTATGTGTGTCTGTGAGTGTGTCTGCCTGTATACGCTATGTATGTGCCTGTGTGTGTGAGTGAACTCATTGTTGTTGGTAAAATTCTTACTGTAGTATTTCTCACAAACGTTACGTTAGATCTGCTTCCTGAGGCAGCCAAGGGCGTGTTGAGGCATGTTGCTGACAGGCACGTGGGATTGGTGGGCGGGGATGACTCGCCTTAAAGGCCCAGTGCAAAAAAAACAGCAACAACCTTTTCCCAGCTATAATACAGACATTTCAAACAGCTATAATAAATACTCTGATGGGTGATTTGAGCTGAAACTTTACAGACACATTCTGGGGACACAAAAGACTTATAATAAATATGAAAAAAGGGGTAACCTATGTGCCCTTTAAGACTGACCAATCAAAGTCAAGTATGTCAGAAAGATGTGTATGAGTGTGTTTATTGGTGAATGCATGATGATACCTGTCCTCGGCTCCACTCATAATTATCTGGAGAATAACCGGATCCTCTGAGCCCGATCTGGGCAACCCTCTTGCAGTCCAGAAGACCCTCATCCACACAGCGTCTGAAAGGCGTCCCGTGACCAATCTCCTCCCCCAGAATCATGTCACTAGTGTCCGCATGGGCATCCACATGAATCAGACCTACCGGACCATGTCTGAACAGCAGAAACAACAGCATTTCAGACTGAATATAAGTTAATAAAGCAAACAAAAGGCCTTTCGTAAAAAAACCTCTCAGCAACAGCTTGAAGGATCGGGTATGCAATGGTATGATCTCCTCCTAGAAATCCAAGATGAGTGGAAAAGGAGATTCAGCGTATGCATATTAAGAAAAGACTGAAAACTTTAATATCTGTGTAGTTCTCACCCAGGGTTAGTGGGATGCAGCCGGTGGCCACGATTTTACGGTAAGCCTCCTGTATTTTTTTGCAGGTGTCCTTCAGGTCAAAGAGGTTGACGTTAATGTCACCGATATCTGCCACTTTGATTGATTCATATGGAGCTGCTCTCGTCCAGCCACAGTATGCCCTGATCATAGCAGATTCTGCCCTGATGTGTCTCGGTCCAAACCTAAAAAAGGTATAAGAATTCATTAATGCTTCTTACAGAATATTTATGTATGAATGAAAAAGAGAGAGAAAGGTCATGAATATTTAATCGCAAACGATTTAAGTTTAACAACCTTCTGTGGAGAACATTTTAAACATTTCTGGAAGAAAATAGCCGTGTAATTTAATAGCCAGCATTTCATGAATTCTTCATAGTCAATTTTATTTTACACTTCCATAATGCACAAATGTTCAGTTTTATTGGAAAATCTAAATAAAATACATAAAATGAAACTAATTGTTTTTCTTTCATTGATAAATCTATTAAATGTATTTAAATTAACTATATATAGTAAATACAGTATATTACACAACATAAGCACACACACACACACACACACACACACACACACACACACACACACACACACACACACACACACGTACATACACAAACATTAAACATCACATTGTGTAACAATAACCATATAGAAAAACATTATTATATTATTATAATATATTATGTACTATATATGTATACATGTTATATACATACTGCAATATTATATTATTCATATATTAATTATTTTGAATATATTTTTTATTACACTTAGGGCCCCACACTGCAAATAATGCTTATTTTACTTAGGTTTTTGTCTTGTTTCTAATCCAAATATCTAAAAATTCTTATATCAAGAAACATTTTCTAGGCAAACAAAACAATGTCTTGTTTTCAGAAATAATATGCCAATAATCTGCAAAATACAAGCAAAATAATCTGCCAATGGGGTAAGCAAAATAATCTTGTTTTTCCTTTTGACATAAGATTATATTTCTTACCCCCAGTGGCAGATTATTTTGCTTGTTTTAAGGAAAAAAACTCACTTCAGTTTGGCATATTATTTCTTAAAACAAGACAATATGTTTTGCTTATCTAGAAAATTCTTCTGGATTTAAGAATTTTTAGATATTTTTACTAGAAACAAGACAAACAAATCTAAGTAAGAAAAGCATTTAACTGAAATCTAAGCATTTTCTTTTGCAGTGCAGGACATCTGGGGGCCCCCAATAAATATTAATTATACTTATAAACTATATATAACATCATTTTCTATAGTAAGAGTCAAATAATTTTTTTTTACTCAATTAAGTGTTATTTTATATACAATAAAATAATAATATTATAATAATAACGTAATATTATGTAATAATAATATTATAAAAAAAAACACCACCATCAATCATGGAGTAGTCGTGCAGTCAAATTACAAAAAAAAATTCATATTATTTTTTGTTGTAAATTCATTTTAAGTCATCTAATTATTTAAAATGTGAAGTTTACATTGAGATAAATCGACGTAAAAAAGAAGATTTAGTAGTTTAAAAAAACAGCTAAGTAAATTAAATAAAAGTAGAAAGGGTGCATTTCAGGACTTGGGGCCTGCTGGAGTTGCTTAGGGCCCCCAAAATCACTAAATCCTACCCTGCTTGAAAGACATTCTCATTTCAGAACATATTCAGATTAATCTAGTTCATGGTACTCAAACTGGATTCCTGGAGGGCCGCAGGTCTGCACAGTTTTGCTCCAACCCTAATCAAGCACAGCTTATCCAACTAATCAAGGTGTTCATGATTCTTTTGAACACTCGATTATTTGGATCAGCTGTATTTGATTAGGGTTGGAGCAAAACTGTGCAGACCTGCGGCCCTCCAGGAATCCACTTTGAGTACCATGAACTAGTTGAATCATTTTATAACTAACATTTTGTATTCTACATAGCTTAAAATAATATTTCAAGATGCAAAAAAAATTACATAAATAAAAAAATGTGAAAAAAAATTAACAAAGGAATGCTTAAAAAAAGAGGCTTTTTTTTGAAGAAATTTCAGATGGCACTTAAGAGTTATTTGCATCTGAACTCTTCTGCATAATTATAGGCTATTGGTTTATCAGAAAATTTGACATAACAACATATTTGTAACAACATACAATTAGACATATTACAAATAATTGAAATAATCCTATTGAAACTACAGTAGTCAACATTCCAAGTAAATCAAAAATATTTTTCAAAATTGTCCAGGGACTAGAATCAGTGGGTGATATATTTAGAATAACTTTGATGAAAGGTGATCTACTAACTATTTCCAATGATGACTACTGTATTGTTAAATATAAATTCGCTCTTCTGTTTGATTAGCATCCAATCCATTGTTTTGCTCTGTGCGGCTTTACCGTGCACCGGGCCGGTTGGACGTTCCGGTGTCAATAGGAACCCCTATAAACGCCGCGTCCAGTCCGTCCGCGGTTTCCTGGAATGGCAGTTTGCACATAGTCGCGATTCCGCTGACCCGAGCCACAAACTCCGCGCTCGGTGGAACATTAAAGCTTTTACCGGACATCGGCCGTCTGAAAGACACATTTACACTGCTCTGATCTCCGTCAAGCTTTCCACATTTCCCCAGTCTCTGCGAAGCGCATGCTTTCAAACCCTGAGATCCAGCAAACAGCGCACGACTTTTATTAGCGATTCTGATCGAGGAAAACATGTTTAAAGCAAACTCTTGCAGCAACTGGAGAAAACAAGAACGCAGAAAACAAGTTTGACAAACGTGTTAAACGCAAGTTGTATCTGTAAGTGCCAGTCTTGGAAGTGAACTTTAGCCACAGGCGTGAAGAGAGGCTGGACTTTATGTGCTGTTTGCAGTCACTCTGCATTAGTAGAGCAAGTATGTACTCTGCATCTCTAGTAGCCTAATAGTATGGTGTTTGGGGTTATTAGTTAAAGGGACAGTTCACCGCAAAAAAAAGTTTTTAATTTACTCTCTTTTTCAGACATCCAAGATATAGGCACCTTTTTCCTCAGCAGTTTAAAGAAATATTTTGCTGACACCATGGTCACCATTTTTGCAAGTAAATATTTATACAGTGGGGGAAATAAGTATTGAAGACATCACTTTTTCCATGAGAATAATATTTCTAAAGGAGTTTTGACATGGAATTGAACCAGATTTTGGTATTGCTCAGGTGTGAGTTTTTTTACAGACTTCAGCAGTGTAAAAATCTTGATGGTTCTGTGATTGGCTGGACCATTCTACAGCTTGTTTTCTTTCTCTGAAAGCATTTGAAAGTTTCCTTGGCTGTGTTTTGGATCATTGTCTTGCTGAAATGTCCACCCTGGTTTCATTTTCATCATCCTGATAATGTAGATGTTGAACTGAAGCAGCGGAAATTCATTTACAATGGCGAAGGGCAGAGGGTTGCTAAAGTTAAAATGTGGGGGGGGGGGGGGGATGGTCGAGGGAGCTGTCACAGACGCCGCCCTCTCTATTCTGCCGCCCTTGACGCGGATATAACTGAGGGCGCGGGTGGTGAGGGTAGTGTCGCGGACGCCGCCCTAGACGCGGATAAAACTGAGGGTGCGGTTGGTGAGGGTAGTGTCGCGGATGCCGCCCTAGAAGCGGATGTAACTGAGGGCACGGGTGGTGAGGCTAGTGTCGCGGACGCCGCCCTAGACGCGGACTTAACTGAGGACGCGAGAGGTGAGGGTTGTCGCCCTCTGTATTCTGAATGCAGCGAAACATATTACCTATATTCACTGAGAATTGGATTAAAATACATTTTCGAAATGGGATGTACTTAATTATGCTGAGCACTATATATACAGCGGGGAAAATAAGTATTGAACACGTCATCATTTTTCTCAGAAAGCATATTTCTAAAAGTATGTTGATGAAATTTTCCCCGGATGTTGATAACAACCAAAGAAATCCATATATGCAAAGAAAACTAATCTAATTAGTTTACAAATGGAGTTATGTGTAATAAAATTAAATGATGCACGGGAAAAGTGTTGAACATTTGAAGAAAGGGAGGTATAGAAAGGCAGTGAAAGACCAGACAGCAACTGAAATCTCTCAGTAGTTCTTAAGGGTTGAAGGCGGCATGACCGTCCTTTGCCTAGAGCGGCATTTCAGCTTGCTCCTGGCTGCATTTGAACAAAATAATTTTAGACAGATATATTTATTTAAGGTAGCATCTTTAGAAAGAGAAAATATATATTGCAAGCTAAAAAAACATTGCTATCGGCGCAATAGCCTAGTGGTTGGCGTGCCGACATATAGTGCAGTAGCACGTCAGTGCATCCCGAGGTCGAATCCCGGCTCGAGGACACTTGCCAACCCTATCCCTCTCTCCCTCCCACTTTGCTTCTCATTACTGTCCTATCTAAAAAGGGCAAAAATAAATCTTTAAAATAGAATAATTAAAAATATATATATATATATATTGCAAAAAACAAAAAAAAATAATAATAAATGACAAAAAACTACCAAATTTCAACACATTTTTACACATACTTTTCATTTATCTTGATTTTCAGCCTTTTCTAAATGTTTCAATATTTTCCGCTAATATACAAATTTGGGCCACTTATTTTTGGACTGTTATCGTAATTTATTTTGATCGATTAGCTCCATATTTGGTTTCAGTACTGACTAATCTAATGTATATTTACAAATATAATATTGTATAAATGTATATTTACAAATATAATATTGTATAGCTTTCTGTAAAAAATATTAATTTATATGAGAGATTTGTGAGGAGTCTACTCGTATATGCTCAGCTATGTACACACACATTTACCCGCAAAACAAGGCTCCAGATGATCAAGGATGCACTATGGACCATTTTCTTGGCTGTATATAGATAAGAAATAATAAATAATTAAGTAAATAATGTTCAGTTTCTTGCACAGAATGATTGTTTTGCATCATAACACCTCAATTCATTGTCAGGAGCCACATGTTCTGCACGATTTTCATTTTTATTTTATATATAAAAAAGTCTAACTAATGTAAGAAATTGCTTGCTTGGAATATCACCTTAACTAAAATAGAAATGAATAAAAACTATACAGGCAAATTTGAAATGCATTCATTAAAATGAACCATTATTAAAAAGTAGAATATACTACCCTGCTGCTATACCTCTCTTGGGCAATGCAAATATTACAATGATAATTTACTGCAATAATAATGTGTGTATTTAAAAAGAAACACCAAATATAGCCAATCAATAACAAACGTATGTTAACACATTGTGCAATATGACAAGAAAACATTAGTACTTTACAATATCAATTCTTTATTGTTTTTAGCATCATCTGCTTTCCATATTATACACAATAAAATCAACATGCAATCAAAAGTCACTTTACATTAACCACACATTGCCTGTTCATCTAAACATATTTTTCCAAAGATTGTCAGTAGTGATCTTATCAAAACACAACTCATTATTATTCCCTTCAAATTTCTGATCAAACACATTCCTCTTCAATCACCCAAATCAGCACAAATCTGGTAAACGACACCTGCATTTCATGCCGCAATCAAAAATGCATTGAATATCCCAAACGCATCAGCTTTATGACCTGCTTATTTGTATCCCCTTTTCAAAAACAATATTGAGCTTACTGTTATAAAATGCGGGACTAATAACGCATTTCTTTATGCTTGAGCTTGTACTATTTTGGTTTTAACTGAATATCGCCTCTTAATATGATAGTTACACTGGTATTGTTATGTTAAAATGTATAAAGTGTCCTTAGATAACATGAAAAGTGCAAATGCATAAATTGCCACAATTAATTAAACGATAAAGGGATAGTTCACTTAAAAAAATGAACATTTGCTGTTAATTTACTCACCCTCAACCCAAGATTAAGACTTTTTATTTTCAGCAAAACATTAAAGATATATTTTTAGCTGAAAACATGGATTCATAACAAACAAAATAATGACCAGCATGCCTTTACGATTTGAAACAATACATACAGGCAACATTACATGAATATTGAGGATAGCAGAGGATTCTGACCATACACTGAGCCAACTGAACATTATAACAGTTAATCCACAGCGTGGTCCTCCACAAGTGGTCCTGAGTGCATTCAGAATGGTACGGACCATGAACCTCTGGAATATCTATTTTGTTTTGCCTGTATGTATTTTGGCCTCTCAAAGTGTTGATACAAAATATTGATTTGCATTTTAGAAGTTGCAGAGGACCACAGTATGTTATAAAAATCTTCTTTAATGTTCTAATGAAAATAACTGAATAAATTCTAAGGATGCACCAAAATCAAAACATGTTAAATACACTGAAAAAATCATTGTAATAATTTGATATAATTTTTTTAGTGCTGGGCAAACAATCACTATTAAACACTTTCAAAATAAAAGTTTGTTTTGGCATAATATATATGTGTGTGAGTAATATATATATATATATATATATATATATATATATATATATATAATGTATAGTGATACACATATATATAAACAAAACTATACAAAACAATTTGTTACATAGATATTTAAATTTATACATCATTTATATCTAAATATAAATAAACCTTTTATTTATATAAAATGTGTATGCATGTGTGTATTTAATTATACATAATAAATATACACAGTACACACACATATATTATGTCAAAACAAACTGTTATTTTGGATGCGATTAATCGTGATTATTCTTTGCCCAGCATTCGTTATTTTATTAAATAATATTAAAAAGACTTTTTAAATTTAACAACTTAAATGATAAATATCAGCATAGCCTTTATTTAACTTATATTTTTGATCGTTTTTAATTTTTATCTGAAAACTGAAAACTCCATTTTCAGCTGATAATTTTAGGAGGTGCATCCCAAAAAATTCAGTGCATCTTAATATAATTAACAGCATAAATCTCAAATTTTTGGTTGAACTTATCTATAAAAACTAAAGTGCTTCATCTATCTACAGAAAGAACTGAAAAAAAAAAACATTAGAAATAGACTCTCTTGGCAATTAGAGCTTTTTTTCTACAATAAACACACACACAGACACACTATGGCTGAGAGTTAGACATCAGCAGGGATCTCCACTGCTTGCGCTCGTAGGTCATGAAGCTGACAGCGGTCCTCAGGTCCTCCAGCTCGATGTTGGCGAGGAAAGATCTCTGGAGTTCAGCCTCCACTGAGCTTTGGTCTCGCCCACGGCCCTTCAGGAGGACAACAGCAGACTGACACTGCAGCCAAGCCATCATCTCAGCCATCCGGACCTCGTCCAGACCCACCAGCACACGCCGGCCCCACAGACTGATGTGCAGGATATTAGCAGCCACTCGTGCACTGGGCCGCTGCAGTCATTGAATAAATGAGTCACATTAAATCAATTAATAAGCAGGTTTATTTTCTCAGTCGGGGTTGACAGGTCTTGGTACTAAGTACCATTTATATGACTGATTATTATGACTTATTTATTTTCTCTATTTTTTTAAATCTATTTATTTATTTATTTGTTGGTCTCAAATAAGTCATCAATGCAATTATTTTAATGTTGACGTAATTTCTTATTAAATTAAAAACTTCATAAACTACAACAAATATTATTATTAAATATGACTGGTCTTATTTTAAAAACAATTTAAAACAAATTAACATTTGAATGCGAGCAAAGCTTTCCAAATATTCATAGAAATAAGAATTCATCGCCTTAAAATACACTTAAAATATTTCAATTGTATTGATTATATTTATTTAAAATGATATTAGTTGACTTAATTAAAACACATGGTTGTGAAATTCTCCTGAGCTTTGTAAATGCAAAAACTATATAATTTTTTTTTTTAATTTTAAATAATCAAATGATTATATAAATAATTAAATAAACTATATAAAAAAGTAAAGATAATTAATTTAATAAAAATGTTTAATATAAATTCATAAAAAATAAAACGAAAAATGTATAGATTTATACCGCAAATAATATTGTAAGCTTATTTATATAATACTCACCAATGTTTTGAATAAAAATAGTTAAAGAACTACAAGTAATCCCCAATTAAATCAAACGAAGATAAAACTATTTCTAGCCCATTTGCGTCTTTGCCACCTTAATTTCACGTAAATTTCAAGTAAAACAGCTGCATTTATTTTAATGCTAACGTAATTTCTTATTAAATTAAAAACTTCATAAACTACAACAAATATTAATAATAAATAGATTTTTTTATTATTTAATGTATTCCAATTCTTTGAATGAAAATATGACAGGTCTTATTTTAGGCCCTGGTCTTACAGATCTTATTTTAAAAACATTTAAAAAAACTAATTAACATTAGAAAGTGAGCAAACCTTTCCAAATATTCATAGAAATCAGAATTCACTGCCTTAAAATAAACTTGAAATATTTCAATTATATTGATTTTATTTATTTACAATGATATTAGTTAATGTTAAACAAATGGTTGTGAAATTCAGCTTTGTAAATGCAAAAACTATATAAAAATATTCAAAAATGTAAATAATAAAATGATTATATAAATAATTAAATAAACTATATAAAAAATTAAAGGATAAACAATTTAATAAAAAATTATGTTTAAAATAAATTAATAAAAATACATAAATGAAAAATGTATAGATTTATACCGCAAATATTGTCGAGAGCCTATTTATATAACACCTATGTTTTGAATAAAAATAGTTAAAGAACTACAAGTAATCCCCAATTAAATAAAACGAAAATAAAACTATTTCTAGGCCAATTTGCTATTTTCCCAGCAAAATATTATCACCTTAATATCACAAAGTAAAACAGCTGCTATAAACACATTGGCTAAATGAACATGGTGGTGTTTGCAGGTAAATGCTGTACCTTATGAGGGTTTTCGCGCAGCAGCAGCTTCACCACCAGCTGAACGTCATCAGGCGCAGCAGCAGGAAGTGCAGGCAGTTGTTTTTCCTGGTAACTCCGACTCTCCAGTGTGTAGAAGGGGTTTGGCTGACCGAAGAGCTCATAAGCAATTGCTCCCACAGCCCACACATCTGCTTTACTGTAATCAATCACCACCCCTGGACCAGGCACTGCCATGGACACCTATAGGAGATCATCAGTCATCAATGCACTTCATCTCTGAATAAATTACATTTTCAAATTTGCATAGGGATGTTTCATCAGAGCAAGACTATTATATTTTTCTTATGGATATATATAAGGTTGCTAAATGCTAAGGTTGTTAACTGCTAAGGTCGATATTATTCATTTTTATCCACTTTTCAAGGGCCGGGTTGTGGGGAGGTAGTCTCAGGAGAGAACCCCAGACTTCCCTTTTCCTCCAGCTCGTCCGGGGGGGATCCCAAGGTGCTCTTAGGTCAGACGAGAGACATAGTCCCTCCAGTGTTTCCTGGGTCTTTCCAGAGACCCCTCCCTGTGAGACATCCCTGGAACACCTTCCTAGGTAGGCATCCAGGTATCCTAATTATAGCTAGCCTAATTAACCTAACTTGCCTAGTTAACATGATTAACCAAGTTAAGCCTTTTACTTGCACTTAAGCTCAAGTATCTTGTAAAATAAATAAATATTATGTATGTAAATATTAGTTATTAGAAATTAGTTAAACTACTACTGTGTGTTTAAAGTGTGTTTTGAGAAATATTTTTTAAAAATACAATTTTTACAGGAGACCAAATAATAGTCTGAAACAAAATTATCATAAATACAGCTTTCAAGAGTTCACAATTAGCTCATGATTGATAATGAAGCTTGTTTGGATGCTGTCCTGGGATAGAGCCCTGAGCTCATAAGATCCTCGAGCCGGGGCTCCCTCCCGTTTTTAAGGTGAGAGGGGAGTTTGAGCTAAGGTAGATCTCGAGAGCCACCCCTGTCATGATGGCTGAAGAGCAGATAGTAGTTGTTCTTAAAGAGATAGGTACTAGGTAGGGGCAAGACTATGGTGTTGATTTGGATTAGTCAATAAACTTAGGTTGCATGTTTTTGATCGGTGGGAGGAAATCGGGAAACCCACGTGAGCACGGGGAATTGTGCATACTCCACACAGAAACGTCTGCTGGTTTGGTACAGCCTGGAACCACAGACGTTCTTGCTGTGAGGCTACAGTGCTAAGCACTGGGCCACCGTGTCACCCATCTAGGAAGGAGAAGGAGTAGGGGTGGAAGGGGGATTCTTCAAAGCGAAGATGGTGGTGATACGTCACCCAGGGTATTTGTAGTGGCTTAGGAGTCATCAGATTGGTGCATTGAGAATTGGGTAATGCGGGTCCAGCCACTAGCAATAATAAAGATGTGATCCTCTGGAAATTAGTTTATAATAAACTTCACTTAGTGAGCATTAGAGACTCTTCAAAACACAAAAAAGTGTAATGCATGAACATTTATTGCACAATTGATATTTTTAAATATAAAAAGTTTAATAATTTTAAATTGATGAATACAAAATCTAAGAATATCTCTATCCATGCATCCATCCATTTATTTATTTTAAATGTACAGTTTGGAAAAATTCTAAATTTTTAGAATTCAAAAAATCAAAATCCAAAAAATCAAAATCCATTTAAATTAAGAAAAACAGAATAAACTAAACTAAACTCTTAGAACAACACTAAAGTTGAAAAGTTCCAACATAAAACTTCTTTTCTGCTTATTAAGACCCCGCTGATCCACTTTAGTTGATCTACAATAAAATCATTAATATTGTGAAATATCATAATAATCTAATGTCTAATTTAGTAATAATAAAATATAGTAAATGCTGATATATTTTGAATTCACAATGCTCCTTGAAGCAGAAAAAACAATTTGGTTATGACGCATTAAATGGTCATCAACAACTTAAATCCTTGAAAATGTAATATTTAGATAAAAAATATATACACATTTATATGCATTATATTATCTTTGCATCAAATTACAAAAAAACCCAATTACCTCATATGCAAGGTGTTAGTAAAGTTGTGTTTATGGGAGCATGACAGTAAATTTGACGTTATTCTCTCTTATGGCTGCCGTTATCAGTCTCACACTTTTTATCTGAAAGTCTTGATAACACCATTGTGGAGTTTTTCTTTCTTTATTTTAGCAAATTGTATTGTAAAAAAGTAATTGTTTATTTTTTTTTTGTTCTCTCCCATTCACTGCGCTCTAAGCCCCAATCGCAATTTTATTTTTGTACCCCTACCCCTTCCCCTTGGCCCTTAAAAACGAGTGTTAAGGGGAAGGGCTTCAAAATTTACCCCTAAGAAATGGGACAGCACTACGGCACCTGCACACGTCATCATATGTCATCGCGATCTCTTGTTCATATGAGATCAGATGATCCCGACTGCTGTAGTTATTCCAGTTGTGCTATTTTTAGGTATTTATCTTCAGGAAATCACTGAAGGCATATATAATGTTATCATAATGTTATAATGTGGCAATAAGGTCATAACTGTACTGTGCATTTAGATAGTGGCCATATTCATTTATGTACTGTAAACACACCAAAACAACTTTAACATTAAAGCAGACACTGTAAAAAACTAATTCCTGGCCACTAAACTTTTCTGACAGGGCATTGGAGTGTCATCGAGTGTCAGAATTTTGTGGGACTGCTGTACAAGAGTTATGATTAGGGATTATAGATCGGAAAATTTAGTGTTTTTTTTTTTTTAAGTATGATGGTAAAACACAAACGCGGTTATGAATATATTAAAACATGTGCTTGTTTGTAGTAAAAATTCGTAATAATGATAAAAATACTTATTTGTGGATGTCCTTACTTTTGGGTGCAGGTGTGGCTGGTGTATTTTGAGAAATTTTCTTACCTCTTGGTTTCGAGTGTGGTCCTGAAAAATCTTTGATCTTCCCCTTGCCCTTAGCCATACGCCTTAAAGTTAAAGGGCCATGAAACCCCCTCGTTTCAGCAGGGTGTTTTCACACCTCTACTTTGGAAAAAGTCAGAAAAGTGGGCGTGTCCAGCTCTGTTTAGGGGGGAGTGTCGGAGGAAGAAAAGTGGGATGGTGTGGGAGTGTCTATTTGGGTGTGCTGAGTTTGAGTCAAAACACACACACAGAGGAGAAAGTGACAGTGTTTACATGGACATCTGTAGTCGAATTATTTGCCAAATTATTAAATGTTGGACTTTAACTGCAGTTTGGCTCTTTCATTCAGGGAATTCATTCATGCCCCTCGCGACAGACAAGATATTTGATTCGAGGAACTGCTCTAAGCGTGTATTTTTCATGCAATGTTTGATACCGCACGGCGAATGAGAGAAAAAAACCCTCCGCATTTCCCGGAAACTTAGATGCATACGGCAGGTAGCGTCAGAAAGCCGCGTGTGTTATTCCGGTCACAAAATGCAGTAAAAACCCTACACGAGGTTAAAGTTTGGTTGTGGTGCTAACATGTTTACACTCGGTGCAATAGTTAACTTAGTTCGATACGAACAAACTGAATAAACAAAGAGCACTGGTCGCTCACTTACCAAATCTGTAGAGACAGGACAATCACCAGCAACTAGAGCCGCGTCTTTATGAAGAGAAGACTACAAGCGAATCCGTATCTCAGCGTTTGCAGATGAGAACAGCTCTCAGGTAAACAATAATCCGCCTTAGACACGCAAGTTATTGTTGTCGAGTGTCGCGTACACTGTAATCCACGCGTGACTCCAGATGAGCTCTCACAGAGAGAAAATGAAAACAAAAATTAACGGCAGCAAACTATAAAAGCACCACTTCACGCTTGTTTTGCCAACACAACGTGGCGTCTCTGTCGTCTAAACACTGTGACAGTGATGAATATTAATGAAGTTGCACAATAGAGCGCGCTGATTGGTTTGAACCAAGCCTTACTCATGCATTAATGCATCACACTGTAAGACGTAATAAGACACACTCTGGCACAGGCGTCCAGTCTGCACACTGGAATACAACGCTATTATGTCATGACCGTGACGCAGCTTCAAAAATTAGTTTCAAACCGGAAGTACGAATTTGCTTGAAATAACACAAAAACAACCAATTTACACTTTTTAGTGAAATATAGGTGTCCTAATAGTGTTTTTAGCAGTGTGGGACACATATACGACTGTCAACAGCTCAAAAAATGTGTTTTGGCGTTTCGTGACCCTTTAAAGAGAATTGGGACTCCCCTACCCCTTCGCGGGAATGCACAAAACGAGGGGTAGGAATAGGGGAAGGGTAAAGGAGTAGAACTGGGATTGGGCCTAAATTTACCCAACTATAATGATTCCTGCTGCTGAAAAGAAACACGGAAAGGTGAAGCACCCATTCGAGCAATTTCTCACCTCAGGTGCCATTAGACAGGAGTTTCCCCCTCTGTTCACCCACCAGCTGCTGAAAGGCAGTTTGAGGCCTGAATCCTCTGCTAGACAGCAGCCAAAGTCAGTGATCACCAGCCTAGGACACCCAGCTTTAAAACAAAAACACAGTGTTTACATATAGCTGTGTAAAAAGTGCATGGCAAACACAGAGTCTCTGAGCTCTTACTGTTGTCGAACTCCAGGAGGATGTTGTCTGATTTGAGGTCTCTGTGAGCGATGTTTTGTCTGCACAGATGATCCACTCCCTCCAGCAGCTGCAGGAACATGAGCGAGGCCTGCGTGCGCTTTGGCACACACACCTCCAGGTACTGCCGCAGGGTGCAGGGGTAACTGCAACATCAATCAGGGTTTATAGGATAAAAAGTGTTTATAAATATACCACAAGCATTATCCATCAAAAAATGAGTGCAATGGCTTAATCGCATTCAATATGACAGAACTACTAAAGTTTTCTTTGGGGTCAAGTAAACAATTTATATTCTGTTTAGGAGAAATGTATATAATAAAATAAATAACATGACAATAATTAGTAGTAGTACTAATTAATGATCTTTTTGTTTGTTTAAATGCACTATAAGTAGCATTTAAATTACTTATTATGACTTATTACATTTTAAAGGTAAATCAATCATAAAAATTATCATTCATTATTAAGCATTATTGTTTTTATTAATTTATTAGTAAATAGCAATAATTATCATCATCTTTTATTGATATTATTTGTTATCATTTTACAATAAAATGCTTTAAATAAATAAATACATACATAGAAATACACATATACAAATACACAAACACATATATACACATGTCTGTGTGTTAAATAAAAAAGCAGTATATTTGATGTCATTTCTAGCAATCACAAAAAATACAAACAAATTATTACTTATTTTAATTAATAATCATGTACTTACTTTACGTATTTAAATTTTATTTAGTTTTTATAATAATTTATTAAGTAAACAAATAATTATAATAATTTATTTATATTATTCAATTTATTTATTAAATATTTGTTAACTAAATTACTATTGTTAATAATAATAATAATAATAATAATTAAATAATAGAAAATATAGTAATAAATAATTTACTGTTAAACTAAGGCCCAATCACAATTCTACCCGTTAGTCCTGTACCTTACCCCTCGTTTTGCGTATTCATATGAAGGGGTGTCCCAATTCTCTTTAGCTTGAGGACATAGAGCTAAGCGGAAGGACTAGATACCCCTTCAAACTGAGATTTTTCAGGACCACACTCGAAACCAAGGGGTACGAAAATTTCAGAAAAGTCAGAAGAAGCACAAATTAGTATTTTTTGTCATTATTTCAAATTTTTACAACAAAGAAGCAAATGTTTTATTATATTCATAACCGCGTTCGTGTTTCCTAATAACTCCTGTAGAGCAGTCCCACAACATTCTGACACCTAATGACACTGGAATACCCTGTCAGAAAAGTCTAGTGGTTAGGAATGACCTTTTTACAGTGTCTGCCATAATGTTAGTGTTGTCTTCGTGTGTTTACATAGATGAATGTGGCCAATGTGTAAATGCACAGTACAGTTACGAGCTTATTGCTACATTTTATGGTTATGATAACATGATATATGCCTTCAGCGATTTTACTGTAGATAAATACCAAAAAAATATGCAACAGGAATAACTACAGCAGTCGTGATTGTCTGATTTCATATGAAGCAAAAGATCATGATGGCATATGATGACGTGTGCAGGTGCTGTAGTGCTGTCCCATTTCTTAGGGGTAAATTTTCTAATTCTGTTTCAAGGACCAAGGGAAAGGGGAAGGGGTAGGGTTATGAAAACACAACTGGGATTAGGCCTAAATGTATATTTATCATACATTGTTATTTTAGTATTCTTTCTACTAATTTATTTTTTTTATTCTAAATATATAATATCATAGTGTTTTCATGTTTTCTCACTTCTTCATCACCAGGAACAGTGAAAAAAAGCTCATCAGGCTCCGCAGTGCATTTGAAGCTCATCAGGTTGTGTACTGCATTTGAAACTCATTTTAATTATAAATTTAAACAATTAATTTTATAATTTTATTATAATTATTTTTTTAAGTTTTAAATTGTATAAATTTTGCAACGTTAAAATAGTTTCCTAAAAAATCCAAAATAAGTAAAAGATGTTCATTATGTGCTTGGCCCCGTAATCGCTGCTTGCAGCTAGATTTACTATTATCATCAGTGTGTTTTCATGTTTCCTCACTTCTTCATGACCAGGAACAGTGTACGGTTACTGCCTAAACCATGTGGATTGAGTCGGGTCGGCAGGACATCAGGATACTCCTCGCGAGCTCCAGGCAGCAGCGGCACCTCCGCAGTGAAGGCCCGGTACACTGTGATGACGTTGGGATGAGCGCTCAGTCGTTTGGGCACCGCTCCAAAGTGCCTGCAAAAATAGCAAAGCCACTGCAATCATTCAGTCTATTTTAGGACCGTGTGGCTCCACTAAAGTCACAACCTACCCGTTCAAAGTCAGCTCTCCTTGCTCTTTTCTTAAAGCTTGTGGGCATGAAGGAACTAACTCCATGGACATCGAGCGGAGGATGGCATCACTTGATGAACCAGCCTACGGGACGGTATCACATTATGAAAATCAGAGTTCCCGCTCTTTCATGGACACCAAATTTAGGACTTGTTAAATTCAAGGTTACAAAATTAGATAGATTTAAGATGATTTTAAGACCTTTTTAAGACCATCATGAATATGAATTTTCAAACTTATATGGGGTTAAAAATTAAGCATTTTTTTCTAACAGCCAGTAGAAAAGATTTTTATGGTCCCCTCCAAAAAAAATCTAATGTTGTTATTTCTTAGCCACAATTTTTAAATAATGTGTCAAAATAAGTAAACTCTAGTTGTATAAAAAGAGTTTAAAAAATTGAGCTAATAAATTTGACTTGTTAAAGGTTTTATTGTTGCTGATTGGATGACTGGAAAAATAAGACCTGATTAAAATGATTTAAGACCTACAAGACAATATTTCAGTGATTTTAAGACTTTTTAGGACCTTGCAGGCACCCTGGATATCAGTAATAATTTGAAATAGAACAAATTTGTGATTCACACACCAGCATATATAGCGTGATAAAAGTCCTTTCTGTACTTAACATTTCACTTACACTTAATATTTACATTAAAATGTCATCTTAATCTTTTTAACATCATAAACATTATCACAAATATTCAAAAAGTATTAATAAAATATATTGTTTGTCATAATTCTTGTATAAGATTTAAATTTAGATTTTTTAAATGACAAATTTCTTTTTTTTTCTTTTTTTTTGTTCAGTTTTTGAAAGCAGCACAGTACAATTGTCAACTATAAATTCAAGCACTTTCAAGCACCTATGTTTGTTTTTAAGAACTTTCCAGGCCTTGACTTCATGTCTCTGAAATTTAAGTAACCTGATTTGGAAGAAATTTAATTATTATTATATTTATTTATTATTATTTTTTTCTTTGACACACAAAGGTGCTCTTGGAGCTTTGTATGAGTTTCTCAGGATCATTGCTGTCTATGGAGGATGAGGGAGGTGTCAAATTTAATCTAAAATATCTTAATTTGTGTTCAGAAGATGAATGAAGGTCTTGGGTCATTGGAACAAAATGAGGATGAGTAATTAATAACAATATTTTCATTTTTAGCTGAACTAACTCTTTAATAATGCTAAAATGTTCTAAATTCTTACCCCAATGTTCCACATCATCTTCATTGCCAAAGGAAAGCTTGGTGAAGCAGAAAGTCGAAGCGGTTCTTCTTTCTTATTATCATCTTCAGCTTCTTTCTGGTTTAGTTCCACCAATGAACACTTCTTACTCTCTACAGGAGGAGCAAATGGAGCCGCAGCCTCATAAACAGCTGCGTTACAACCTTTCCCGATCTGTTTCCCAATCACATAATCTTCCAGCCTGTAGCCGGATGTAAAGGGCTTCGGAAGGCTCTGAAACTTCTTCTTTCTAAATACAGCCTACAATGAAAAACAGTGTGAAAAGGTTTTTTTCACAGCAGGGGAATTTTTCATTAGTTTACTGAAATATTTATAAGAATGGAGAAATTGTATTCTGCATACAGTTGCTTGCACTCACTTTATAAATGCACTATAAATGTAATTTGCAAAATATTTTTAAACCATCACCATTCTATTTACATTGATACTTGTGATAAAGATGATTTCCACTGCAAACCTGATCGTGTTTATTGACATTCAGAAGTACATTTGCATGTATTTGCATGCGCGCACTTAGAACATGGTTTTATCTAAAGCAAAAAAAAAAAAAGAAGTCTATTTAACAGGTAATATTATAACAAAATGTGAATGTAATAAATTTAATAAATTTGTCAATCATTATTATTATTATTATCTATTTACAATTGTACAAATATTTTCATAGATTTTATCAAAAATATCACTATTTTTATGCATTTATAAATTTTATAATTAATAAAGATAATTAGAATTATTGTTATTATTATTACTAATGATATTTATTATTGCAATATTTCTATTGATAATAAATGTACGTTAAAAATAACAATTATTATTTTTAATACCAATATCAATAGTAATGCACTATAATTATAATGCATAATAAAGTAATTATTCATTAAAATATAATTAAGAATTTTATCATTAGTTGTTTTTACGTAACGTTGATGTTATACCCAAATAACTTTTTTTTATTATTTACCATTAGTTTAAAATGAATGCTTTTGACAATTTTTATATAATTCTAAGAACACGTTTTTATCTACACTAATATATTTATTTATTTACAGCTCGTACATTCCTTAGGAATTAACTGCATAGTTAATGTACAGTTCATCATCATCATCATTATTTCATATACAGCAGTTTGTCACCTGTATCTCCTGACACAGAGCAGCGCTGGTTCTGTCCTCCTCCTGCTCCTGTTCAATCAGACCCAAACCCACCCCAAACGCCAGGAAAACCGCCCTGTTTCTGGCAGACCCTCCTCCAATCACTCTCCTGAAAGCTCCGGACTGGAGCTGCGCGGCCAGCCCGCTGACAGACAACCTGAAGAAGCGGTACCGGCCGGGCAGAAAAGTCTGCGGCTGGACGGTGCGGGTCGGCCGGGACACACGCAGCCTCTCACCGCGGAACTTCGCTGCGACCCGACCGGCAGGTTTGAGAAGTCCCAGCTGGAAAACCGACCTGCCCAGCTCCAGCCCTCGGCTGAGAACATGCTTTACTGACATTTTGAGCCAAATAGAGAATTAATATTGACTATGAGAGGAAATCTGAAGACTTTTACGGACCTAACTTCTCCTTACATTCATCAAGGGTTGTGTTGTTTATGTAACGCTGATTGGTCGGTGAAATGCTTTTCGGAGGTTTCAAAATAAAAGCTGAAAGGAAATTATTTCACAATAAAAGTCAATAAGGTTTACAAAAATATATTTTGTAAAAATATTACAAAATATGTTTTATGATGCACTGTGACATTTAGTAAATTTCATACTGTAAATATATAAAAACTTTATTTTGATTAGTTATATGCATTGCTAAAACAAAACACATTACGTTATACATGTAAAACTAAGTGTATTTATTCAACTTTCAGATTATGTACAAATCCATAATACTGGTTTTCTGGTCCAGGTTTACAACATGAGTTACTCAAAAACTTCACATTTATTTATTTATTTATTTATTTATTTATTTATTTATTTATCTATTTATCTATCTATCTATCTATCTATCTATCTATCTATCTATCTATCTATCTATCTATCTATCTATCTATCTATCTATCTATCTATCTATCTATTTATTTATTTATTTATTTATTTATTTATTTATTTATTTATTGTGTGAAATAATGCAACCATACTTATATTTAGTGCATTAAATTTTTTTAATTCTACAAACTTCATTCATTACGTGGCCATCTTTTATGAGACACAATACATGTTGATTATTAATACATTAAAAAAGACATAACGAAATGTATTTCACAATAAAAGTCAAGACAGGTGACGTTTAAAATACATTTTCGATTTAAAAAGAAAATGACACTAAGTCTAACTAACCTCACAACATTTCAGTATAAAATTACTGTTTTTAGATGACCCATTTCCCTTTTTAAATAGTAAAATATATGCAAAAATATCAAATATTTAAATCATTTCAAATCTAACTTTCCTACACATTTGCTTCATATGCTTATGTACTCATATTTAATGGGTTTCTTTTGTTTGTCCTGATTGGTAATCCAGAAATTTCAAGAGAAAGCCTTCAAAATAAAAGCTGAAAGAAACCTATTTCACATTAAAGTCGAGATTGTTTATATTCCATATAAGCTCAATAAATAATGGCATTATTTATTGAGTCAGCTAAGTCAATTGTTAATCCCCAATTCTTCAGATTAAAATTATTCTTATTAGACAACACATATTTTAATTGTGGAATAATGGTATACAATTCAAAGGTTCAATACAATAAAAATATCTATTTTGCACATTCGCTTTAAAACATTAAATAGTTTCCTTTTTTTTTGTTTAAGGTCTTTAAGAGCCTGAATTTTTATGGTGATTGTTAATTGAGCGATTTACAGAGATAATTTACCTGATATTTTAATATAAATATTCAATAAAAAAAACTATTACATTAAAGGTGCAGCTTTCAAGTTTGACACTCAGTGGTTGAACTAAGCATTTTAGTCCCTGTTTTAAACACACGCAAGCCCATGTTGCCAGATTTCACGACACCAACAGAAGTGTGCCTAACTGTTGAGCCTGAAGGCTGATTCAAACCATGCTCTAAATAAAAGCTTCTATTTCTTGCAGCTGAACAACAGGATAAACTGACAATAGTTATATCAGCTTTATTCTGTGTTAAATGCTAACAATGTGATTTTAAATGCCTTTATACTAGATATTTATTGCTTTACTACTAAAAGCAGCAGTGGCAGTTCACCTCAGATCCTGAAAATAAAATAAACTGTTTGAAATTGAACTTTATAACTATGACTCAGTGCAAACCAACACATAAGTGATTTAGCGTGTACATTTAATTATTATTTAATTAGATTTTAACCTTATCATTTCGCTGGAGTGCAGTAAGTGCACTATTTTGTGCTTCTGAATGGCTGCATTTAAATTTCTGTCTTATCTGTGTTACTGCGTATCTCATCACACAGCGTGTTGTTGGGAAGCAATCACAATGTAACCTGCTACACCTAATGTTTACGTCTGTAAAATTTATATTATTTGCTATATAATAAACTCATGTGGAACTCTGAATCTGCATCTCATTTTGGAGTCTGCTATTGTCCACCGGAGGTCGCAATTCCTTCATGGATGTACACTTTGAGAATCTTCCTGACTGAATGACTGAGATGCATCATTGACTAAGATACGTCATACGTCAGTGGGCGGGATAAAAGAACCAAAACAATGACAGCGTTCTGGCATGTAATGCACATTTTCAAGCAGAATATCTGACTTCAGCATTGTTTTTCAGATAAACAAGAATGTTCACTTAGCATATTTCTTAAATATAAACAAACATGGTATTTTTATGCTTCAGAAGAGTCAAAAACTTACATACAGCACCTTTAAGTCAATTATTAACCTGACTACACTTCAGAAGATGGTAATTATTTATTAGTTTATGCATTCATTAAATATTATTGTAACATTTTAAGGGTTTTCTCTTGCTCTCAGGTCATCTGGGCCAAATGAACATGGCAGAAGCTCCTCCACTGTCATTTGTTTGAACGATCCATCAGTTTTTGACAAGTAAACGTCCCACTGTGAGCCAAACTGGAAAAGACAGATGCAGAGAGATCAACGTAAGGTGAACAATAATTTCCGCATGAATTACTCTTTAGTAATTCTGTGCTTTTTGTTCAGTCACACCCACATTTCACAAACACATATTTCCTAATGCAAGAGTTGACTCATCATTTGGCTCTGAATGATGAGCGACTGCAGATTTGTAAAGGATAGCAAATACTGTATGACCACAAAACAGTCTTATGTTGCACATGTATATTTGTGAGAATAGACAAAAATACATTGCCAAAAACCACAGTAAAGATCATGTTCCATGAAATATTTCATAATGTTTCTTGTGTAAATATATCAAAGCTTTTTATGCATTGCTAAGAGCGTAATCTGACAACTTTGTGTATTTAAAATAATGATTTTTAGATGCAAGCATCAGTATGTTAGTCTTAAAGGTCCCGTGAAGTGCTGAAATGTGCACTGTTTTTTGATGTTTGACATAATCTTAACCGAAAACCAACGAAGAACGGGTGGGACATAGTATAGCTCCTCCCCTTTTTATAAAGCAGCCAATAGCGTTTTGTTTTATGACCGCTCTGCCAGTGAGAGTGGTTGAGCTTAAGCAGGTCAAATGCGAAACTTCTTGAAGGGGGCGGGGCACTTCAGATACTAGAGAGCATTTGATTGGTCACGACTTGATGAGAAACTGAAAAATTTAATTGACATGTTAAATTAAAATTTAATTAAATGTTGATTCATTTAGGCGGAGGTGACAAACTACAAGCTTTACATGCTTATATCCCTTTTATATCTTCTAAACACAAATGTTCTCACCATTTTGGTCTGTACTATAAATATCCTAAAAACAAACAATACTGATTCTAACGTCTAAAAAACTGTACTTTAATTGTAACGGGACCTTTATGGATATCTTTAAGCTAGTGTGCTCCAAAACAGTGACAAAATTCTCATTAGGAAGAATATTCTCATTAGATGTAAACATTTAAAGCTTGTAGATTGTCACTTCCGCCTAAATGGATCAACAATGTTTTTTGACATCACACTTCAGTTTCTAATCAAATTTTCAGTCGAAAAACGAAACGCTACTGGCTGTTTACAAGGGGGGAGGAGCTACTCTATGCTCCGTTCTGTCTATATATTTCAGTTAGTGTTGCCAACTTAGCGACTATATTTAGTGACATTTCAGACCTCCGTAGTGACAGATTTTCAAAAATGCGACTAGCAAAAAAATCTAGCTACAAATGTAACTTTTTTTACTGTTACTAAAGACTTTATTGTGTCCGTATGATACTGTTTCTGCTCTTCTTAATATGTTGCTAGTGATGCATACGATTTAGCAGCAAGTGTGAGGTATTTCCCTGGTAAAGTCAAACCTTTGCTTCTCCTTTCACTCAAAAAAAGGTAAAGATTTTTGCTGCTTGTACAAACTACTTATTTTAAATAATCTGAAACAACCGAATTCTTGAGTTTTTTTTTTGTGACAATTTAATTGTTGTTTTTTGGAACTTAATCGATTTGTGTTGAGACAAAACAAAGGAATGAGTGGGACCCAGCTATTTTTCAGTGTTGTTTTTAATTTAACAATACAATTTTATCATTTACTCTTCTCTTACGCTTATATTGTTCACAAATCACAGACTTTATTAGCACCAGTTTCTGCCCTTATCTGAGTTTATTAGATTTGAGAGATTACTGTAAATACACTACACTAATATACAATATTAAAACAATAATAAATTTGATTAAATTTACATACATACCCAATCAATTTGTGTTGGGACAACAAAAAGGAATTAAGTTAACATTCATTTTTACAAAGCAAAGTGGATTGAACAAAACAATAGAGTATTGTGTTGTTTTAGCTCAATTTTATGTAGTAGTTTGCTCAAAAGTAGTTCTTGAGTCATTTTTTGAGTATATATATATATATATATATATATATATATATATATATATATATATATATATATATATATATATATATATATATATATATAAAGCGTATCAAACATAAATAACAAATAAATTAATAATAAAAGAGAAATAGTTGGATTTGATGACATCAGGAATATGCAAAATAATGCATGATGTCATCTAGTGACATTTAATGACTTCGAGTAGAGCTTAGCGAATTTCTACATATGGTTTTAGTTCAAGTTGTGTCACACATCACACGTCATCACATGCACTGTTAATGATTTTTGTATGTGCAGTATGTTGCTGTATTTTAAAGTTACATTGTGAAAGTTACTGTGTATTTTACAGTAATGTAAATACATAAACAGCAAGATAAATGGTGCTTTAAATGTAAAGACAGTATTTTTGCTGTAACTGACTTACAGTAAGCTACTGGCAAACTGCTGCGAGTTAGCAGATTCTGCAGAAAAAGGTTAACTGTGCATATTAATTAGCTTGCCAGGGGACCTTACAAAGTCATTTTCTTAATGTTTTGATTTTTTTGAATTCTCAGATTCCAGATTTACATTATACTAATATATTAATAATGTTAAAGGGACTAAGCAGAAGGAAAATTTATGAATTTATAATATCAATAAGATACTAATATCTCTCAGTCAAACATGATCCTATCCAGACAAATCAAATAAATCAAGGGAAAACCTATTTATTCAGCTGCTAGGTGATGCATAAACCTCAATTTCCCAAAAATGACCCTTATGATTGGTTTCATGGTCACATATTTCTAAATGTCATAAATGCATAATTGTATTTTCAGAAGAACAGACCTCTCTCATGAATTGCCTGCAGGCTCCACATGGAGAAATAAAGCGATCTTCAAGGTCACTATACACAGAAGAGCAGACAGGAATAATATTAAAGACTGAATGAACAGATTGTATTCCTACCACATGTGCTCTTGAAATACCTGGCGATTGCGATGGCTTTGAAGGTGGTGTGTCCCTCTGACACAGCTTTTGAGATGGCAGTCCTTTCAGCACACAATCCAGCGGTGTAACATGCATTCTCTACATTACAACCTGTTAAGAGCAAATCAGATCTTTATACCAATTGATATGGCTTGTATTATCTGTTTGCCTTCCTTCTTGTAAACAATTTTATTGGATAGTGGGGGGTCAAAAATGTTGGAATTTTTAAGCATCAAAAGAATTAATATAATTATTATTTTTTTAAAATGATTTTATACTTAACTCTGTTTTTTCTCTTCTGGAACTAAAATAAGGAGCATCATACAACCTTGATTTAAATGTCTAATCAATAAAATGTCAACAATAATAATGTAACAAAAATGATTTGATGACATACAAAATACTGATTTATTGTCAATACTTTTCACTTAGCTATTATCCTTTAAAGGAGGGATGTCAAACCCAATTCCTGGAGGGCCTCAGCCCTGCACAGTTTAGTTTCAACCGTAATTAAACACACCGGATCAAACTAATTGAGTCCTTCAGGCTTTTTTGAAACCTACAGGTAAGTGCGTTGGAGCAGGGTTGGAACTAAACTGTTCAGAGTTGCGGCCCTCCAGGAAATGAGTTTGACATCCCTGCTTTAAACCATAAAGGTTTTACCCATTTTTCATCAAAATGTTTTTAAATACACTAAAAAATGAATCTTAAGGCTTGTAATTTTCATAAAAAAACTGATGTGTTCTTTAAAATTATGTGCATATTTTCTTTAAAAAAATGACTTTCTGAATTTTTAATATAAAATATTGAGTACATTTTGCTAATAAAATCAATATATAAATTTAACTTATTTTTTTAAGCAAACCAGTGCAGTTATTAGGGTTAATTTGTGGAATGAATTAAGCTACAATTGAGGAAAGATGGTTTCATGTTTATTTTAAGAGAATTGACTCTAAGCAGATTTAATTGAGATGTTTGCATTTCAATCTCAACAAAGCCATCGATTTGATTATATTTTGATGGAGCAGACCAACAGTGAACATGTTAAGAGGTAAGCAATAACTAATAAACAATTAATAAAACAAATTATTTTTGATTTTATTGTCTTTTTTTATGAAAGATATACTATTTATGTAGCTTGGTAGCTCAATAGCTAGCTCATGTAACTCAATAGCTTGTTAAGGAGCACATCAGCCAGATCACTGATACTTGTATATAAATATTACGTATGTTGTTTTATTTTTACATTAATACATGTTGTGTTGTGTGGATGATGATGAAAAATGTTTTACCTATATTTTGACATTTTATTTTCACAGGAGTTTCTGAAATATAAAATTCAACACTTTGCTGACACTGGTAAAATGTAAATATATGCTTTCTATATACATAAAGTCACTTCAGTAAGTATCAGTTCATGAATCTAGTTTTTCACACTATAGTTTTTATAATGTTTCACTATATTTATTTAATTTAGCAAATAACTGCAATTTTTTTACTCCTCTAAACACAAATTCACCATATTGGACTGGTTTCTTGAGGATCATGAATACTCTATCTATCTATCCATCCATCCATCCATCCATCCATCTATCTTTCTATCCAGCTTACGTTCGTCCATTCATCCATCCCTCCATCTATCTGTCCGTCTATCTTTCCATCCATCCATCCAATCTATCTATCTATCTATCTATCTATCTATCTATCTATCTATCTATCTATCTATCTATCTATCTATCTATCTATCTATCTATCTATCTATCTATCTATCTATCTATCTATCTATCTATCTATCTATCTCTGTCCGTCCGTCCGTCCGTCCATCCGTTCGTCCGTCTGTCTATTTTCCATCCATCCATCCATCCATCCATCCATCCATCCATCCATCCATCCATCCATCCATCCATCCATCCATCCATCGTTTTCCATAAATAAACTATTATTTGTAATGAAATTACTCCAGCCTTGGTATGGATAAAAAATGACCCAGGCACCATTTTAACCACAGAAATAAACCCTTGACATTGTTTTTTCATCATGAAATTTGGTGACTTTTTCTAAAATGACCCCAGCATAGGCAAAATTGAATTAGCATTAACAAAATCACTTTCTAATTTTGTACTTTCGTGAAGGCAATAGGGTACAACTGTTGTCCTTAGGATCAATTTGACCTGCCAGCTATAAAACTATTTATGCACCACAAAAACTATTGGCACGCATACGCACACTCCAACACACACACTTGTACAGCTATCTTTATCGTGACTTCCTATAGATGTAATGTAACGATGTTGGTACTGTACAGACTGTATATTCGGTCCCCCTAACCCAACCCTCACAGGAAACATCTGCTTTTTTACATTTTCAAATGACTTATTTCTGTGTGATTCATGATCCGTTTTTCTCGCAAGGACCAAAAATGGTCCTCATGGGGTCAAAATTTACTGGTATAGCTAAACTGGGACACACACACACCTAAACATTCTCAGGGTTAATGAGGTTGTTACTTCATGATAAATAGCTAAATAAGTAAATAGTTTTAAGGATTTAAATTAAATGTTGAAGCTTTATTTTAGAGGTTTAGTGAAAGCGGGTCATTTATGTACGAATTTCAAAGTCAACAGGCTCCTTTTAAAAACATTTCCTAACAGTTAAACATGCACAGTATTTGTAGATTGTGACATTTATGCAGTAAGAACACTTAATTGTATAATAAAAGAGTTTCCTCACCTGTGAATACAGTTCCATCGCTTGTTAAAACAGCTGCTCCCACCCTGAACCTGCTGTAAGGACAATACGCCAGCTTTCTGGCTTCCTGAGATCTCTGAACAAGCACTTGTGGGTTACAGCTACTCATAATGCCGCTGACTGGAGACTCTGTTCCTGCTGCCAGGCACTACACGGCTTCAAGTCACAAGTTAATGTGTGTGTGTGTGTGTGTGTGTGTGTGCGTGTGTGTGTGAGAGAGACTATTGAAGGAGGAAATTAGTGATGCATTGAGTCTTTGACGCAATGTCAACAACACTCAATGTCAACAATAGAATTTCACAATTACGTAAAAGGAAATTACACCCAAAAGTGAAAAGTTTTAAGAGTTATTTAAGAGTTATGACTTTTTTTTTGTCTCCAGCAGATAATAATGAACTTTTTTCAGCTGAAATTGTGGATTTATGAAAGACAAGTTAACATCTACTGGCTTTTTAAGAGTTAACAAAAATATGAAGGTGAAGTCAAAATTATTTGCCCTCCTGTGAATTTTATTTTATTTTTTCCAAATGTGGCCTAACAGAGCAAGGAATTTTTCACAGTAATTCCTATTGTATTTTTCTCTTATTTCGGCTAGAATAAAAGCAGTTTTAAATTATTTTAAAACCATTTAAGGTTTTAAAGTCAAAGGTAAATATTATTAGCCTCCTTAACCCTCTACCACACGCATTATGATAAATCTATTATATATTTGACTGTTTTTCTTTTCTTAAAATGGCTTAACTTGAAGTGCTGTAAAAAATCTTTTTGAAAAATTTATTTTGTTAACGTGCTTTATGAAATGTTGCCATACGGCAACAATGTCCAACAGTGGATCTAACTTAGATATTTCAAATGGAGAACTTTCCTTATAAATAATAATTTTGTTGTTTGAAATGATTTAATTGGTGTTGCAGTATTATATGCTTGAACACAGAACTCATAAATGACATCTTACACATACTTTTCAACAACTCATATTCCAACAGCTTTCATTTATTCATTCTTTTTTTGCTGAATATTATTAAAAACAAACAATATTGTAAGAATTTGATAAACATTTTTTTTTGTTGTTGTGAATGTCATCATAACTTACTGGAGGTGATGTTTCAGATTTTTTTTGTGGATCTGACAAAATTTGATCCTTTGTTTTTATTGACGTTTACATCTGCATTTGGCAATTACTTACAATAAACGCCAGTCTGTCAGAAATCATGCTACAGAAAAACACAGCATGTCATGTGACTTAACCAAAGCACATCATTGGGTACACTAAGGTCTTCTCTTTCCAACAACAAAAAAATGATGTTGGTCTTTAAGAAACAGTGGCAGGGAAATGAACATGAGTATCATGTTGTCATATGGTTACACCGTGCAGTAGAGGGTTAGGAAATATTGTTTTCAATTGTCTACAGAACAAACCTATTTGCCTAATTACCATAACTTGCTAATTAACATAGTTAAGCCTTTAAATGTCACTTTAAGCTGAATATAAGTGTCTTGAAAAATATTATTAAAATATTATTTACTGTCATCATGGCAAAGATAAAAGAAATCAGCTATTAGAGATTAGCTATTAAACTATTATGTTTAAAATGTGTTGAAAAAAAATCTTTCTGTTAAACAGAAATTGGGAACAGAATACATAGGAGGGCTAATAATTCAGCAGGGCTAATGATTCTGACTTCAACTGTACATGCTGTAGGCACTCCAGATTGTCATGAATGCCATGATTGTGGATTAAAGGTTATATATTGTAAGTAATATTCAGTTTCTTGCACTAATTTCACGCTGTGGTTCATAAGACAGGAAATGTTGGCATTTTTTAAATCACTGAATTTTCACAGAATTTTCTGCAAAAAAAAAAAAAAAAAAAAAAATCATCTTTAATGTTCTACTGAACGTAAAAGTCACCTATGTTTTAGATAGACCGAGGCTGAAATTAACAGCAAACTTTCACCTTTTTTTCTATGAACAGGATTGTACATTACATCGTTCTGACAATCATTGATGAAAACATTTTACTTACCTAAATGTGGTTTAAAGATTTATTCTCACTACTACTAGAAAATGTTTAGGTGCAGTAATGCACAGATGGATGATTATCCCGTTTGCTCAGTCCAGAGTTCAAAGGACTGCAATAAAGACACGTAGGAGCTGGTTGTAAACTTGATGTATTTATAACAAACAAAACTGTGACAATTGCATCAATTGCAGTGACAGCTATTGACATTCCCTTAAACGACTTCATGAGTTTGAAATCGTACTAGTTTTGTAAGAAACATCATATATAATAACTGTCTACATAACTGGCTTCAAGCATTCCAATATTCATGCAAAAACCTATCCCACATAGCAAAATTTCTCTGGCCCAGCTCTGGCCCACAAAATCAGCTTTGCTTGACCTAGATGCCGCTGTGAATTACGGTACATGACTGGAGTCTGGCTTCCAGACAATGGCTAAACATGGACCAAATCTGGGTCAAGTCTCAGCCAAGTTGATTCTCGAAGTGACCAGGGGTGCGTTTCTGAAAATCATCAGCCATATAAGGTCGCGGGTTAAGTTGTTACAATTATAGCTTATTGATTTGGCGTTCCCCAAATCCATCTTTCCAATGAACATTCGCAAACTGCATCACAAATTGTATGCTTGCAACTACACCTCTGGAGCTGTAGTTAGAAACATAGTTCCTGGCTGTGTTCTATTCCCAGTTATCCCTCCTATGCCCTATTCATTTCGAACATTCTAACATTTACACTTGGAATTATTAAAAAAAGCATTAAAGTCATCTCTCTTAGGTGTAATTTGCTTTCAAAGCATTTTTACAGTTCAGTTTTAGCAATTTTCATTTGTTCCTTAATTTTCTTTTCGGCTTAGTCCCTTTATTAATCCGGGGTCGCCACAGCGGAATAAACCGCCAACTTATCCAGCACATGTTTCACGCAGCAGATGCCCTTCCAGCTGCAACCCATCTCTGGGAAACATCCATAAACACTCATTCAAACTCATACACTAAGGACAATTTAGCTTACCCAATTCACCACGTTTATGGATTGTGAGGGAGCATCCAGAGGAAACCCACGCGAACACGGAGAGAACACGCAAACTCCACACAGAAATGCCAACTGACCCAGCCGAGGCTCGAACCAGCGACCTTGCTGTGAGGCGACAGCACTACCCACTGCGCCACTGTGTCGCCATTTTAGTGATCTTCAAGTTTAAAATAGCGCTCCCTTCACAGTGCACTTTAAAAACTTTAATGTCATTTTAAACACAGCCGTGTCTCATGATAAAACCTGTAGATGACCTATTATTTAAAAGCGAAAATTATGTTACGTCTCCAAAGCTTGTTAAAACAAAAAACACAGCTTACGTTAATGCTTTTAATTTAAAGTAGGTTAATTATTAAGTATCTGTACTGTAAACGACATGGGCCTGTTGGTTAGAACATCTCTGCAGTGGTTTACATGTGTCAAATTGTAAAAGTAGACTTCAAAAATAAATAAATAAATATCCTATTTAATAATAATAACCATCAACATCATTAATATTATTGTTATTATTAAAGTGGAATTTTTTATTTCCAAATAAATAATAAATATTACATTTTATTTCTTAATAGATCACCTCAATATTTATTTATTTAAATGATTTATACATGACATTAATGTTAGCTTTTGTAAGTGATTTTATGTTTTAGAATAGAGTTCATAATGATATTGGTAAAGGAAACTCTATGAGCCGTTTACATATATTTCAATTAATATGGAAAAGAAGTGCATGTTTTTACCAAAACTAATATTGGACTTTTTTTCTACATCGTTCTATTCCTAAATGATGCATTGTACTATGATCTTTTTGGATCACCGTCTTTCGGACGTAACATTAAACCGAGGTCCCGACTCTCTGTGGTCGTTAAAATCCCAGGATGTCCTTCGAAAAGAGTAGGGGTTTAACCTCGACATCCTGGCCAAATTTTCCCACTGGCCTCTGTCCATCATGGCCTCCTAACCCTTCCCATATCATAATTGCCTACATCACTGTCTCCTCTCCACCAATCAGCTGGTGTGCGGTCTGGTGCAAAATGGCTGACGTCGCATCATCCAGGTGGATGCTGCGCACTGGTGGTGGATGAGGAGATTCTCTCTTATGTGTAAAGCGCTTTGAGTGCCCAGAAAAGCGCTATATAAGATTTAAAGAATAATTGTTAGTATTATTATGATAGTTCAGCTGGGAGTTATGTTGTTGTTTGGGAAACGCACCCCGGATTGGTGGAATTTACTCAAAAATAATTAAAATGTATTTGAAATGTAGGTCCAGATAGGCCAAACTTATGTGGCCCACATATCAGTTTTTTAACATCCGTGCCAAAAACTACATTTGAATTGAGTCCCATGTCTTGTAGTTCGCCTTAAAGACCATGTCATCTCTGCCAAACCCACATGCTGTATGCCAGTGCCAAATGAATGCCTGCTGTGCCAGCTTTATGCCAAATCTGGGCCAGAATTCTTTGCTAAATGGGTGATTCAGATCGAATGAGAAATAAGAAAGAAATACGGTCATCTGTTTTTAAATCAGCAACAACAACAGCAAAACTCATCTTGATCATAACATATTAAACACAAATAAAAATTTATTCCATTTTTAAAAGTTTGGACTTTGAAAAGCAATCGTGTGAATGGATCAGTTCTTGAAGTAGGATCTATTTTTAAAGACAAACATGGTTTGAAAGATGGATTCAGCAAAAAAAAAAAAAAAAAAAAGGGGAATCCTTCCTTCATTCAGTTGAACCTGTTTTTCAGCTTTCAGTGCTGATGATCCAGTCGATCCAGCGGTTGTAGTTTCTCACTTTTGTGTAGACGCCAGGATAGTACGGAAGAGCACAGCCGATTCCCCACGACACAATGCCTTCTAGATAGCCATCACAAATGAGTGGGCCACCTGAATCTCCCTGAGAAAACAGAGTGCCACAAGATTAGATTTCTAATTAACAATTACAGTTTAGCTGAATGACTCACAATGGCTGCGTCCAAAATCGCCTACAACTCAAGTATGTACTACCTTTGAATTCGATTTTACGTCCATTAGATGCACACTTTAGAATCTCATTGGAATTAATAGGTCATCAGGTTACTTTTCGCCTACAGTTTTTCGAATACTATGAATTTGGACATACTAATCTGCTCACATAATGTTTTTCCTATACTGTACAGTAGGGAAGCATGCGATTTCAGACATTGCCAATGCTAAAGTCAGTTCTTCTTCTTCGGAAAATGGTCATTTCGTATCAGAATGTCTGTCTGTTTTTGGTCTATGTAACTCCACCCACTGCCAGTTTACCCAATTATATTCAAATAATTTAAACGTAAATGTACAGCGTAAAGCTTGATCATCAGACAAATTTGCTGCAATTGATGTCATCAATCTGGCAACCTGCGTGTGCATCAAATCAGTCAAGGAGGTGCCGGGTAAAAAAAAAAAAAACTCTCTTCAATATTTTGAATTTGCTTTATAATTTCTTTACTTTATAATTCATGCACTTTATAGTGTCTGCGCTAATACTGCATTTATTCAATCATTTTCCTTTAGCTTTTTCACTTTATTTATCAGGGTTCGCCACAACGGAATGAACAACTTATCCAGCATATGTTTTACACAGCGGTTGCCCTTCCAGCTACAATCCAGTACTGGGAAACACCCATATACTCTCAAATGCACACATAGACTACGGCCAATTTAGTTTATTCAATTCATCTACTGCGCATGTGGGGAAAACTGGAGCACCTGGAGGGAAGCCCATGGCAACATGAGAACACGCAAACTCAACACAGAAATGCCAACTGACCCAGCCTGGGACTCGAACCAGCGACCTTCTTGCTATGAGGCGACACCTCTAACCAATGAGCCACCATGTTGCTTGTTAATACAACATACTTAATTTAAAATGATAGTTTTTTTCTGTGCTTTCCATTCTTTACAGTAAAAATTCTTTAAAGTGTCCTCAAGAGAAGTTACAATTCATTTAAACTAATGTTCGAACAAAATATTAAAGACTGTGTGGTCGTACACTGTTGAATGCCAGTTTTTACGGTTTAATGGGGGGGGATGCTGCAGATCCGCAGAGTGGATGCGCGCGTACTGAAGAGCGGTGTTATTGCGCGCGTATTGATCAGCTGTGTTGTCGCGTGCCTACTGAAGGGCGGGACCGAAGGTGTGCCGCGTCGCGGGGGCACTTTTGATCATTTTGAAAGGGCACTTTCTATCCAAGACTAAAAAGGGCATGTGCACTGCACAGGTTGAGCTCTATGTGCACGTGCCTGGATGTTTCCGAGTGTTGGGTTGCAGCTGACAGGGTATCCACTGTGTAAAACATATGTTGGATAAGTTGGCTGTTCATTCCGCTGTGGCGATAAAGGTTATAATATTTTTGGATTTTTCATTAGTTTTAGTTTCCATTTCGTTTTGACTTTTTGTTTTTAAATTCAGTTAGTTTTAATTAGTTTCAGAGGTAGATTTCTTAGTTTTTATTAGTTTCTATATTTTAAAAATGTCTTAGTTTTAGTTTAGTTTTTATTAGTTTTAGTTTTTTTCTAAATGAGGATATTTGTCAGGTGCAAGATTCAAAATTAACAGGATAAATATTGTATTACAAAAACTCAGTCATGAAACATGCATTCTGAGGACACATGAACACTATCATCTACCACAACCATCTACCCATCCTCAAATTCAAATACAACAGCCCACAAGATTGCAGTCTTAAGTACAATATGTGTGCAAGGCTGCTCCTGAGGTTAGACACACAGTAGTGATGGGCAGGGCCAGATTAACCAATGGGCATTATGGGCACAGCCCCAGGGGCCAGTCCGCACTTAGATTTTGCCTACTCTTCATCACGAGAAAGACAAGTGGGAAAGATTAAGGTAATAATTTTAAGTCTTTGTATTTAATGCTGTCACCGTGCTGCTGTCATGTCCACTCGTTGTTTTTGTCGCGGGAGCAACAGCGAGGATGAGCCGGCTCGATCTGGCCAGTGACAGCAGGAGAGGTGCGAAAGGGTCAAACACAAACACCTGCAGCGCGGATTATATTTACTTCTCAAAGGATTACAGTAAGATTATTTATTAAATACATTTACAAATACGAAAACAAAGGAGGTTTTTGCTATAATGTTAGTTAGTTTTGGTTAGTTTTGTATGTACACAATAGTTTCAGTTAGTTCTAGTTTTTAAAAAAAAAACTCTTGTTTTTATTTTTATTTCAGTTTTCGTTTTTTCGTTAGTTTTTGCTAACTATAATAACCTTGGTGGCGACCCCTGATAAATAAGGGTCTAAGCCGAAAGAAAAAGACAGTTCAGCCAAAAATGATAATTGTCATTATAAACTGTCAAGTCCTAAAATTTGTAGCCACCATTTTAAATAGTATTTTATTTATATTATTATTATTATTTTTTTACTATGGATGTCAATAGGTTCCAGTTTCAAACCCTCTTAAAAAGTATTATTATGTGTTAGAAAACCAACAAAAAAACTTAACAAAGATTTGGTGCCACTTGAGGATTAGGTTTTTGTTGTGAGCTGTCCCTTTAAAAGGTTCAGATTTAACAAAAGTGTCCAGATAACAAAACTGAAGTATCTATTATGTGCCTAAATGACACCTAAATTTGAACCAAACCCACAGGCTGAAGACTGAAGTCCTGAAAAGCTGTGCCATATCAGAGCTCATCTAACATTTGTCTGAATTGTCTGACCACACCTGTGTTTCCTCTGGTGGGAACTTTGGGAGGGTTTATATGGCATCATAAACAAAGGAAACTGCCCATTGTTGTGACAAAGCAAGTGTTTTTGAGGGGTCAAACAAAGTACTCAGTCAGAGCTCATACAGAAAAGGTCTAAGGGGTCAGTAAATAAGATGAATAGTGTTTATTCCAAATATAACTGACAAAAAAAAAAAAAGAATAGTATATTATCAATGTTTAATAGCCTCTTTATAAAGTCTTTCCAAAGATTGATTCTGATAAAGTTATTGAGAAAACAAATGATGTTTTTTTTCAGTGTATAATAGTCCATAGCTGATATTATTTTTACAACAGGAGTTTTTGCCATTCATCGAATCATTATAAGCCATGAACCACACAAATAAAAGGAGAAACAAAACATAACAGATTTTGTAGACAAATAGACAAATGTTCAAAAATTTAAATATTTTGAAAATGCACGTAGACCAACTTAAAGTGTCACGAAACACCAAAACACATTTTTTGAGCTGTTGACAGTCGTATATGTGTCCCACACTGCTAAAAACACTATTAGGACACGTATGTTTCATTAAAAGGGAAAATTGGTTGTTTTTGCGTTATTTCGAGCAAATTCGTACCTCTGGTTTGAAACTAATTTTTGAAGCTGCGTAACGACCATGAGATCTTAACGTGTATTCCAGCATATGGACTGGCTGTCTCTACCTGGAAGTACCTTGTGACGTATCTGAGTGTGCTGTATTCATTCATGAGAAAGACTTGGTTCAAACCAATCAGCGTGCTTTATTGTGTATGCATGAGCGCTTCGAAGACAGTTTTTACCTGTTACAGTGTTCTGACGCTGTATTGTGTTACCAAGCGGGAGAACAAGAATAGTTTGGAGATACGGGTCATCAGTGTTGCTTTTATAATTTGCTGCAGTGAAGGTTTTGTTTTCATTTTCCCTCTATGAGAGCGCAGCTGGACTCACGTGTGGATTACAGTGCACGCAACGCGCCATAGAAAAACATGTCTAAGGAACATTGTTTACCCGAGAGCTTTTCTCATCTGGAAATGGTGAAATTCGGATTTGCTGCTCGTCTGCTTTTAATAAAGACGCGGCTCCAGTTGGTGTTGATTGTCCTGTCTCTACAGATTTGGTAAGTCATGGATCAGTGGTCTTTGTTTGTTTATTCAGAGGCAAGGTTAGTTCGTATGGTCAGCAGTACTCTTTCAGTGTTTAAAGACGGACCTTAGTCAGATGATTTCTAAGTTAATAAAGTTTACTGTACATTAACATCACTACAATATTATGGACTGGAAAATCTGCTGTAAATGCTGCTCTCCGAGTATAAACATGTAAGTACCACAATCAAACTTATCGTCGTGTAGGATTTTTGCCGCATTTTGTGACAGAATAACACACACGGCTTTCTGACGCTACCTACACGCTTACATCAATTCCTCAAATCAAATATCTCTTTTGTCACGAGGGGCATGAATGAAATTCCTGAATGAAAGAGCCAAACTACCCGAAAAGTTCACCATTTAATAATTTAGCAAATAATTGGCTTATTGATGTCCGTGTAAACACAGTCACTGTCTTTCTCCCCTGCGTCTGTGTGTTTGTTTTGCTTCTGTGAAAATCAGCGTGTGCCCCAAACCGACACTCCCATTTTTATGCAAATTTTTACAGACCTTCCCTCTTTCCCTCCTCCAACACTTGCTCCTAAACAGAGCTGGACACACCCACTTTCCTGACTTTTTCCAAAGTAGAAGTGCGAAAAAACCCTGCTGAAACTAGGGGGTTTCATGGCCCTTTAACTATATCATCTGTGGCACTTTATAGAAGTGGGTGGAGCTAAAAACTCCATTTTGATGTGCTTTGCTCGCTGTACCTCTCTTATTGGTGGAATTTCTGAGCAACCGGAGGAAACCCATGCCAACACGAGGAGAACATGCAAACTCCACACAGAAATGCCAACTGGTCCAGCTGGGACTCAAACCAGCAACCTTCTTGCTGTGAGGCGATAGCGCCATCCACTGTGCCACCGTGCTGCCACTTTAATATTTTAATATAATTTTTTTTTTTTAGAAAATGCTTCTTTATTTAAGAATGTTCAGATATTTGGACTAAAAACAAGATAAAAAGAATAGCTTTTTTTCCCTCTCTGTTGCATTTAAACCTCATCTGATTACCTGGCATGAATCTTTTCCACCGAAACGTGAGCCAGCACAAATCATGTTGTCGTTGACTCTGTAGTAGTAGTATAACTGGCAGCTGCTGAAGATTTCCACATCCACCGCGCGCAGAATAGGTGACAGATAGAAGTTGTAAAGCCGCGTCACTCCCCATCCGCTCACAGTGCAGCTGCTTCCTCCAGCCAACTCTGGTGTGTCTGCGGTGGGCAACAGCGCTGGCTGAACATACGCATTTATCTGTGCTGGAGCAGTGAGCTGAGGAAAAATAAATATTCAGTCTTCATTAGGCATGGGACGATAATCGGTTTCAAGGTTTACTGTGGTTTAATTTTGTGTTTTTTTATCTATTTGTCATTGATTTGTTTTATTTTTTACTATTTTATTTAGTTTTTTAGAAGAACAGTATATCCAGCAGATAAGGACACTTTATATCAAAAGCTAGTCAGCACACAATTCTGCAAACATTAAATAAACAACTCGCTTATAAGCCAACATCAAAACATGCTCTGGACCTGACCAGTGTTGTGCCTTACTTAATGTCCAAAGAAAATAAAGATATCCAAAGAACAAAGTTGTAAAGAAATCTGTGTTTTTGAAACTAACGAAGAAAGCTGAAGTCTGTGATTTGTTTTATTTGGAATATTTAAGTAGTATTTTTTAAATATAAAACCAAATAAATTTATACTACTGATACAAATTTTGAGATCTGTTTTTTTTAATCCTAAATAAATTGTATACAAAGAAATGTTATGTAAATAGCATAAACAAATAAAAAAGTAAGATGAATAATAATACATTTTCATAAAAATGCATTTTCCATGTGAACATATATTAAATTGTCATTGAAATTGTCATTGAATTTGTCATTGAATTTTAAGGTTTATATATACAGTCAAGCCCAAAATGATTCATAACCCTGGAAAATTCTGACTTAAAGTTTTTGTTCGAATGTAAATAAAAGCTGAAAAAATATGTATTTTTTCCACAATTATGCCTCTTATTATTATTGTTATTATTATTAATAATAATATTAATTAACAACAACAACAACAACAACAACAACAATAATAATAATAATAATAATAAGAATAATAATAATAATAATAATAATAATAATAATAATAATAATAATAATAATAATAAACAAATTGCTGGTTGAATAAAAGTAACTTAAAAAGTAAGTCTTTAAATAACTTTACTTGAAGTAACCTTGAGCAACCTGAAGTAACTTCAAATAATTTCAGCCTTTACTCTGTATAGGTGTGTGCATGTGCTTCAATCCATATGCATTACAGTACAAATTATTTTAATATCAAACAGATATCAAATAGAAGGATTCATCAGGCATCAAATAGAAGGATTCATCTGTAGTTTTGAGCATTTGTTAGTGGATTTCTTACCTTAATAATCATGATGTCATTGTTAAAAGTTTTCGGATTGTAGGCAACATGACTGAACACTTTGGCCACAGTACAAACTTGCTCAAATCCCTCTTCTACAGCGAGATTGTGCTCACTCAGCACCACCTGAATCACACTGGCCCTGTTCTCCCGAATACAACACAACATTCAGATTTATTTTGTGTGAGTGAATACATTCAATTAAAGTAAAATGCCTATGTTGTTTTACTGAGCAAATCTACAGTGGTGGTCAGCATAAATGAGTACGACTAAATACTGTAGACCTATCTGAAAATAATTACTGTATTTATTATTTAATTTTACTTATATTATTGTATTCTTTATTATTACTTAATACTGTCTAGATCACAGGTGTCCAACTCAGTTCCTGGAGAGTCACGGCTTTGCACAGTTTAGTTCCAACCCTAATTAAACACACTTGATCTAATTAACCAAACTAATTAAGTTCTTCAGGTTTGTTTGAAACCTACAGGAACCTACTGGTCATACAGCAATTTTCGCCCCATAGACTTTCATTCATAAGCATGTGATTGTGACAGACTGGAATTGCAAGCTTGTGCGACAAATTTCGAAGTTAGTTGTGTTGTAAAGTTGTGGTTAAAAATAAAAATAGCATCACATGATTGAGTGAAACCGAAGATCAAAACACGACCTCTCTGTACAGAATAGTGTGTTGGAGCAGGGTTGGAACTAAACTGTGCAGGCCTGCGGCTCTCCAGGAAATGAGTTTGACACCCCTGGTCTATGGGATCTTATGCAAGTTATTGTGCACATCCTGCTTATTTGCTTTTCATTAGATTAGGCAGTACCAATAACAAAAGCTTTTCTAACAAAATAATTGTAAAAGATCATATTGCATAAATATGTCCATTTACCTGAATAAAATATTATGAAATTATGAACAGGAAAAAAAGGAAACTATATTAAATAACTCTTTTAAAGATATTTTTTCCTAGGTTGTAATTTCTTTTAAATGCATTGTTTGAATTTAAATGTATTATTTATGCTTATCCTAAAATTCTACACAATGCTAAGTTAATAAATCAGTTTTTAAAATGCAGTGATACATACAGTTGGAGTCAGAAGTATTATAATACCCCTGGAGATGACCCCTTGCAGCCTTCCACTTATCATTTCTCCATTGCAAAACTAGGTAAGTACATATATTTTGTTATTATTTTAAATTTCTTTTAGTGTCTGGAATTTAAAATGTAATGGAAACAAAAAAAAAAAACTCTATTATTTAAAACTGTTTGTTATTTATTATTAATAGTAATTAATAATAGAGCTATAATAGTAGCAATAGTATACTACCAGAATGGAAACATTAAAATGACATTTAGTCAAAATAACACAATGCATTGGGTTAAAATAACCCATAGTTGGCAAGGTGCTATAATAACCTATAGCTGGGTTATATGTTGGGGTATTTTTAATCCAACTATTTTACCTGCGTAGAATGTCAAATTTATATTAGAAAGTCGGAAAAAAATGACCGTAAAATAGTTTATTTTTTGATTTATTTTTATTAAAACAGCTTTAATTTCAGCCCAAATAAAATAAATTTGACATTCTACGCAGTTAAAATAGTTGGGTTATATGTTGGGGCATTTTTAACACACCTATTTTAACTGCCTAGAATGTCAATTTTATAATAGACAATCAGGAAAAAAATTAACATATATATATATATATATATATATTTTTTTTTAATTATTATTATTAATTTTAATTAAAACAGCTTTTATTTCAACCAAAAATAAATTTGACATTATACACAGTGAAAATACTTGGGTTATATGCATTTTTAACCCAACTATTTTAACTGTGCAGAATGTCCATTTTATATTAGTTTGGCTGGAATAAAAGCTGTTTTAATTAAAAAACAAAACTATTTAAGGGTCAATATTCTTAGGCCCTTTACGATTTGCTTTCAGATTGTCTACAGGAACAAATCACTGTTATCCAATGACATGTTATATTATCCTAAGCTACAGTTAACCTAGTTAGGGCTTTAAATTGCACTTTAATCTGAATACTGGAATCTTGCAAAATAACTGGTAAAACATTATGTACTGTCATCAAGGCAAAGACCAAATATAATAATAATAAATAATAAATAAATAATTTCTAATAACTAATTTGTTTAAAAATGCTTTGAAAACTGTCTCCATTAAACAACACTTGGGAAATATATTTTTAATGAATTAAAAATTTCACTGGGGGCTAATAATTTAGACTTTATCTTTATAAATTGTACAAATTCACAAAAAAATGAAAGCAATATTTATTCAAAGGCAGTGTATTCATTTACGATGGCCACTGTAGACTGATGAAGTGTGTATTCAGGCTGCAGTACATACGGTCTCCAGCAGTGGGCAGCAGTCAACACCCACTGCGGCTGAATCAGTGTTCCTCCACAAAAATGCTTTCTGTCCACCTGAAGAGACACCTGGTACTTGATGGAGTAAGGCACGACCTCCTGACCCCCGATAATCCTTTGTGAGAATGCATCTAGTCAAAAAAAAAATAAAACAAAAAAACAAAAGTACAGCAATAAATTTAGTGTTGTTAAATGCATTTAAAATGTGATTAAAACGTGACTTTTTAAAATCCTGATATATAACTTATTGATGAATCAGGAACTTTTTACATGCAAATTCTTCCTTAATAATATGCATATTACACACACACACACACACATACGAAAAGATTCATTGAATTTACTCAATTTATTAAGATAATTGGTTGCAAACAATTTATATAGGCTAAATTTAACCAAACAAATTAAGTTGAACATTACTAAATTTAATTTGTTTGTTTAAATTCAGCCCATATAAATTTGCAAGCAATTTTTAAAAATGAAGTAAATCCAATGAATCATTTTATCTTTTTATTTTACATATCTAATATAAAAATCCATCGCTTACCTCTGACCATTACAGCAAGCACAAGAAATACCCACAATAACTGAGCCATTCCAGCAGCGCTGAAATAAAATAAAATAAGTACAAATTATTGCAAAAAAAAGTTTTTATATCTGCTTGAATCCTTTAATAGAATCCCATTACAGTTTTTACAAGAGTGTATAAACATCTGGCAATCATAAAAATCTCACTGGTGGATTTATTAATGCTTTTTAACTGATTTGTTTCATTTGTTTTCGGGTGATATGTCCAGATTTGCATACAAACTGCACTGAAACAACGTTATACTACAGAGTCTACAAATGAAATAGAGATCAGATCATTTGAGATGAGCTCAAATGGCTGAAAACACATGAAAAAACTAAACAAAATGCAGTTTTGCATCAACAAACTGTCTAACTTTACCCTTCCTTCATTTTATACTTCCGCAATCTCCTTATATTTTCAACATTAAAGGGATAGTTCACCAAAAACTGAAAAATCTGTCATCATTTACTTGCTTTAAACCATTTTTAGTTTCTTTTTTTCTGTTGAACACGAGGATATTCTGAAAAATGTTAAAAATCTGCAACCATTGACTCCCAGAGTATTTAGTCTAATGGAAGTCAATAGTCACATACAGTGCTTAGCATAATTGAATACACCCCATTTTGAAAATGAATATTTTTATCTATTTCTCAGTGAACAATGTATTTTGGTGCATTTACAGGGCATCTGGAAAGTATTCATATTCACTTTTTCCACATTTATTTTATGTTACAGCCTTGTTTCAAAATGGATTAAATTCATTTATTTCCTCAAAATTCTACACACAATACCCCATAATGACAATGTGAAAAAAGAGTTTTTTTTAATTGTTGCATATTTATTAACAATAAAAAACCTGAAAAATCACATGTACATAAGGATTCACAGTCTTTGCCGTGAAGCTCTAAATTGAGCTCAGGTACATTCTGTTTCCACTAATCATCTTGAGATGTTTCAGCAGCTTAATTGGAGTTCACCGGCAGTAAATTCAGTTGATTAGACATGATTTGAAAAGGCATACACCTGTCTATATAAGGGCCCAGGGCTGACAGTGCATGTCAAAGCACAAACCAAGCATGAAGACAAAGGAATTGTCTGTATACCTCCGAGACAGGATTGTTGCTCTGAAAGGGCCAATGAGCACAGCCTCCATCATCCGTAAGTGGAAGATGTTTGGAACCACCAGGACTCTTCCTAGAGCTGGCCGGCCATCTAAGCTGAGTGATCAGGGGAGAAGGGCCTTAGTCAGAGAGGTGATCAATAACCTGATGGTCACTCTGTCTGAGCTCCAGCGTCCTTCTGTGGAGAGAGGAGAACCTTACAGAAGGACAACCATCTGTGCAGCAATTCACCAATCAGGCCTGTATGGTAGAGTGGCCAGACTGAAGCCACTCCCTCCTGGAATTTGCCAAAAGGCATCTGAAGGACTCTCAGACCATAAGAAACTAAATTCTCTGGTCTGATGAGACTCAAATTGAACTCTCTGGAGTGAATGCCAGGCGTTACGTTTGGAGAAAACCAGGCACCGCTCATCACCAAGCTCATACTATCCCTACAGTGAAGCATGGTGGTGGCAGCATCATGCTGTGGGGATGTTTTTCAGCAGCAGGAACTGGAAGACTATTCAGGATAGAGGGAAAGATGAATGCAGCAGAGTATGTACAGAGACATCCTGAATGAAAACCTGCTTCAGAGTGCTCTTGATCTCAGACTGGGGCGACGGTACTTCTTCCAGCAGGACAATGACCCAAAGCACACCACCAAAATATCAATGGAGTGGCTTCACAACACTGTGAATGTACTTGAGTGGCCAAGCCAGAGCCCAGACCTAAATCCTATTGAACATTGAAAATGGGTGTACACCGTCGCTTCCCATCCAACCTGAAAGAGCTTGAGAGGTATACTGCAAAGAGGAATGGGCAAAAATTCCCAAAGACAAGTGTGCCAAGCTTGAGGCATCATATTCAAAAAGACTTGAGGCTGTAATTGCTGCCAAAGGAGCATCAACGAAGCATTGAGCAAAGGCTGTGAACACTTATGTACATGTGATTTTTCAGGTTGTTCAGGTTCAGGTTGTCGCTCCTAACCTTATTTAAAAATTTTTTTAAATGTATTTTCCAATTTTATTATTGTGTGTGATAGTAATTTCAGTTTGTTTATGGAGGAAGAGATAGAAAAAATTATTTGTTTACATTTTTCTATAAAAATATCTTGCTATTTCTGTAAAAGTGTAATAAACAGAGCAACAACAACAACAACATCACTGAAAATTCAGCATGTGAATGCACATTTTCTTAACATGCTCATTTTTTCCCTGGATTTTAGTCAATTGAAATAGGAAATCAGTATCCAATCGACCAATTTTGCAGATAAAAATATCCGAATCAGCCTTTAAAAAATCAAACCGGTGCATCACTACTCTCAGTTGTATATTTCACAATTCACTTTCTCTTTCTCTCTCTTTCCTTTTTGCCAAATGGGATCTTGAGCTTTGCTGTATATAATTCTAAATCCACAATGTTCAATCAATTAAGAATAATAAAAGATATGTGCTAATGCATTTGTACTGTGCATACAGTAAGATGAGAAGGAAAAGGGAAATAAAACTTACCAGTAATGATTCCTCGCCTCCCGAGCCTTGAATGACCTCCAACTGTTGATGTCTGTTCTTCCTGAAGAGCTTTTATATTGACACAATATCCATGTCAGATTGCTTTTGTGGGCCTGCTGTATAATAATCCCACAGTATAACAAGCGGTGACCTAGTCTTTAACCAAGGCGAAGCCCAACAGTGTCATGTTTATCTGATTTTCGGCTCTTTATTTTGGCTTTATTGTGTGCTGGTGTTTTCGAACAACACCCTGTTCAGTCATTTCAATGGTAGCATTAAATTCAAGAACTGGGTATTGTTGATTAAAAAGCGGAGCAAAATAGTTACGTAGTTGGAACAGGTAGTGTTCACCCAAAACTGAAAATTCTGTTCTCATTTACACACCCTTTACTTGTCGCATGCCTGCTTGAGTTTCTTTCTTCTGTTTAACACAAAAGAAGAGATTTTGAAAAAACCCAGGCTCCATCTAATAATGTACCCCATATACATTTCTGGAGATGTTTTTTTTTTTTTTTTTTTTTTTGCAGTTTTTGCAGTTTTTGCTTTGCAAGTCCAACAGAAACCGCTGTGTACGCTTGAGATCTCAAATTTGATACATTTATGCCGTTCCCGGCTGCTCTTCTCTTGTAAATCCACCAGAGTCCGCTGTCAACTGACTGACCAGACACGTGCACAGATAGGGCTCAACCTTAACCTTTCTCTTGGATGAAAAGTGCCTGTCAACCCCCCCCCCCCCCCCCCACCCCCTCCCCCTCCAAAAGTTCTCGATCTTCATTTCCCTCTCCTGATTTTTACCACATTTTCACCCTGATATTTACTTGTTTATTTATTTATTGTTTATTTAGATTTTAGTTTTTGTCTTATCTGTTTTCTGGAACCGTTCTTCACCAGACTCATCAACTACTATCTGTAGCTCAAGTCCACCAACATATGCGGCGAGCCACTGGACTAACTGGTATCAGTGGGAAAGCCGTCTATATGGAGATAAACAGTCAGCTGCTGGCACCATGCCTCGTATCTCAACTGCCTCGTATCATTCGCTTTAAAGACGAAATGCAGCCATAAGTAGCTCTGGCTACAAAATTTGCGATCTCCAGAAATGTATATAGGGCTACGTTTTACGAATAAGCCTATGTTGTATTTTAAAGGAAGCTGAAAACCTGTAACTAGTGGTCTGCATTTCCGTGGCTGTACCGCGGGAGCCGCGGGACCCAACCAGATTTCTTGCGCTGCAGGAATAAATTTCTGAGTAAAGTGCGGAAGCGGTAACTGGTGTAATTAAAACAGGAGCAGGCGGTCTAACAATATTGCTCCTGACTCCCGAGCGAGCATGCGTATGTATGTGTGTGAATGAGAGAGCTTGATGCTGTGTGTTGCTTGTTTGTTGCTGTCTATGTGTGTGTGTGGATGTGTGTGAATGAGAGCGTGATGCTGTGTGTCGCTTGTTTGTTGCTGTCTGTGTGTGTGTGTGGATGTGTGCGAATGAGAGCTTGATGCTGTGTGTCGCTTGTTTGTTGCTGTCTATGTGTGTGTGTGGATGTGTGCGAATGAGAGCGTGATGCTGTGTGTCGCTTGTTTGTTGCTGTCTATGTGTGTGTGTGGATGTGTGCGAATGAGAGCGTGATGCTGTGTGTCGCTTGTTTGTTGCTGTCTATGTGTGTGTGTGGATGTGTGTGAATGAGAGAGCGTGATGCTGTGTGTCGCTTGTTTGTTGCTGTCTATGTGTGTGTGTGGATGTGTGCGAATGAGAGCGTGATGCTGTGTGTCGCTTGTTTGTTGCTGTCTAAGTGTGTGTGTGGATGTGTGTGAATGAGAGCGTGATGCTGTGTGTCGCTTGTTTGTTGCTGTCTATGTGTGTGTGTGTGGATGTGTGTGAATGAGAGCGTGATGCTGTGTGTCGCTTGTTTGTTGTTGTCTATGTGTGTGTGTGGATGTGTGTGAATGAGAGCGTGATGCTGTGTGTCGCTTGTTTGTTGCTGTCTAAGTGTGTGTGTGGATGTGTGTGAATGAGAGCGTGATGCTGTGTGTCGCTTGTTTGTTGCTGTCTATGTGTGTGTGTGGATGTGTGTGAATGAGAGCGTGATGCTGTGTGTCGCTTGTTTGTTGCTGTCTATGTGTGTGTGTGGATGTGTGTGAATGAGAGCGTGATGCTGTGTGTCGCTTGTTTGTTGCTGTCTATGTGTGTGTGTGGATGTGTGCGAATGAGAGCGTGATGCTGTGTGTCGCTTGTTTATTGCTGTCTATGTGTGTGTGTGGATGTGTGTGAATGAGAGAGCTTGATGCTGTGTGTCGCTTGTTTGTTGCTGTCTATGTGTGTGTGTGGATGTGTGTGAATGAGAGCGTGATGCTGTGTGTCGCTTGTTTGTTGCTGTCTATGTGTGTGTGTGGATGTGTGTGAATGAGAGCGTGATGCTGTGTGTCGCTTGTTTGTTGCTGTCTATGTGTGTGTGTGGATGTGTGTGAATGAGAGCGTGATGCTGTGTGTCGCTTGTTTGTTGTTGTCTATGTGTGTGTGTGGATGTGTGTGAATGAGAGCGTGATGCTGTGTGTCGCTTGCTTGGTGCTGTGTGTGTGTTTATACAGACAGCTTGTTATAGGCTGTCTGGACCCTGTATCATGTAGCAGGGTGGTTTTTGGTTGGTGGTTGGCATCATCAACCAAACCAAAATAATATCACCAACATACCAGCCATTGGTGGAGTGGAGAGACAGTGATAGATCCAATTCGGTGGATGAGGATAATTTGGAGGCCATGATGGGTAAAGGCCAATTGAGAGAATTTGGCCAGGATGCCTGGGTTACTCCCCTACACATTAAGAGAAGTGCCATGGGGTTGTTAATGACTACAGAGAGTCAGGATTTATCGTCTCATCCAAGACACGGTGTTTACTGACACTCACTAACACCCCTTTGAACAGCAACCTAGTCTTCTCATGTGGTCTCCCATCCAGGTACTAACCAGGCTCAGCCCTGTTTAGCTTCAGTGAGTAACCGGTCGTGGGCAGCAGAGTGATATGGAAGTGACATTTCTACTATGAAAGTCAGTGGTAACAGGTTTCTAACATTTCTCAAAATATCTTCTTTTGTGTTCAACAGAAAAAAACATATTAATGTTTTAAACCACTTTAAGGAGAGTAAATAGTGAATAAATTGTAATTGTTGAGTGAACTATCCCTTTATGAAGTCAATTAAATTGTTATTGCCAGCTATCTGAAGTACTTGATTCTGATTGGTCAGTCACAACTATTGATCATTTTAAGGTATGTTATTCCAAAATAACGACAACTAAATAACATGCATGTTTGGTGCCATCTTGTGGGTGATGAATGCACAGGTTAGTGTATACTCCATCAGTTTTTTGTCAACTTTGCGTTTAATTAAAGAATTAACAAACTATTACGTCCCAGAACAATGTTTTGAGTGTGATTTTTACCATGTAGCCATGTAAAAAGCGTGATAAAATACATTCAATAAGTTGTTTTTGCAGAATAAAACCCTTTAGTCTTATACAATATAAGACGTTGGGCTGTCGATAAGCATGTTGGGCTTTATTCCGCAAAAACAACCTCCCG